GGAGGCTGACGACCTGTCCAAGGTCATCCACTACGATGACTATTCGCTTCGTTCTCCTTGGTTTCGCCTTGTCGATCGACGATGGGGACCCCACACTATCGACCTCTTCGCGACATCCACCAACCACCAACTGCCCCGCTTTTGCACGCTCGTCTTCCACCCCCGTGCAGTGACGCAAGATGCCTTCTCCATCAGTTGGCATGCGGAGAATGCGTACGCATTTCCGCCACCATCATTGATCCCAGCGGTTATCGCACATGCACGACGCTCGCTCGCTAGGCTAACGCTCCTTGTCCCTCGTGTCAGATTATAATGCTTGTCTAGCCTGCAGTGGGGTACTCTATAGTGAGTACGGCCCCTTAGGGTTTCCTATTTGTATCCCAACTGTTGCTAGTCCAACCCTCCTTTGCTCATTTCTCTCTTGCCTAGCTAGGTAAGCCCTAGCTATGGCTCCTTCTTCTCGCTACGATTCTGACATGGTAACAGAGCATTTACGCTCTTGGCCTGTGGGCCCACCTACCTGCTTCCGCTGCTACTCGGTCTGTCGCGCGCCCCGTGGCGTGCGACGTAATTTTTATCCCGCCGCGCGCTGGACGCGCGCGGCGGTTTTCTCTCTGGCGCGCGCCCCGGGGCGCGCGGCCTCTTTCCTTCCTGGCGCGCCGCCCCCGCTGTTCCGTCGCGGCGCCCTGGGGAGCCGCGCGCGCCACCCGCCCGTCCGTCGCGACGCCCTGGGGTGTCGCGCGCGGCCCCTGTCGTCCTGTCGTGGTGCCCTGGCAAGGCGCGCGCGGCCCCTGCCGTCCCGTCGCGGCGCTCTGGCAAGGCGCGCGCGGCCCCCTGCCGTCCTGTCGCGGCGCCCTGGCAAGGCGCGCGCGGCCCCTGCTGGTCCGTCGCGGCGCCCTGGCGAGGCGCGCGCGGCCCCTGCTGATCCGTCGCGGCGCCCTGGCGAGGCGCGCGCGGCCCCTGCACTTCCGTCGCGGCGCCCTGGCATGGCGCTCGCGGCCCCGGCTGTACCGTCGACCCCCCCCCCCCCCCCCTCCCCCGTGCCGCCCATTGCTCCCGTGCCGCCGTGCGTTCCGCGGCTGTGGGGGGTGTGGGGTGGCGGGCATGGGGGTGATTTGTGTGGGTGCTACCCGTCCCCTGCTCCTCCTCCTCCTCCGTCTCCCACTGCTGCAGCTGCCGCTGAGGGGGGTGGGTGTGTGGGAGCCGAGGGAGTGGTGCTAAGGGGGTGACGTGGGAGTGGAGCTAGGGGTGCAGCAAGGGGTGTGTGCAAGGGGGGTGGGACAGTTGGGGGAGGTTGAGCGGAGGCTGCCGTCTTGTCGTCCGCAGCACCTGTAGTCTGGGGCGCTGCTCCGGTAGCCCAGAGAGTCTGCTGCGCCTGTCGCCCGTGGGTCCGTTGCTCCTGCCGCTCCTCGTAGCCGCCGAGCCAGTTACTCCAGTAGTCCGGGGCGCTGTCCCGGTAGCCACTGTTCCAACTGCTCCTGTCGCCCGTGTGTCTGCAGCTTCAGTCGTCGCCTCCTATCTCCTCTCCCCTTACAGTCCCGCCTCCTCCTCCTCAATTGCCCTTTGTGAATGCCTCTAGCTTTGCTTGTCCTTGTGAACCTGCTCTATGCCTGCTTGCTGGGCTGATTATACCCCACTTTGACTATGGGGGTGTGTCAGATTATAATGCTTGTCTAGCCTGCAGTGGGGTACTCTATAGTGAGTACGGCCCCTTAGGGTTTCCTATTTGTATCCCAACTGTTGCTAGTCCAACCCTCCTTTGCTCATTTCTCTCTTGCCTAGCTAGGTAAACCCTAGCTATGGTTCCTTCTTCTCGCTACTATTCTGACACCTCGCTGGCCTAGTGCCTTCTGGTGGCCCATTATATACCCGGACGGTACTTCATGTGCCCCCTTCATACTAGACTATCTGGTGCTTCCCCTAGGTGCTTCTTGTCTCGCACTAGGTAGTGATATTCGTGCGTTTAGTGGAACCGGGCTACCTAACTCGCCCCTCATTGTTCTTCGTATGGATTTTTCTCTATAATAAATCGTTCATGCGTGGCAGGATCGGATATTTGTAGGCTTCTTCTGGACCTGCTGACACTCACGGTGGATCTTTGTGCCCAATCCACCATTCGCACGTACGAGCCATACTGGCGACAGTACCGTGCTTTTTGCTCAAAGCACTCACTCCAATCGCTTCTGGCCAATGATCTCACCACAGCCCTCTTCCTCTTGCAATCAATCCGATTGGGTGCGACGCTATCAGCCATTCGTTCCATCTGTTCCGCCATCTCCTGCGCTCACTGGCTCCTAGGCGCGCCATCCCCTATCAAGGGACCACTTTCCTCGCACGTCAAGAATTACGCCCAATGCACGTGTGCCCGCCCCCACCGGGCAAAGGATCCTGTGCCCCCCTCCAAGATCTACGACATGTGCGATGTCTACTTCTCCTCGCGCGACCTTGCCACCTTTCAAAAAGGGCTCATTCCACTCCTCATGTTCTCTGCCTTCTTGCGCTTCTCCGAACTCGTCGCCCTTCAGTGGCATCACATCGAATATGACGCTGACTACATGTGGCTCTTCGTTCCCTGATCCAAGACTGATCAAAGTGGTGTCGGAGCTTGGGTTCCCGTTGCGACGTCGGATGCTCGCCACTGTCCCGTTGCTCGCGTTAATGAATTTCTCTTCTTGGCGGGATTCTCTCACGCGTCCACGGGCTCCCTCATTCGCGTCTTTCGGCCCGGTTCCGACGCGTCACCGTCAGACTCATCCCCGCCTTACACTACTGTGCGGAACTGGTGCCGCGAGGCCTTTATTCGCGTCGGTTTGGATCCTACCACCCTCGGGACGCACTCTTTTTGCAAGACGGCGGCCACCCTCGCTGTTGATGCTGGTGTTCCCGACCGCCTTTTCAAGGCGCTCGGGCGGTGGCGCAGCGATGGTGTATATTGTGTGCCATGTACAAATTGATGACTATTACGACTGCATTGCAGACTCCTTGTAGAGTCTTGTCACAATCGCGGAAACTGCACTACCTGCTGCGTCTGCGTCGGCTAAAAAGGAAAATGCGAAAAAGGAAAAAGGCACGCGAGGAGCAAGGACGAATCGGCACGACAACGACGCAGCGACAGCAGCACCCCCTGCTCCAGCGGTCGACAATGACACCGACGACTCTGAAGATGAAGCCGGTGAGGCTCCAGTCAACAATGTTAATTTTAATGGCACGGAACACCTTCCCCCCCTCCCTTCTTCTAACCTCACATTTTCGGCGGCGACATTCGTCAACGACTCCGTGCGAGAGCAAGCGGAGCTGCTGGAGGACTTGCGCGCGTACTTGCTGCATGCGGAATACAAGGCGCAGCGCGGGGACCCGGCGGGCGGACTCGAACTCATCTCGCACGCTCTCAACCTCATCTCGGGGCGTTTCGAGGTGCTTCAAGTGGAGGACGCCTCCGACTTCCGCACGGCGAAGCGCTTCAAGTTGTACCAGAAGAAGAGCCTGCTGACTTCTCGACCCTTCAAGCAGGCGGTCGCGGACATGGCGGCGATGGACCCGGATATGCTCGTGTCAACCGCGGCGGAAACAACGCGCCGTTGCCGTTCTTACCCAAGCGGGGCCCCCCGCCCACGGCCAATTGCCGCGGGTTTCAGGGCTCGTGCTTCCGCTGCGGCCAGCCGGGCCACGTGGCAAGTGCCTGCCCTAGGAACGGGCATGGCGGCCAAGGACCCGCTCCGGTGGTGTAGGAGCGGGCCATGGGACTAGGCGCTTGGGCGCTAGGCACGGTGCACTCTTGAGTGCGAAAACCGTGGGCAACCCTAGGGGTTTGCGATGGCAAGAGGCCAGCCCTAGTGAAGGGTAGGAATAGGCTTTGGGCCTAGGATAGGGAAGGGGAACAACAACCCCCTCGGTCCCATGTAGTTGGCCACTCGGTGGCGTGAGGCATGCTAGGAAAGCATTGCTATGTGTGTTGGTTGATTTAATAAAAACTACTCTCTTAAAAGCATATTGTTTTTGGCAAAGAGACTCTAAACAATCAAGTGAAGCAGAGAGAGAGAGAGAGAGAGAGAGAGAGAGAGAGAGAGAGAGAGAGAGAGAGAGAGAGAGAGAGAGAGAGAGAGAGAGTTCAGTTCACTCTCTCTGGTGAGTTCAGTTCACTCTCCAAAACCGGCGGCCCGCTCGAGAGAGAGCGAGAGAGAGAGAGATGGCCTAGGACTGGTCCTTAGCCGTTTTTAGCCCTCTCTAGTGTAGGATCCAGTCCTTAGCCGTTTTTCAGTCTAGTCTCCTAGTATATAGTCCTTAGATGCACCCTTTTGAGCTCATTCTTCACTGGTGAGTTCAGTTCACTCTCCAAAACCGGCGGCTCGCGCCGGCCGCCTTCGGCGGCCGCCGCTCGTCAGCGCGGCCTTCGGCCGCGCGTGAGGTGTGGCAAGGTTAAAGGGAACAAGGACTATAGCTTGGAACATTACAACATGCAGTACTAGACATCACAACACAACAACAACACCCCCAGGCGTGCCTACACCGCCATGGGGAAGCCCAAGGCCAGGCCAGCTACTAAGGGGGCCGGCAAGGGGAAGGCAAGCGCTACTCAACAAGGATCCAACACAGCCTCCCGTCCAGCCAGCGTAGGACGGACGCGACTGCTGCCACAAGGTCGAGCGGGTCCTCCTGTGCAGACTCTGCAAGCCGCGCCAAAGCTCCAGGGCCGGGCCCGAGGGCAGCCCCAGGGGAGCCGGGCACAAAGCCAATCAGGGGGAGGTAATGCTGCAACTCCTCCGCTGCCGACACCGCCACCGACTGCTCCGCTGGCTGCATCGCCTCGATCTGCACCTCCTGCTGCACCAGGGTCACGTGAAGCTGGTCGAGCACATACGACAGGAGCGTCAAGCAAGTCCCCACGTGCATCACGCGCTGCTCGACGAGAGTTGGAGGCTCACCAGGAACCACGGCAGGAGGAGAGGGCGGGGGGGGAGGCGTCACCGGCCCCCATGGATGCTGCACAGGGGGGCCGCCATATGAGTACCGATGGAACGACAGCGGGGCCGGTGCTGCCTGAGGGCTTCGAGCGTGCAGGAGAGGAGACGGAGGAGCATGGGACACTGAGGGGCGAGGCTGCTGCGGGCGGAGGGGCAGGGGAAAACGACGGAGCGGAGATTGAGCCGGCAGCTGCGGCGCTACCCAGGATGGCGGCTGCGGGGAATCCTGTGGTCGCTGATGCTGACGTGCCTGCAGCGGAGACCGCGACAGTCCCGGTGCCTGCTGGCGTTTCTGCCGCTGCCTTTGACGGCGGCTCAGCTTCACCCTCTGCCACCCCTCGGGTTGCACGGGCGGACTGAGGAGATGAGGCTGGGGGCGGATCCAGAGTCGACCGCCGAGGTGGCGTTGTCCGCGTCGCCTGCACCGGTAACGCCGGCGGTGCTGGCGGCGGTGGTGTCTGCTGCGACTGGGGAGCAGGGCGACGCCCCGACGGCGAAAGGCGCGACGACTGCCGCTGCGTGCGCCGAAACGCCTGCTGTTGCCGCGGCCACAAGCAGGCAGGAGCTCGGCCAGGCGGAGGGTGAGATTCCGGGACCCGCGATCGGCGTTTCGTATGGCGTTGCTCGAGGGAAGTCGAAGAAGAAGCTGCGGGCCCAGCCAGCGCCGAGACGGCCCGGAGCAGGGCTGGGACCTGGCTCCCCGGGACCCCTCCTGGGCTGGCTTCTGCAAGGGCAACCGCCATCAGAGCGAGCGCATCGGTCGTCATCTGCGCACACGCACGAGGCAAGAGGGGTTTCCGGACTGAATGAGGCAGCAACTGAGACGACTGCAACCCGTCAAGCAAAGCAGCCGGTTTCAACTCATGAAAATGAAACGCGTGTGCACTTACCGCCAAGCCCTGTCGCTCCAGTTGCGGAAACCGTTGCCACTCGCCGCTCGGCTCGGTTGGGCACTGTCACGTGGGGCCCACCAAGGGGAGGCCGCACGCCGTGGATGCCGGCGGGGAGAGCGGGACTAGAGGCCACGGCGCGGGCGGCGCCGGCAGCAGGCCGGGGTTTCCGCGGTATGGGCCGCGGAAGGCGAGGGGGAGGGCGCGGGGGTGTCGCTCGCCTGGGGGGAGCCGAGATCCAAGCACGAACTGGCCCTTGGCGGGAACGTTACGACCGCCCGGAGTGTGTGGAGGCTGCTACCAATAGGGACGAAGCTGGCTCTGCTGAGGACACCGGAGATCCTGAGTTTATGTGTGGAGAGGAAGCGGGCCCAGAGTCCGAAGAGGTTTCTCTGGATAACGAGGAGGAAGCGGGAAGAGGCCGGAATCGAGTGAGAGGGGCAGGAGAGGGAGTGGACGGGGTGACATCCCATGCTGAAGGAGTGCCTGTACCAGCTGCTGCAGTCACCAACGAAGTGAAGTCGTCGGCCACCCTGGCAGAGGACGACGCCATCTGGCAGGAGGCGGGCACGTGGAGCTTGGATCTCCTTCAACGAATGGACCAACCATTCCTAGTCAGACGACTGCCGCCCCAAGTGTTGGACAAATACTGCCTGTGTCTCCTCGCACCTCTCCTGCGGCTGTCAACAAACCCAGAATGCCCAGGTGCATGGGCGATACTACTGTACCTCCCGAGGCTGACACTGCGCCCGCCACCAGAGCCAGTTGCTGGCAGTCGATGGGCAGCAATTGAGGCTCGGCTGCATCAGTTCCAACTGGGAGTTTGGGATGGGTTGTTCGAGGCTGCTTGCACCATCCCCGACACGGGTGCCTCGCTAAGGCACCAGGATGATGACGAGGGGGTTTGTGCGAGAACGGAGGGTTTGGTTAAAAAAGGTAACATTTCGAAGGCGGTTGCGGCGTTACGCACGAGCCCCCTCGCCGGACCAAACTCTGCGACGCTATCTGCCCTGCGAGCGAAACACCCGTCATCTAGCGCTCCAACACCAGCCTGGGTTACCGGGATAACTGACTCCGAGCTCAGTATCCCACTCGAAGCCCTACGCGAAATCCTTGCGAAATGCCCGAATGGGGTAGGAGCAGGGCCCTCAGGCTGCTGTTTCGAACACCTGAGAGACCCAGCCTTGGCGAACGAGGAGATCCTGGTGCTGCTGGCAAACGTGGTCAATCGCCTTGCCAGCTCTTTCCAGAGCCAACCTGTCTGCGACCTTCTACTACCTTCTCGGCTCATAGCATTAGAGAAGCCTGGGGGAGGAGTTAGACCGATCGCAATAGGCGAGGCATTACTCCGCGTGGTGGCGAAAGCGGCGCTACACAGTTTAGGCCCAAAAATCCGGGAGTTCTTCCTCCCCGTTCAGTTCGGCGTAGCGGTCCCTGGAGGTGCGGAGTGTATTATCCACACGGTTCGCACCCTCCTTAGAGATGACGAGACCCGCATAGCTCTACAGCTGGATGTAGAGAATGCCTTCAACAGTGTTGAACGCGCATCCTTTCTCTCTGCCCTCCAGTGGTCAACTCTCAACCCGCTGCTCCCGCTCGTCCGGAACCTCTACGATGGCCCCTCGCGGCTTTTAGTCGACCCCCGTCTGGAAGTGGGGCATATCCATAGCTCCAGAGGTTTTCGCCAAGGGGACCCGCTGGGACCTCTTTCCTTTGCAGCGGCGATTCAGCCAATACTGCTCAGCGTGGCCACGAGCGTCCCGGAGGTGGCAATAATGGCATATGCTGACGACATCACCATCGTCGGGCCTCGCGAGGCAGCGTGCGTCGCTTTCAACACGGTCGTTGCGGAGCTGGCTTCATGCGGGTTACGGTGCAACCTTGCCAAGTCGGCGGCATGGTGCGCAGTGCGGGAGGAAGAGGGAGACAACCTGCCACACGGCCTTCCCATCCACCCAGGTGGTTTAAAGGTCTTGGGCAGCCCGGTTGGCAGCGATGCTTTCTGCACCGACCAGGTCCGGGCGGCGCTTGCGGAGGCAGCTACGCCGCTACCCCTCGTCTCCCAACTCAACCCGCAGCACGCCCTACTCATGCTATCTCGGAGCATCTCCCGCCGCATCTCGTACTTACTTCGCACAACACCGGCAGACGCGCTGGCACGTACGGAATGGCGGGAGTGGAGCGAGGCTTTGGTGGGAGCAGGGCTCGCGGCATCAAAGCTACAGATCCCGCCGAGCGAGCTAGAGCAGAGCTTGCTGTGGCGCCAGGCAACGCTCCCGGTCCAGCTAGGAGGCCTAGGAATCATTGATCCCATTTCCGAAGCCCCAGCAGCATACCTAGCCTCAACTGCAGCGGCGCACCTTCTCCTGCAGCAGCTGAACCTGCCACCTGACTATCTTCTTCACAGGACCGGGGATCTCCTCTCCCCGACATGGGCCCCACCTCCCCCCCGGGTGAACCCGCTGTCACCGCTCGAGGCGAGGCTCCCAGCACAAGCTGCAGCGGTCCTACGCAGCTATAGGGAGAACCCCAAGGGCATGGGCAACCTGCAGCTGGGGCTCTCCAAGGCCATTAACCACACGCGGGCGGAAGAACTGCTGGCGGATACGGTCAGTGATAGGCCGGGGGTGGACCGGGGCCATGCAATTCGGCTCATTAGCCTGAAAGGAGTGGGAGCAAGCGACCCGGGGCCATGCAATTCGGCTCATTAGCCTGAAAGGAGTGGGAGCAGGCGACTGGCTCCATGCAGTGCCCACGAGGGCTGACCTCTCAATCTCCCCTAGTCAGTTCTCCATGGCACTAGGCTTGCGCCTCGGCATGGAACTACCGGTGGCAGAGGTTTGCCCCTGCAAGAGATCTAACTCCACTATTGCTGACAAGAGCCTGCCGAACCACCTGCTTCGTTGTGCTGACGGCGGGGATGCTGTGCGGACCCACAACGCCCTTGTCTATGCGGCCCTTCGCATGGCACAGGAGGCAGGGTACAAGACTTTTCACGAGATGACCGCCTTCTCTCCCCCTGTCCTGAGCAAGCGAGCTGACCTTGCCGTTCGGGACCAGGAATCGGGGGAGACCTGGGCGACAGACGTGACAGTCACGGACCCGGTCCTGCAGAGGAGGGATGTGAGGGCACGGAAGCCGCCGGGGTGGGCAGCTGAGGAGGCGTCGCAGACAAAACACCGGCTCTACGAGGGCCGTCCTGGATACGTCGGCTTCTTCGGCCTGGCGGTTGAGACATATGGGGCCTTGGCGGCCGACACCCAGCAGTTCCTCCGTATGCTAGCTAACTATGCGGCACGGAAGAAATACCGCCAGGGGCGCCTCACCACCACCGCAGCCCGCCTTAACGCACACTACCGGCAGCGGTGGTCGGTGATGCTTCAACGCAGCCAGGCAACTTCGCTCCTCTCTAAGTCAAACCGGGCAGCAGAGGCGGCATTCCCACAGGCGCCGGCAGACCCCTGGGCTCCCCGGCTGGGGGACCTCTGGCAGATGCAGGAGGATGAGTACGAGGAGCGTCAAGCTCCTGCCAGAGCGGCTTAGAGGGGCTAGAGGGAAAAGAGGCTAGGGGAAAGCAGATGGGCGGAAGCTGCAGGGAGGAGATGGGGAAGGGGATGGGGAGTGCAGGGCAGGGACTAAGGCAGGGGGAGAGCTACAGGACAGGAGGAGACGGAGGTCTTTTGGGACAGGAGTTGTTGCTGCTGCTGGCCGGTTAGGGGAATAGCGCGCACACACACACACGACATATCTTGCAGATTCTGTTTTGCTGGCTTGTTTGTTTGTTTGTTTGTTTGTTTGTTTGCTAGTTGCTAGTTTCCAGTACTTAGACAGACTAGCTACAACCACTCCCTGCCATGCCTGTACCTCTTGAACACTATCAATACATGCCTGCTTGAGAGAGAGAGAGAGAGAGAGAGAGAGAGAGAGAGAGAGAGAGAGAGAGAGAGAGAGAGAGAGAGAGAGAGAACGAGAGAGAATGAGAGAAAGCACAATGGACAAGTGTGTCCATGGCCCTAGGCATCAGCCCCCATGCACTAAGGGCAGGCACAACCACGGCCTACCGGGTGCACGACGGGGCGAGTGAAAAAAAAAAAAAAAAAAAAAAAAAACAAAAAAAAAAAAAAAAAAAAACGAAGCGCCGTTTCGCGCCCGACACATTCGTTGACATTTCATTCTATAGTTAATTCTCTTCACACATTCGATCAATGTTTGCCCGTACATGTACATGCACACGCATGCTTTAACATGGAATACTCAACTCGTATACCACTTGGCCTCAAATGTACAGGAGCACGACGGTGCGAGGCGGCATGCTACGACGACCCGTACGAATTTGCCGTTACAGACAGAACTATTACACAGATGCGCGGTCGTCTTCGCGTGACCTTTGCGTGGTGGAGCTCATGGTGCCCTAGCAGCCTCGTCCTCTCCGTCATCGCCAAGGGTTATTGGTTGCCATGGAGCCACGGCCCACCACAACCTTTCCACGATCGCAATCATGTCGGGGCAAACACGCATGCCACGTTCACACGTACCGCCATCCAAGAACTCATAGAGACGGGAGCAGCAGTTCCGATGGCTGCAACGGAGCTTAAGTGTATAAGTCCACTCAACATGGTCGAGCAAAAAGACAAATGCAGGCTCATTCTTGATCTGAGGAAAGTCAACGCCAACTTGATTGTCCCCAAGTTCAAGTACGAGGGGCTCAGCCGTGTCGCCGACCTGGCGCGCGTTGGCGACTGGATGTTCTCCATTGACCTCAAATCTGGTTACCATCACATCGACATCCACCCATCGTGCTGGAAGTTCCTTGGCTTTGAATTTGATAGGGGCACATACGCATTTCGTTCACTACCATTCGGCCTCGCGACGGCTCCATTCGTCTTCACGCAGCTCATCAAGCAACTAGCTCGGCGTTGGCGAGAACAAGGCATCCGAGTCGTACCATACGTGGACGACATCTTATTTCTCTGCCAGTCGAAAGCCGATTCGCAAGAAATTTGCCAGCGGGTGATATTGGACCTTAAAGAGGCAGGCCTTGTGATAAACGCGAAGAAATCACAACTGTTACCGTCGCAACATCTCCGATTCCTGGGCGTAGAACTGGAGACCGACACCGGCCGATTCTCCATCGGTCCCGACCGACGAGCCTCACTACATGCAACCATCCGGAACCTCCTGAGCGCAAGCAAGGCATGCCGACCAGTCCCGGTCCGCCACGTGGCCAGAATCACTGGCATGCTCGCATCGATGGGTGTCGCACTTGGCGCGACCGCTCGTGCATTCAGCCATGCTATGTTACAAGTGATCAACGACGCACCGTCATTTAAAAGCAGCGTGGTCATCCCCCCATCTGCAGCGGAGGAGCTCCATTTTTGGCTCGAGGAGTTTGACCGTTTCAACGGCGCACCTTTTCACGTCAGGAACAGCTACGACGCGGTAATCCATGTGGATGCCAGCTCTCATGGTTTGGGCGCCACTCTGACCACATTTTCGGGCGGCCCCGAAGAAGCTAGCGCAACCATGTCAGAGCCGCTACGAGGAACGTCCAGCACACGACGGGAGATCGAAGGCGTCCTTTGGGCGCTCCAAACATACGCGAACAAGATCAGGCAAAAACACGTTCTCGTGCGGGTGGACAACAAGGGGGTATTCTTCATCCTTCGCAAAGGCGGCTCTCACAGCCCCGACCTCACAACGGCATGCAAGAGCATCATCCGAACATGCATGGAGCTCGGCACGCGCTTGATCATTGAATGGATTCCGCGCGAGCTCAACACACACGCCGACGAGCTTTCAAAAATGATCGACCACAACGATTACGTGCTGAAAACGCCGTGGTTCCGCATCTTGGAACGTCGTTGGGGGCCCACTCCATCGACCTCTTCGCAAACTCCCGCAACACCCAACTGCCGCGCTTCTGCACAACGATTCCCCACCCGGAAGCCATCGCAGTTGATGCGTTCTCGATCGCGTGGACACCCGAAAACAACTTTGCCTTCCCCCCGCCCCAATTGGTCCCAGCCGTCCTCCATCACGCACAACTCACCCATGCATCACTCACACTGATAGTCCCGCACTGGCCAGGCGCAAGCTGGTGGCCACTTTTGCAACCATCCCCATGCACTTGGGCTCCACTCATCCACGCGCACATCCCTCTGACACACGGAAGCCAATGCCTAGACGCAGGGTCCCATTCCACTGCTTTTTCGGGCATGGGTCTACCGCACAACCCAATTATTGCACTGAGAGTGGCATTTGACTAATTCAAAATGTCTACGCCTTGTGTTCAGATTTGCTCCCAAAGTTACACGACCAACTGATTAACATGCTCGCGTAGTCCCGCGCCGATTCTACGATCCGGACATACGAACCATACTGGGCCAAGTTTCGAGCCTTCTGCACAAAAGTGAACCTCCCATTTCTTCCGGCATCTGACATGACCCTCGCGCTCTACCTGGTACACGCAATCCGGCGCAAAGCCACCCTGTCCGTAGTGCAGCTGACGTGCTCGGCGGTCAGCTTTGCTCATCGCATGACTGGGAGCAAATGCCCGACAACCGGACCGTTCACCACCCAAGTCCGTGACTGTGCAAAACGACACTGCCCTCGCCCTACTCGTCTGAAGGAACCCGTATCGATCCAACAAGTCCGGGACATGGCCGCGAGTTACTTGCAGTCCGATGATCCTGCGAAGTTTCAGAAAGGGTTGATCCCCATCCTCATGTACTCAGGATTCCTGCGATACTCTGACCTAGTAGCCATAAAATGGCAAGACATCCAATTCGACGACGACGTCATGTGGATTCTCATACCACACTCCAAGACCGATCAAGCTGGTCATGGAACTTGGATACCCATTGCAGCAACGGCGGACCCCTGTTGCCCAGTGCGCTGCACCCGGCGCTTCATCCAACTTGCCGGCTATGGCCCACGGTCAGAGGGACCATTGATTCGGGTCTTCGGCCACGATTCGACCAGCGAGGGCCAGGCGAGGCCACCTTCATACACTACGATCCGGAACTGGTGCAAGGAAGACTTCGCAAAGGTTGGCCTTGGAGAGCTGCAGCTAGGCGCCCATTCTTTCCGAAAAGGTGCAGCCACAGTAGCAGCCAACACGGGAGTGCCAGACAGAGTCTTCAAACGGCTGGGCAGATGGCGAAGTGACTCAGCAAAGGAAATGTATGTTACGCCATACGTCGCGCCTCTTATCGAAGCCTCTCGTAACCTACAAGATCCGACGCATGCCGTGTCATCGGCACAACACACAGAGGCACTCGTACGCAACCGAAGGCCCCCGCTGCCCATGTCTCAGGGACCCCATTTGTAATGAGAACGATGCCAATTGAGAAGAATAAGAAAGCAAGCTTTCTCAATATTATAATTTAAAACACACATTGTGTGTATTGTGAAAGCGAAGCTGCTTGTACTGCACAATTGGCATCGTCGAAGCGCGCTAAACGCCCTTCTCCAACTACAAAAACCGTGGGTTGGAGTTCATTTCCCTCCACCCACGTTTCTTGATTTTCAAACGGCTCACTCAACATTCCCACCACCCACCCCAGAGTAAACCGCCTTACTATTGCCACTTGGATAGGGTACATCTTAGCTAGTGTTATTGGATTGCACTAGCTTGTGTTCAACGTTGATGCAAATGTTGTAATAAGCCATTTGTAATGAGAACGATGCCAATTGAGAAGAATAAGAAAGCAAGATTTCTCAATGGGGGGTATAACTAAAACGGATCAAATAGAGTACCCCCCCTCCCCCTCCCCCTGTATTATAGACCCGGGGGTCTACAACTGGAGGGGGTCTTGTATCCCGGGGTTTACGGTAGTACACATACGGTAACTCTTCACAACAGAAAACATTATGCTAGGCACAAAATGACCTGTGCTGGACAAGGCAAAAACACGAGGTCTTACAGCGTTGTAGCCAAGTGACGAACTCATTGGCCAGTTTTTTCTGCTTCCATCAACTTAGTAAATGCTCGTACCGGTGCCAGTCCATTCCGTCACATGGCGAATGCTTGTACCAGTCCCTGCCTCGAAGAAAGCCTTTGAGGCAAGCAGGGTGGGTGGGCTTGGACCCACCGCTCGTGACTTTCAAGTGGCGCAGCGACGAGAAGGAGGAGAGGAAGGGCGGGAGAGAGTGCAGGCGGCGCCAGTGCAGCAGGTCCAGGCGAGTGAGGCGGGAGAAGTGAGCGAGTGAGGGGGAGAGGCGGGGCAGGTCGGAGAAGCAGATCTGAAGTGTGGAGAGGAGAGGCGGGCAGGAGAAGTAGGGCTCAGAGCAGCCTCGGGTGATGTTGGAGAGGCGGAGGGTGCGCAGGGAGGAGAAGCAGGAGAGGGCAGCAAGGAAATCCCGGTAATCAGCTTCGTCCACAATGAGAGTGGTGAGTGCCGTAAGCTGCATCAGCTCATGCTCTCGGTCACCGAGGTCTTTAGGCAGACAAACAGCAGCGCCCAATTGCAGGAAGCGGAGGTTAGACGAGAAACCGCTCTCCATCTCCCAGATCACATTGTACTTGTCTGTCAGTACCATGTGTTCTAGGACAGGGAAGAGTGCCATGTCCACCCGAGAATCGGGCTTTAAGTGCTCCAGATAAAGCACCTTGAGCTTCCGGAATCTCAACGCGGTGTTGCTTCCTGTCCTGCGCAGACTGGCGCCAGATACATGCAGCTGCTCCAAAGAGTGCGCCACAGCAGCCATCAGGCGGGTCATCTCAATGTTGCAGGTTTGCACGTGGAAACGGCGGAGGCGAGGCAAGCGGGGAAGGCGCTCTTGGGAGTAGCTATCGAAGTAGAGGGAGAGCTCGCGCAAACGAGTGAGGTAAGAGAGACCGTGGTGCAGTGAGCAGGATCGGGTGGTGGAGTCAATCCCATAGTCATATAAGGCTCCGAGGGAGAGGGAGGTGAGGCGAGTGAGATGGCGAACAAGCGGGGGGAAAGAGCGGCAGCATAAGAGAGTGAGGGAAGTAAGGTTGCGGAGAGGCCGCAGTGTGTTGTGGTGAATGCTTGAAGCACCGGGTGAGTTGTGGAGTTCATTGGGGCAGGGATCAGCATCGTCATGATCATCACACCAACCATCCTCATCTCCCTCGCCCATTCCACTCTCCTCATCTGCCTCATCCTCCCATCTCTCCCCCTCCCACTCCTCCTCTCCCACCCCTCCGTCTCCCTCGTCCTCCTCCCCATCCAGCCCCGGAATCCAGAGGTTGGAGGCAAGGAGCGTGAGGGCAGTGAGCGTGGAGAAGGAGGCGGGCATGGTGTCGGTAGGGAGGAGCAGGGAGAGGGAGGAGAGGCACGGCGGCAGGCCCAGCAGCAGCTCCTCTGACAGCCCACTCCAGCTGTCGTCTTCCTCAGATATGCCCGTGCTGTCATGCGGATGCATACAGACGTGCAGTGAGAGGGAGCGGAGGGAGGAGAGGCGGGCGAAGGGAGAGGAGTGGGCGAACTGGGGAGGCATGTGGCCCACAGGGAGGGCGAGGGAGAGGGAGGTGAGGCGAGAGAGGAGGAGGAGGGAGGAGGGGAAGCGGTAGAGAGGGAGGGAGAGTGTGGTGAGACGCGTGCAGCGGAGGAAGAGAGAGGGAGGGAGTTTGAGGCGGTGGGCTACGTCCTCCCCCTGAATGCGTAGCTCTCTGAGTCCGCTGCACCCCTTCAGCACCGCAAGCAGCCCCCTCTCCATTTCCCTGTTCGTCTCCCTCCACCATCGCCGCATCTCCCTCTTCCTCTCGTCCTCAGGCATCTGCCACAGCTCTTCCCGCCCGTACCCCCAGTCGTAGTATTCCCCTCTGAAGCCTGGCTCTAGGAGAAAGGAGAAGGAGGTGAGGGCGGGGAGGGCGGCGGCAGCAGAGAGGAGGGAGCGCACATGGGAGGGTTGGAGGGGGTGAGGTGCGGTGGAGACTATTGGGAGGAGGAGTGCAGAGAGGTTGGGGTAGAGCGTTAGGGTGTGGGCGAGGGAGGAGGGGGAGGGGAGAGAGGCTAGCCAGATGGGGGGGAATTCTGAGTTCCAGTCGGTTTGATAGTGGCGGGTGAAGCAGGAGGAGAGGGAGGAGGGGGTGATGGGATGGGGGAAGGTGAGGGGAGGCGGGCAGGAGGGGAGCAGAGAGACGGTGCGGGAGGTGGGGGAGGAGAGGAGGACGCAGAAGGGAGAGAAGGCGGGGTGCCAAGAGAGGGACGAAAGAGGGGAGCTTGTGGCAGCTTCTGACGAAAAGGAGCTGGCCTGAGATGCCATCTCATGGCCGCTTCTCCTGCTGCAGCGTCTGCAGTCGGGGTTGAGAGTGGGAGGGGGGGGAGGGGAGTGGAGCAGGGCGAGGGGGAGGCAGGAGAGCAGGAGGGGATGGAAGGCGAGGGCGAAGAAGGAGGTGTGCAGGCGGCACCACTGGCGCCACTCACGGCACACTCCTCTCACGCTCGCCTCGTCCCCATGCAGCTGAATCCGCTGGAACACGCATTCTAGCACCTCCGCTGGTACCGCCTCTGCTGGTAACGCCTCTGCTGGTAACGCCTCTGCTGGTACCGCCTCTGCTGGTAACGCCTCTGCTGGTAACGCCTCTGCTGGTAACGCCTCTGCTGGTAATGCCTCTGCTGGTAACGCCTCTGCTGGTAACGCCTCTGCTGGTAACTGCGACTGGTTGTGCGAATGAGGATTCGTGGCACTCACCTCCACCTCCTGCCCCGCATGCATCTCCTCCCCCTCCCCCTCCCTCTTCCCCTTCCCCTCACCCTCCCTCTTCCCCTCCCCCTCCCCCTCGCCCCCACCATCCCCCCGCCCCTCCCCCCCCTCCTCCTCCCCCTCTCCCTCTCCGTCTCCCTTCCCTTCCCTTTCTCCTTCCCCTTCCGCTCCCCCCTCCCCTGCCCCCTCCTGCTCCCAGGTTTTCCCCCGGAGGTACTCTTGGAGGCGGCAGGGCTGCACAGGGTGGTACCCGCGACCAAGGGACACGTGGGCGAGGGAGGAGAAGGCGGAGAGGCAGGCGGGCAGGGCGAGGGGCTTGGAACACTGGAATAGGTCGAGGCGAGTGAGGGAGGAGAAGAGGCGGAGGGAGTCGGGGAGGAGAGGAAGGTGGGAGAGGCAGATTTGGAGGGATTTGAGTGAGGGAGGGCAGGAGAGGGCGGAGTGGTAGTTGTGCATGGAGAGGTTGAAGATGCGGAGGGCCGTGAGGGAGGCGAAGAGGGAGAGCGAGGAGAGGAAGCGGGAGGAGTGAGGGTAGGACCCCAGTATCAGCGTGCGCAGGTGGGGCAGCACGGGGAGGGGGGCGGGTGGGGGGGAGTGGATGCGGAGGAAGGTGAGGTTGGGGAGGAGGGGCGGGAGGATGGTGGGGGCGTGTGGGGGGGTGGGGGGGTTGTGAAAGCGAGTGGGTGTGGTCGATTGCCAGGTGGGTGAGGCGGGGCAGCAGACCCATGAATGCCAGAGTGCGCCCCTGCTGCTGCTGTGGGCCTGTCTGGTCTATGCCTGTGTGCTGCGAGCAGGTGCGGGTGGGCGCATGGGTGGTCACGTTGCGCAGCACAAGCTCCTCGAGGGAAGGGAAGAAGCACGCAGCTGCCTCCTCTGCTGCTCCCCATGCGCCCTCCCCCTCACCACATGCGCCCTCCCCCTCTCCACATGCGCCATCCCACTCACCACATGCGCCCTCCCCCTCACCACATGAGCCCTCCCCCTCACCACATGTGCCCTCCCCCTCACCACATGCGCCCTCCCCCTCACCACGTGCGCCATGCCCCCCGTCGCCCTTCCCAGAACCCTCCGCCAGTTGCTCCCCCCACCCCCGCACAGCCACGTGGGGCGAGCCCTGGATCTTGAGCGAGAGCAGCTGCGGGCACAGGCGCCCCCACACAGCCAATGGGATGACGCCAGCTGTCCCCATGAGAGTGAGGTGGCGGAGGGAGCTGGAGGAAGGAGTTGCTTCGGGGTAAGAGGGAGGTTCGGTGAGACCAGTTGCAGGTTCGGTGGAACTAGGTTCGGTGGAACTAGGTTTGGTGCGGCAGAAGGTTGGTTCGGCCGGCCCCTCACCATTCACGTGCAGATGGGACAAGCGGGGCCAGTGGGAGAAGAGAGTGAGCGAAGCGGCGGAGAGGAGAGGGGAGGCGAGAGGGATGGAGAGGAGAGTGAGCGAGGAGAGGGAGGAGAGGCAGGGAGGGAAGGTGCGGTGCGAGAGGAGGGAGAGCGAGGTGAGGTTAGGGAGGGAGGAGAAGCACTGATGGTGGTGGCGCTCTTGCTGGTGTGAGGAAGGTTCAGGGTCGTAGGAGGAGGAGGAGGAGGAGGAGCAGCAGCAGCAGCAGCGGCAGGAGCAGGAAGAGGAGGGGGGGATGGAGTACGAGGCGTGGGGTGGGAAGAGGGGGTTGAGGCCAGTGCAGTCCCAGGCGCCCCCCACGTTGGTGGTGAGATGCTGCAGGCGTGTGAGCGACCACAGCGACGCAGGCAGCCACCCCACCACCTCGTCCTCCCTCGCCCACTCATCCCCCACCCACCCGCCCCCCTCCTCCTCCCCACTCCTCCCCTTCCCCCCTTCCCCTCCATCCTCTCCCTCACCCGCCCCCTTCTGCTTCGCATGCACCAGGAAAGTCAAGGATTGCAGGCTCGGTCCGAGCCCCGCAAACAGGTCCGGTGAAAGAGGCTTGGAAAGGTCTGAGGTGGGAGAGACGAGAGAGAGGTGGAGGAGGGAGAGGAGGGGGAGAGAGTGGAAGGGCCGACCGAAGAGGAGGAGTGGGTGCTGGGGTGCGGAGAGGGAGAGACGGAGGGAGCGGAGGGAGGAGAGGTGGGGAAGGAGGTTAGGTGGGAGGTCGGCGAGAGGGAGGGAGAGGTGGGCGAGACGGGAGAAGAGGGGAAAGACCTCTTCCCTTATAGTGAGGTATTCGTTGGTATTGAGGTGGAAGTGTAGTGAGCGGAGGTGTGGGCAACCCGTTATAAGCTGATTCATCTGTTCCACCTGAGCACCCTCCGTCCACGCCATTCCCTGGGCTGCTCCAAGATCTCGTGATACAAACAGCAGTCGCCAAGGAAGCCCCATTCTGGCAGCGCGACAACAGAAAGCGACTGCAGATTCACGCACGAACGTCCCACTTCCAGCAGCGTCCAAAGGTCCCACTCGCACTCTCTGCACGCGAGCATGCGAAGGGCCGTCACGCGCGTCGGGTCCTGCGACAGTAGCGGCTCTAAACACGTATCGAGCGCAGGCGGGGTGTCCCAGAGGGCTCTGACCTCCATGTCCTCCTCTCGGACCGGGAAGGGGAACGAGTCGTACTGTTGTCGTACATCATGGCAGTCGGGGTATGGAGGAGACGGGAAGCATGTGTCATGCGGTATGGTGCCCCGCAGCGCGTCCGCCAGCTGCTCCGCGCCCAGTAGCTCGTCGTGCAGAAACGGACCCGCACGTTGCCGCCCCTCTCGAGGTGACTTTTGAGTAGTAACCTTTTGAGTAACCTTCTGAGTAACCTTTTGAGTAACCTTTTGAGTCGACTCAAGAGTCTCCAGCAGCGCGTCCGCCAGCTGCTCCGCGCCTGGTAGCTCGTCGCGCAGAAACGGACCCGCCGCACGCCGCCGCTGCCCCTCTCTTTCTCCGAGTCCGCCGCACAGCAGCTCGTCCGTCGCAGGGCCGCACAGCAGCTCGTCCGTCGCAGGGCCGCACAGCAGCTCGTCCGTCGCAGGGCCGCACAGCAGCTCGTCCGTCGCAGGGCCGCACAGCAGCTCGTCCGCGGACCGCAGTCGCGCGCGCGACGGGAAGCACGGCTCGATCCACCGGCGGATGCGGCGGGTGGCGGCGTCCGAGTCGGCCACGTGGCTGGCAGGGCCTCCCAGGGCGACCTTCAAGTGCCGCCAGCGAAGCGAATGCGCGTCGAACACGCACGCGAGCCCGGTTGACTTTTGAGTCGACTCAAAAGTCAACTGGCTGGACCTCCCAGGGCGACCTTCAACTGCCGCAATCGAATTTTGAGTCGAATGCGCGTCCAACACGCACGCGAGCCCGGTACTTGGAATCGGCGCGCCGCTAGTTTCCGTGGTAACCATCGCCGCACGGCGCCGTTCGCGAGGAGCCGCGGCGAGAGAAATGCGACAGTCGCAAGGTTTCGCCTATGAAAGGATCGCAGGGAGCACTGTGGATGGCTCTTAAACCGAGCAGTGGAGCCGGCGACAGGGAGTGGCGAAAGAATTGAGCGTCCTAGGCGTTGCTAAGGCGGTAACGCAAGGGCCGGGATCAGAGCTAGCTAATGCAGAAGTTGGTTGGTGCATTAGCCAACGGTCAACCCAAGATGTGTGCATTGCTCGTCTCTTTGCTGCGAGTGCGGTGTAACAAAGCAGGTGCAGTATATCTGTTTCGCCTGCTGCTTTCGCTCGCGGATAGGCGCGGCGAAACTCGACGCGAATCAAGATTCGCGAAGCTCGTGCAGTCCCAAGCCGAGCTGTCCGAGCGACAGAAAGCGTGCGACCGTAAGGGAATCGCGCTCGCTGGCAACCTCGGTTGACCAGTGAGAATTCCCGTACCGCGTACAAAGCGTGAGAGAAGGACGCCATGTTTAGGGTTTTAACTCGTTATAGAGTACAAAGCAGCATATAAGGAAGCCACTCTCATCCTGCAGATCATCAATGCGATACACGTAACTGTGATGCAATGGATCTGGATTCGAGAAAACTGCCATGGAAATGGCTGCCGCCATTGCTGAGTCAAAGTGCAGTTTATCTATCAGAACCGTGACTTTCTTTTCCGTGCAGTATACCTAGTGTCTCTGGGAACATCCATGTCTCCTCGCTGCCGCCGGTGCTCCTTTTTCTTCAACACCCAATTCCTTCCCTTAGCCCCTTTCCCATTCAGCTTCTGCTTCTTCCCAGGTCGTTGCCTCTGCCGCTGCTCATAACCCACAGTCCTCCCTTCCCCATCACTCTCATCGCTTCCGTCCTCATCCTCGCTCTCCTCACTCTCCCCATCGCCCCCTTTAGCCTTGGGCATGGGGCGGCTACCAGCAGGGCCAGCTACGAGACAAAGAAAGTATTTCTTGGCTCGCGTGCTGCCCACAGTCATCCCGAGCAAGAGAACACCACACAGGTGAGGGAGGGGGGAGAGCGGGATCGGGAAAACCGGGAAGGACAGACAGGTAAGTATGGGGTTTTGGGGAAAGGGGCAGGAGGGGTGGGGACAGAGGGGGGGTTGGGGGGGGTGTGGGGGAGTGGAGAAATAGTGCTACAAGGGCGAGAACAAGCCCAAACATCAGCATCTCACAACCAAATAGTTTCACGCCGGATACAGTCAACTGTATGGGTACCCCACTACAAGCTCACCTGTACAAGCCACCTTTGCGGTAGTCATTCAGTCTCAAGCTCTGCTGTAATCACCTGTGGGAATTCACTCAGTCCTACTTTCTGTTGAAATCACCTGTGGCGGTAGCAGCCCACCACGAGCCCGCGTGAGAAGCCTCATGAACCAATTCAGGAATCACCTGGCTCTGTTGAAATCACCTGAGGGGGTAGTCCACCACAAGCCCCCCTGAGAAGCCAGCCTGCATGGCGGCCTTGGAAATCATCTCCAGCTGCGTCTGTGCACTCATCTCAGCTCACTTAACCCCCACATCTTGTTACAATCACCTGTGAGGGTAGTCCACAACGAGCCCCCCTGAGAACCCGGCCTGCATGGCGGCTTTGGAAATCATCTCCAGCTGCGGCGCCCCGTTGGGGTAGATCTGCAGCGCTGCCCTGCCGCCTCTGGCAAGTGAGCGGTACAGCGACTGGAAGAACGCCCTGGGAGAAGGGGGGTGTAGGGGGTGGGGGTTGGGGAGTGGGGAGGGAGGGACGGGTAATCTGGTGAGCGATCAGGTAGATCTGCAGCGCTGCCCTGCCGCCTTTGGCAAGTGAGCGGTACAGCGACTGGAAGAACGCCCTGGGAGAAGGGGGGTGTAGGGGGTTGGGGTTGGGGAGTGGGGAGGGAGGGACGGGTAATCTGGTGAGCGATCAGGTAGATCTGCAGCGCTGCCCTGCCGCCTCTGGCAAGTGAGCGGTACAGCGACTGGAAGAACGCCCTGGGAGAAGGGGGGTGTAGGGGGTGGGGGTTGGGGAGTGGGGAGGGAGGGACGGGTAATCTGGTGAGCGATCAGGTAGATCTGCAGCGCTGCCCTGCCGCCTCTGGCAAGTGAGCGGTACAGCGACTGGAAGAACGCCCTGGGAGAAGGGGGGTGTAGGGGGTGGGGGTTGGGGAGTGGGGAGGGAGGGACGGGTAATCTGGTGAGCGATCAGGTAGATCTGCAGCGCTGCCCTGCCGCCACTGGCAAGTGAGCGGTACAGCGACTGGAAGAACGCCCTGGGAGGGAGGGAGAGTGGGGAGAACGAGGGGAGGGAAGGGGAGTAGTGGGGGGGAGAGGAATTGGGATACAAGTTGGTGAGCGGCGGTTGAACCGTGTGTAGGGTGACTTCAAGGGAGGTGGGTGGGAGAATCCAGCCTGCATGGCGGCCTTGGACATCATCTCCAGTTGCGGCGCCCACTTGGGTGCAGCGCCGCCCTGCCTCCCTTGCCAGAGAGCGGTACAGCGACTGGAAGAACGCCCTGGGCAAGTGGGGGGGCAGGGGTGGCGGTGGAAGTGGGGGTAGGGTAAGGGAGTAGTGGGGAGGGGGAAAAGTACATCTGCAACGCGGCCCTGCCTCCCCTAGCGTGGCCCTGCCTCCCCTAGCATGGCCCTCCCGAAGCCAGCGAGCGGCACAGGGACTGGAAGAACGGCTTGGGAAAGGGAAAGAGGTGGGGAGGAGGGTTGAGAGGGAGGAACGGTGGTTTGGTGAGGGTGGTGGGCATTGGGGTGGATCTGCAGCACCGCCCTGCCTCCCCTCCAGTGAGCGGTACAGGGACTGTAAGAACGGCTTGGGAGAGGGAAAGAGGTGGGGAGGAGGGGATTGAGAGGGAGGATCGGTGGGTTAGTGAGGGTGGTGAGCATTGGGGTAGACTTGCAGCGCTGCCATCCCTCCCCTAGCCAGCGAGCGGTACAGCGACTGGAAGAAGTCCCTGGGAGAGGGGGGAAGGAGGGGAGGAGTGGTGGGGGGGAGGAAAAAGGGGCAGTTTTCAAGGGAGGTGAGGCTAGTGAGGAATTGGGTAGGTCTGCGCTGCCGTCCTCCTTGGGCAAGCAAAGGTAGAGTGAGGGTAATGGGGGAGGGAGTAGGGGGAAAGGACGGCGGTAAGTGAAACAAGGGAGGTGAGGTTGGTGAACAGTCAGGTGGTGCTGTTGAGAAGCAGCCACCCGAGTGGCGCTCCCTTTCAGTAAGCAATGAAAGCAGGGAGCAGGGAGCAGGGAGCAGGGAGCAGAGGGAGCAGTGAGCAGGAAGCAGAGGGAGCAGTGAGCAGGGAGTAGGGAGCAGGGAGTAAGGAGCAGGGAGCAGGGAGTAGGGAGCAGGGAGCAGGGAGCAGGGAGCAGGGAGCAGGGGCACTCACTTGAGGCGCAGGCGCGGATTGTGTGAAGACTTGTCGGCATTGCACAGCCACTGGGGCACAGGGGGACAGGGAAGAGGTGGGAGGTGGGGAGAGGGGAGAGATGCTGCTGACGTCATCCGAGCAGAGCTGAAATGCTGATGACGTGATACCAGCATTGCTGACGTGATGATGATCGTCATACCTGCACTCTTGACATGCCTGTGACGTGATACCTCAATGCTGACATGCTAATGACGTCATACATGCTTTGCTGAAATGCTGATGACGTCATACTTGCACTGCTGAGATGCTGATGACGTCATACCTGCACTGCTGAAATGCTGATGGCCCCGTCAAAAACAGCGTTGCGCAACGGAAGGCCCTGCAGGGGGGGGGATGGGGAAGGGGAAAAGGGGGAGATGGGGAAGGGGAAGGGGGGAGATGGGGAAGGGGAAAGGGGGAGATGGGGAAGGGGTAAGGGAGAGAGCAGTTGGGAGGAGAGACAGAGGGGAGTCCATATTATCGTTTCAGTGGGGAAGGGTAGGGACAAGGGAAAGGGGAAGAGGGAGAAGGGTGGGGAGGAGAGACAGTGGAGAGTCAATATCATAGGTTACATGGGAGAGGGTAGGGACAAGGGACGGGGAAATGGGGGAAGGGTGGAGAGGAAAGTCTGAGGGGATTGAAGGTTAAAGATTCACGTTGAAAGGGCGGAGACAAACAGGCGAGGAGAGGAAGATAGTGGGAGAGAAAGAGGGGGTGGGGAGAAGAGGGATAAGGCATTGGTGAGAACAAGAACTTGTTATTCGGCAGAGAAGGTTAAAGCTGGAATGAGTAAGGCTGGCAAGATAGGCAGCCCTGAGAGAGGACTCATGTGTTGGTGGGGATGCTAGCACGATGATCCCCACTCATGTGTTGGTGGGGATGCTAGCACGATGATCCCCACTCATGTGTTGGTGGGGATGCTAGCACGATGATCCCCACTCATTCCTGCCCCGTGCCCCACATGCCCCACACTCCGCCTGCCCCAAATAACACCTTCCCCGCATCTCACCTGCCCCACATCTCACCTGCCCGACATCTCACCTGCCCCATATCTTACCTGCCCCACATCTCACCTGCCCCACATCTCACCTGCCCCACATCTCACCTGCCCCATATCTCACCTGCCCCACAGCTCACCTGCCCCACATCCCACCTGCCCCACATCTCACCTGCCCCACATCTCACCTATGTTAGGAATAGTCAGTCAACACTTTGTACTATATTCTATATCGGTTAGGTTACTCTGTAGGCTGGGTGTAGATTTGTAATCCCAACCCTATCTGGTTGGGATTCCCTCGTAATCCTGCAATCTGCCAACTCACCAATTGGAGATTTGCTAGGATTCCCATCGCATTCTTTCCCTAGCTTTGCTCAACCCAACCGTGTTTGTACTTAAGGCCTAGTGCCTTCCTTATCAATCAATCAGTTCAGTTCCAATTCTATCATGGTATCGAGGTAGTAAACTCCGCTCACGCGGAATCCGATCCTTGGCGTCCCGATGGTTCTCTCCTTCTAGGCTATGCCTATTTCGGTTCCCGGCTCCTACGCTTAGCGTTTTTCAGAAACTTCACATCGTCGCTCCGGTCAAGCGCGCATTCGGCTTCCTTCATCGCTCATCTCGTTTTTCAACGGCGACATTCTCAGCTTTCGACTTCCTTCATCGTAAGCTTCTGGTTTTTAAATCTCCGTGGCAATTTTCGCATCTTCAAAACTTCGAACAGGTTTTCAGCGGCGCAGCAGAACAGGTTTTCAGCGGCGCAACGGAACAGGTCCAGCGGCGCAGCGGAACAGGTTTTCAGCGGCGCAGCAGAACAGGTCCAGCGGCGCAGCAGAACAGGTCAGCGGCGCAGCAGAGAAGCGGAACAGGGGCAGCAGCGAAGCAGAACAGGGGGCATCGGCGAAGCAGTATAGACGGGTATATTATGGGCATTCTATTGCCAAAATCACGTTTCGGACTTCCTCAATTTCCAAAATCGCCGCAGCGGCGAAGCAGATCGCATGTTCCAAATCCGCCTTGAGGAATGCCCGGGCATGGCAGACTACATCTCTGAAATCCGCAACATCCATGAGGAGCTCAAGGACATTGGGATCACCTTCCCCGAACAGGCACCTGCTGCTGGGCTTCTCGTTGGACTCACCCCGGCCTACAACGTCACCAGTTCCATGCTCAAGCAGCTCCCCACCAAGGAACTCACCTTCGAGAAAGTCGCTTCGGCCCTTCTCTCTGCCGAAAAGGACCTTGCAGCCCAGGCATCCGTCAATGCTGTGCGCTACTCCCCTGGCATCCCATTTCGTTCCCAGCAGGGCCAGAGGCGCAACTCCTTTCCCCCATGCCAGTACCTCATTAGGAAGGGTCCACGTGCGGGTCAGAAATGCAACGGCACCAACCACCCTGAGGCCACTTGCTTCAAGAAGCGAGATGACGAGTGGCATGACGTCCATGGTGTCTCCAAGGACAAGCGCCCTCCCAACTGGGCACCACCCCGTCGCGTGAACCAGGTCGAGGCAGTGGAGGAACCTGCTCAGGCATTTGCTAGCGCCCCATCTGATGTTCGCCTTAACCTGTTGTTCTCTGGTGCTGGTCTTATTAATGAGAAGGGGTCGCAGCACATCGGTGTTTCGACCACACAGGGAATCGAGTTTATACTAGACAGTGGTGTCACCCACACAGTGCTTAAAGACCAAACCGCCTTCGTCCCCTACCAGGCTCCCACCTCACTCCTTGGAGCCAATTCTAGCTTCTCCATCCAATGCCATGGGTCCTCCACAGTTTCCTGTCCAGCTTTCCCATCCGGCACAGTCACTGGCATCTGTGCCCCAACCCTCCGCTACAACCTTCTTGCACAGCGGGAAATCCAACACGCAGGCGTGATCACCATCTTTCCCAATGATGTTGACTACTGTGACATGTTTGACGCCAGAACCGGACTCCATCTTGCCCACTTCACCCTCAACTCCAACAACCTGTACACACTAGTTGTACCTCCCGTTCAAACATGCTCCCTCACCAACCTTCCGCTTCCATCCTCAGACTCCCCCTCATGTCACTGCCGCCTCCTCACTGACAAGACTATGCTATTTCATAACCGCCTCGGCCACATCAACTTCCGCGCACTTTCAGACCTTGCCACCAAACAAATCCTTCATGGGCTGCCCGCCTCACTTCCACAACCCCCCTCTCTTTCTGGACCGCCTTGCCTTGACTGTGCACAGAGCAAGCTTCGGGAACAGCCCCATCCTCCCACTGAGTCCATCTCTACCGCACCTCTCGATCGCGTACACATGGACCTTTGGGGTCCGGCTCCTGTTCGTTCCCGTGGCGGACACTTCTACTTCCTTGTCATCATTGATGACTATTCCCGTTATGTGTCCGTTCACCTTCTCACCGCCAAGTCTGAAGCCCCAGCCATCATCATGGAATGGGCAAGGCAGGCTCATTCACACTTCAAAACCAAAATCAAGTTTCTTCACTCTGACGGTGGCGGTGAATTCCGCAACAACACTCTCAAAGCTTTCTGCTCTACTGAGGGTATTCGTCAGACCTTCACTCTCCCAGACAGCCCTCAACAGAACGGTGTCGCTGAAAACCGCAACCGCATCCTGGTGCAGATTGCTCGCTGCCTCCTCACTCATGCTTCCGCCCCTCCCTCTCTTTGGGGATACGCCATGCTCCATGCTGCCGCCCTCCACAATCTCCATCCTCATCCTCACCACACCCACACCACCCCCGCAGAGCTGTGGACGGGTCAAAAGCCATCCGTCCGCCCTCTTCGTGTATGGGGGTGCACTTCCTATGTCCTCCTCAACTCCCAAGCCCGTCGTGCAGCTGGCGGCAAGCTTGCTCCAAAAACAATCACGTGCGTGTACCTCGGGCACAACTCGGACTCGCCAGACTACCTCTTCCTCCATCCTACCACCAACAAACTCTATCGCAGCCGAGATGTTTTCTTCGATGAATCCCACCCATTCTACCCCTCCTCCACAGTTTCTCCTTCTCCTCCGCCTCTTTCTCTTACTTGGGCTGACTTTGACAGCCTTCCTCCTGCCACCACTCCATCTCCTCCTCTTCCCGCTCCCTCCACAGTTTCCGACCCCCCGTCACCCGCTTCCCCATCCAGCACCACGCAGTCTCCCCCGCCCCTTCCTCTCAAAACCTACCAACGCCGTCCTCCTGCTGCTGCTCCTGCTCCTGATCCAGCTCCTGCTCCTGATCTGGCTCCTGCTCCTGATCCAGCTACTGTTCCTGATGCTGCCACTACACCTGCTGCTTCTCCTCCTCCAGCTCCGCCTCCCTCCCCCATCGCTGATCGCACCCGCTCACACTCCCAAGCCTCTTTCCCTTTCCATTCGTGTCTCTCTCAATCCTCCTCCTGTCGGGGGTGATTATTCGCTCATGCCCTCCCTTCTTGAGGATAGACATGAGGAGTTGATTGACATTGACTCAGCCATACACGCGCTCTGCTCCCTCTTTCCAGATATCGCAAAATCTCCCACCCTCAACTTCTCGGACAACCCCTCCATCCCCACACCTCTCACCTATGCTGAAGCAGTTTCTGGTCCTCACGTCGCTCAGTGGCTAGGGACCATTGTCGCAGAGTGTGAGGCCTTCATTCACACAGGAACTTTCACAGATGTCTCTCCTCCCTCCGGCGTCAACATTGTGAAGGGAAAATGGGTTTTCCGGGTGAAACAACTTCCAGGCGAATTTCCTGTCTTCAAAGCCCGGTACTGTGCTAAGGGATTTACCCAAAAGCATGGACAGGACTTCTTTGAGGCATTCTCTCCCACCGCCAAACCTCCCACACTGCGCACCCTTCTCGATGTTGCCGCTCGAGATGACATGGAGGTTGACTGCATGGATGTGTCTTCTGCGTTTCTGCAAGGGATCCTTCGAGAGGAAATCTACATGGAGCGGCCCGAAGGATTTCCAGCTCCTTTTCCACCAGACACTGTATGGAAGCTGAATCGACCAGTCTATGGCCTCAAGCAAGCACCCCGGGAATGGCACAACAAGCTCAAGAGCACCTTAGGGTCCCTCGACTTTCACCCATCCACCTCTGACCCTAGCCTCTTCATCCGAGCAACACCATCCCGCTTCTTCATCTTGGTTTATGTCGATGACATGATCCTTGTCACCAAGGATCAGACTGAGCTGGCAGCAGTCAAAACCGCACTTGGTGAGATGCTGGCCATGAAGGATCTTGGGAAGCTGACGAACTATCTGGGCATGGAAATCACACGTGATCGCACGGCCCGCACCATCACCCTCTCGCAGAAGTTCTACATCAACAACGTTCTGACCAGGTTCAAGATGCAGGAAGCAGCTTCAATGCCCACCCTACTCTCTCTGCAGCACCAACTCACTGCACCCTCTGTTCCCTCACCTGAGCCCTGTGATGAGGCTTACCCCGAGCTCGTTGGTTCCCTCATGTACGCGATGATGTGCACTCGACCATACTTGGCCTATCCAGTCAGTGTCTTGTCTCGCTACGTTGCACCTGGTCGCTTCACGAGCCACCACTGGTCTGCCGCCAAGCGGGTCCTCCGCTATCTCAAAGGCACACAGGACTATGTGCTCACTCTTGGCGGCTCTTCTCCTGTTCGCCTTGACGGGTACAGTGACTCGTCCTATGCTGATGACCAGAGTGATCGGCGCTCTTCCCAGGGGTATTGCTTTACCCTTGGCAGTGGGGTTGTCAGTTGGCGCTCCACTCGGTCGTCTTCCGTCTCACTGTCGACCTGTGAGGCAGAGCTGTATGCCGGGACCATGGCTGCCCAGGAGGCCCGTTGGCTCTCCTTCTTGCTGGCAGAACTTGGGTATCCTCAACCAGCCCCAACGCTTTGGTGTGACAACGAGAGCACCATTCAACTCACAAAGGACCCCGTCTTCCACGGCCGCACCAAGCACATTGAGGTCCGTCACTACTTTCTTCGTGAGCTGGTGCAACGCGAGCAGCTGAAGGCTGAACACATTGCCTCCGACTGCAACCTTGCTGACTTGTTTACCAAGTCTCTTGTTCGCCAAGACCACTACCGCCTCCTCTCGTCCATGGGTGTTGGGCCGCCATGTGGCTGAAGTGTTGTCAGCCTAGGGGGTGTGTTAGAAATAGTCAGTCAACACTTTGTACTATATTCTATATCGGTTAGGTTACTTTGTAGGCTGGGTGTAGATTTGTAATCCCAACCCTATCTGGTTGGGATTCCTTCGTAATCCTGCAAATCAGCCAACTCACCAATTGGAGATTTGCTAGGATTCCCAGCCCATTCTTTCCCTAGTTTTGCTCAACCCAACCGTGTTTGTACTTAAGACCTAGTGCCTTCCTTATCAATCAATCAGTTCAGTTCCAATTCTATCAACCTGCCCCACATCTCACCTGCCCTATATCTCACCTGCCCCACATCCCACCTGCCCCACATCTCACCTGCCCCACATGCCACCTGCCCCACATCTCACCTGCCCCACATCTCACCTGCCCCACATCTCACCTGCCCCACATCCCACCTACCCCACATCTCACCTGCCCCACATCTCACCTGCCCCACATCTCACCTGCCCCACATCTCACCTGCCCCACATCTCACCTGCCCCACATCTCACCTGCCCCACATCTCACCTGCCCCACATCTCACCTGCCCCACATCTCACCTGCCCCACATCTCACCTGCCCCACATCTCACCTGCCCCACATCTCACCTGCCCCACATCCCACCTGCCCCACATCTCACCTGCCCCACATCTCACCTGCCCCACATCTCACCTGCCCCACATCTCACCTGCCCCACATCTCACCTGCCCCACATCTCACCTGCCCCACATCTCACCTGCCCCACATCTCACCTGCCCCATGTCAGAGAGCATGAGATCACCGTCCACTGCCCGCTCTGCTGCCACGTCTGCACGCGCATTGGCCATGGACGCATGGGTTTTGGGCCAGGGGTGATGGATGCATAAGTTCAGGGACATAAATATAAATGCATATAGGGACATAAGTTTGAATGCATGGACTAAGTTAGGGATATAAGTTTCGATGCACGGGTTTAGGAACATGGGTTAATGGACGCCCAGTTGAGCCCAACCCACCCCAGCAGCAACGGCCTCCCTCAATGATAGCACCCAGTTTTTCCCATCTCCTGCCAGTCTATCTGCCCATCCTCACTCCACCTCCTCCTGCCTAATCTCCCCCTTCTCCCCTCCCGCCAAGCCCCCATGCCCATGCCCCCCGCGCACCCAGCATGGACGGCCAGATGGCCAGCCCCTAGCAGCTTCAACGTTTCCTCCCCTCCTCCTCCCCCCCGCACCCCACCCCTCCCCCCGCCCTTTCCCCCCTCACCGCGTACCCAGCATGGAGGGCCAGATGTCCACACCCAGCTTTAGGGTTTTGGCCCCCACCACACCTCCCCGCGCCTCCCCTCCTTCCTCCCCTTCCCCCCCTTTCCCCCGCGCAACCAGCATGGAGGACGATATGCCCACACCCAGCTTTAGGGCTTTATCCCCCCTTTTTCCTCCCCCCCCTTCTCCTTCAACCCCGATTCCTTCCCCCATCCCCCCACTCCCCCCGAGTTCCCAGCATGGAGGACGATATGCATATGCCCACACCCAGCTTTAGGGCTTAGCGACCCACCCCTCATAAACCCTCTCCCCCACTCCCCCCTCCCCCCTCCCCATCTCCCTCATCCCCCCACGCACCCAGCATGGCGGGCGAGATGTCCAGCCCCACCCAGTGGTGCCCTGCCTCAGATAACGCCTCCCCGCTCAGCCCCGAGCCGCAACCTGGGGGGGCGGGGAAGCGAGCAGGGGATGGGGGAAAGCGAGCAGGGGATGGGGGAAAGCGAGCAGGGGATGGGGGAAAGCGAGCAGGGGATGGGGGAAAGCGAGCAGGGGATGGGGGAAAGCGAGCAGGGGATGGGGGAAAGTGAGCAGGGGATGGGGGAAAGCGAGCAGGGGATGGGGGAAAGCGAGCAGGGGATGGGGGAAAGCGAGCAGGGGATGGGGGAAAGTGAGCAGGGGATGGGGGAAAGAGAGCAGGGGATGGGGGGAAAGCGAGCAGGGGATGGGGGAAAGTGAGCAGGGGATGGGGAATGGGGGAATAAGCCCCACCCAGTTGTTCCCTTCCTCAGATAACGCCTCCCCGCTCACCCGCGAGCCACAACCTAGAGGGGGGGAGGGATACGGGAAGAAAGTATGGGGGGATTGGGGGTTGGTGGGTGGAGTGGAGGTATGGGGGAACGCGAGCGGAGGACGGGGGAGATTAATTGGGACAGCAAGGGGACCACAGAGCGAGTGGAACTAACCGCGACTCGCGATGGCGACAAAATGCCCTTGCCGAGTATCGTTTCGTTCCCCTGCCTAACCCCTGTCAAAACCCCTCGCCACCCGCCCCTCGAAACCCTGCCCTTTCCTATCCCCCCCAAATCCCGCGTTGGCACTTCTCCCCCTTTTCTTCCTCCTCCCACGCCCCTTTTCCCTTTTCCCTCCTTCCCCTCTTCCCCCTTGTCCCCCGCTGCCCTCCTCTTCCTCCTCCCCGCTTCCCCCTTCCCTCCCCCTTTTCGACGCACCAATTGTCCACCAGGAGCGGCGGAGTGGTGGAAAACCCCAACGTTCAAACGCTTTCCCCACCCTCTCCAACCCCCCCACCCCCCTCCCCCCTTCTTCCCCCCACCCCCTTCCCCCCCTCTTCGGCGCACCAATGTCCAGCAGGAGCCGCGGAGTGCCGTCATCGGGAAGCGCGAGTAGCTCGACTGCTCGCTCCGTGAGTTTCGCCTGTCACATTCGCGCGCGGAATTCGTGGGGAACGGCGAAACAGGGTGCATGGGGTGAATGGGGGTTACGGGCTTTGGAGAGGGTTTTGCTACCATCGTCATGGGACTGTCCGTAACTAGCACGAGGCTTTATGTGAGGGGTGTAAGTTGTGAGTGTAACGAAAATGATGCGATCTAAAGCGCAGCAAAGGCGGCTGCTGACTCTTCCCAAAAACTAACGTTATAACGCGTATACGACGCGACTTCGACGGAGCAGGCCAATCGTGAGACCTATGCAACAAAAAACGCGACAGGCTGTCTGTCTACGTGGCTAAACGTTATTCGCCTGCCCTGTCCCATGCCGTAACTCGGACCCCAACGAGTCATGACGTGGATTCCCGCCGATGCAAAAGACGCTAGATAGGGACCGCACATGCCTGAATCTCGATCATGCGCGACGACGTGGTGTACTTGCGCGCCTCGGCGTCATTGTAGAACACCTCGGGGGGAGCTAGCTGTTCCGGTCGACTCGCCATCTTGCAAATGTGCAAAACTGTGACGAAGATGGCTTGGGACAGATTATATTAAATCAATAAAATTTATTATGTCGCCATTCAACGGGGGTGTAGCTCACATGGTAGAGCGATCGCTTCGCATGCGATAGGTAAGGGGATCGATACCCCTCACCTCCACGGAAACTCCGAGGGCCCGATTCTTTTAGCGCGGCTCTTTATTGATCAGAGCTAGCTGATCAAGTTGGACAAGATGGGCGTGTGTCACGGTAAAATACAATTGAGAGACGTGTCGCCCCGGTGCAAAGTGGTTGAAGGACTATTTTCACCAAAGGACGCACACTCCAAGGGTGCGGAAAATTGCTGGATCTTTGCCACATGGCCGCTACGAGTCGCGACCTAATGTTCACCGCATTCGCAAGTTTCGGCCGTGGAAGATGTGTCTGGGGGCCGAATGGCACGAACGACACCAGAGGCTATGAAGCAAGTCTATTTAGGATGAACCAACTTAGACCAACCAGTTTTCCTTAGTGACCTGGCTCGGGATGGAATCCTGGTAGTAGAAGGTACACACAGCGGGTCGCGTATCGCTTTTACTTCCCTCATCCTCGTCATGCCTCGATTTCGTCCCGTCCTCTTCTCCCTCGCACTGCTGCTCATCTCCGTCTCCGTCACCCTCCCCTTCCTCACCTTCCGCCTGCCGCCTCTCCATCTCCCCGCCCTCGCTCGCCGCGACCTTCGCCGCTTCTTCCGCTCGCCTTTTATTTCCCACCAGCAGCAGCAGCAGCAGCCTTTCGATTCTCGTTCACCCGAGCGTGTCGAACTTGAGAAGCCGTTTGAGGCTCGGCAAACCGAGCCTGTTAGAACCGAGCCGCCTTCGCACAGAGCCGTCGATCTGCTGGGAGAGCCGGGATGTGCGAAGCTTCGGAGAAGGTTCCAGGAATTGCAAGAGGCGATGAGCAACCTTCAGGTCCGAGCGTTACTGCCGGAGGGCTTGGTCTCTTAGCAACATTCTGTGCATTAAAACGTTTCCGTTTCTCGCGGCTCGTAGCATTGCTCGTCTCGTGTCGTGTCGTCGGTCAACAGAGCATGGAGCGTTCGCTCGTCCCTTTCCGTTCGCTCGTCCCTTTCCGTTCGCTCGTCCCTTTCCGTTCGCTCGTCCCTTTCCGTTCGCTCGTCCCTTTCCGTTCGCTCGTCCCTTTCCGTTCGCTCGTCCCTTTCCGTTCGCTCGTCCCTTTCCGTTCGCTCGTCCCTTTCCGTTCGCTCGTCCCTTTCCGTTCGCTCGTCCCTTTCCGTTCGCTCGTCCCTTTCCGTTCGCTCGTCCCTTTCCGTTCGCTCGTCCCTTTCCGTTCGCTCGTCCCTTTCCGTTCGCTCGTCCCTTTCCGCTCGCTCGTCCCTTTCCGTTCGCTCGTCCCTTTCCGCTCGCTCGTCCCTTTCCGTTCGCTCGTCCCTTTCCGTTCGCTCGTCCCTTTCCGTTCGCTCGTCCCTTTCCGTTCGCTCGTCCCTTTCCGTTCGCTCGTCCCTTTCCGTTCGCTCGTCCCTTTCCGTTCGCTCGTCCCTTTCCGTTCGCTCGTCCCTTTCCGTTCGCTCGTCCCTTTCCGCTCGCTCGTCCCTTTCCGTTCGCTCGTCCCTTTCCGTTCGCTCGTCCCTTTCCGTTCGCTCGTCCCTTTCCGTTCGCTCGTCCCTTTCCGTTCGCTCGTCCCTTTCCGTTCGCTCGTCCCTTTCCGTTCGCTCGTCCCTTTCCGTTCGCTCGTCCCTTTCCGTTCGCTCGTCCCTTTCCGTTCGCTCGTCCCTTTCCGTTCGCTCGTCCCTTTCCGCTCGCTCGTCCCTTTCCGTTCGCTCGTCCCTTTCCGCTCGCTCGTCCCTTTCCGTTCGCTCGTCCCTTTCCGCTCGCTCGTCCCTTTCCGCTCGCTCGTCCCTTTCCGTTCGCTCGTCCCTTTCCGTTCGCTCGTCCCTTTCCGTTCGCTCGTCCCTTTCCGTTCGCTCGTCCCTTTCCGTTCGCTCGTCCCTTTCCGTTCGCTCGTCCCTTTCCGTTCGCTCGTCCCTTTCCGTTCGCTCGTCCCTTTCCGTTCGCTCGTCCCTTTCCGTTCGCTCGTCCCTTTCCGTTCGCTCGTCCCTTTCCGTTCGCTCGTCCCTTTCCGTTCGCTCGTCCCTTTCCGTTCGCTCGTCCCTTTCCGTTCGCTCGTCCCTTTCCGTTCGCTCGTCCCTTTCCGCTCGCTCGTCCCTTTCCGCTCGCTCGTCCCTTTCCGTTCGCTCGTCCCTTTCCGTTCGCTCGTCCCTTTCCGTTCGCTCGTCCCTTTCCGTTCGCTCGTCCCTTTCCGTTCGCTCGTCCCTTTCCGTTCGCTCGTCCCTTTCCGTTCGCTCGTCCCTTTCCGTTCGCTCGTCCCTTTCCGTTCGCTCGTCCCTTTCCGTTCGCTCGTCCCTTTCCGTTCGCTCGTCCCTTTCCGTTCGCTCGTCCCTTTCCGTTCGCTCGTCCCTTTCCGTTCGCTCGTCCCTTTCCGTTCGCTCGTCCCTTTCCGTTCGCTCGTCCCTTTCCGTTCGCTCGTCCCTTTCCGTTCGCTCGTCCCTTTCCGTTCGCTCGTCCCTTTCCGTTCGCTCGTCCCTTTCCGTTCGCTCGTCCCTTTCCGTTCGCTCGTCCCTTTCCGTTCGCTCGTCCCTTTCCGTTCGCTCGTCCCTTTCCGTTCGCTCGTCCCTTTCCGTTCGCTCGTCCCTTTCCGTTCGCTCGTCCCTTTCCGTTCGCTCGTCCCTTTCCGTTCGCTCGTCCCTTTCCGTTCGCTCGTCCCTTTCCGTTCGCTCGTCCCTTTCCGCTCGCTCGTCCCTTTCCGTTCATGCCGCTATAGCCGTTATACACCCAGTCAAGAGGTTGCACGTCTCACGAGTTTGCTGCTCTATCCCGTCTCACGCGTTCCCTTCCATTCCATGCTTTCCTTTCTTTTTCCGCATGTTCCCTCTTCACAAGTCAGGCGAAATATTCGCAGCTGGTTCGGCAGCATACAGCCCTCACATTGGCCCATTCAGCCCTCCTGTTCCAAGCCGAGCAGCAGCAACGCACCATTGGTTCACTGCAAACCCAATCAGAAAATGCCAGCTTGGCGATCAACCCTGTGATTTCCAACGGATCACCTCAAAGAGCACATGATATGCATGAAGCAACGCCGAGCCGTGCGAGTGCTTCTGAGGCACACTCTAATAACGAACGTTCTACTAACGGGTCTGCCGAAGGCCCTGAAGCTGCCAGGGGAGTTTCCAGCACAGATGCAAGCAGCGCAGTCTCAGGGGCGCCAGAGTTGCCTGCCGAACCAAAATCTGACGATTCCGAAGCTGCGAGTTCAGGCTCGGTTGCAGGTGCGGAGGGTGAGTGCGAGAGTGCGCTGATGGCGTGCCAGCAGCAGCAGGAGCTGATGAAACTGGCCGGGGGAGGTGGGGAGGGAGGCGAGGGCGGCGAGGGGGGAGTGGGAGACATGGTGCAGGAGCTGGCAGCCGGCATGAAGAGCCTCGACGCGTCCTTCCGCCTCGCGCTCGTGAGTGCAAGGGGGGGGGCAGTGTGATGGGGGCGGTGTGATGGGGGCAGTGTGATGGGGGCGGTGTGATGGGGGCAGTGTGATAGGGGCAGTGTGATGGGGGCGGTGGGATGGCGGGTGGCAGCAACAGATATAGGCAGCCACGGGTTGAGGTTGATTGAAGGCAGTGAGGGGGCAGCATGCATGACGGGCCTGGAGCCATCGTTCCGTCTGCCTGCCTGGCAAGCAATAGTTAGTGGACAGACGGGGACAGTGGCACGCGTGCAGGTGCACACTTTGAAGCCTGGGGTGTAGAATGCTAAGGAACGGTTGAGTGGGGTGGAGAGGAGCGGGGTTGGAACGGGTGCAGTGCACAGTGAGCAGGGAGCCTGCAGCAGCCGCACCGGCTGGTGGCTGTGAAGGGAATCGGGAGAAAGGGTGGGGGGAGGATGCGCAGTGCTTTAGTAGTCACTATAGACGTGGGTGAAGGGCTGGAGTTGACCGCGGGCGTGGCCTCCCTCTTCTTGAACCCAGACGGAGAACTATTGTTGAGTCCAGACGGAGAACTATTGTTGAGTCCAGACGGAGAACTATTGTTGAGTCCAGACGGAGAACTATTGTTGAGTCCAGACGGAGAACTATTGTTGAGTCCAGACGGAGAACTATTGTTGAGTCCAGACGGAGAACTATTGTTGAGTCCAGACGGAGAACTATTGTTGGGTTCAGACGGAGAACCGCTCACCCTCTTTTTGCATCCCTCTGTGCTGTGATGTTGTCACCTTCGTTCGCGCATCTGTGTGTGTGTAAGCTCAGGTGATTATATGTGTGTGCGCTCATGTGAATGTATGCATGTGAATGAACAGTGGAAGGAGGAGCATTGTCAGGCCAATTAGAGCGCGCTGAGGTGGACCAATCAGATGCTCCGGCATGACGTCACGCACCTGAAGGCACAGCTGGCTGCGCGTGACAAGAGTGGGAGTTTGCACCTGAAGAAACACCTGAGAAAGCACCTGAAGCAGCATTCAGGCGTTCTTGTAAACAATTCTGAAGCGCTAGACAGGAGAGTGGTGATGGGAAGCAGTGAGGAAGAGGAGGGAGGAAGCAGAAGCACAGGCTGGGGGGCAAGGCGGGATGAGAGAAGGGACGAAATTGGGAGTGCGGGCTACCGAGGGGGAGTGGATGGCAGGCAGAGTAAGGGGTTGGAGGGGGAAAGGAAGGATGGCGTGAGTGAGGATGCGGAGGATTATGTTTATGGGGGCAGGAGAGGAGGTGAGGATGAAGGGTGGGGAGGTGGTGAAGGTGAAGAGGGAAGTGGCGGTGAGGATGATGAGGGGAGGAGGAGTGGTGGCATGGGTGAGAGCGCGCGTGCGCTGATGGCGCTGTGGGAGGCCGCCCCCTCCCTGGGGCTCAGGGATGTGCGCAGTGCCGCCGTGCAGCGTGCTCTCACACTGCTCAGACGCGCTGTGGGGGAACAGGGGGGAGAACAGGTGGGGGGAGTGGGGACAGCAGAAGGGGAGGGTAAGGAGACGAATGAGGGAGTGCAGCAAGCGAGGAGACAAGCAGATGATTTGAGTGGGGCAGGAGGGAGTGTGGGAGGGGCAGGGGAGGAGGCGTGGTTGAGTGAGGAGGAGGAGCAGCAGCTGGTGCCAGCAGCACCCCATGTGGACGACTGTGCCTCTCTCGCTACGGACATCAGGTGATTATATGCGAGTGGATGGGCGTGTGTGATTGTATGCGTGTGGGTGTGTGAATGTGCATGTATCCATGGGTGTGCACATGGCATCATGACATGCTTGGGGAGAGCCGTCATTTCCCACCCGCCGCCTTTTTCTTCTTCTTTGCGCTTCTTGTTTTCCAAGGGCTTGGAAGGCACTACGCTCAGCAGATTGAGCCATGGCACCTTACCTCGCCCGCTGCACCTTGCTTCTCTCTCTGCCTCCACCGCTTGTTTTACCAACTGGTCGCCATTCGTCTCTCTCCCTTCTTTTCAGCCGCTTCACAACTTGAGAACTAAAGTGTGCTCCTTTCTCTCTTCTTCTCCAACTCCCCTCTGCAGCATTCTGGATTCCCGGTCTGCTGACGGGGCGCTTCCGGATTGGTCGCTTTGGGGCGGCAGGTTGGGACTGGTGGCACGGCGGTTGGAGGAGCGGGAGAGGGAGAAGGTGAGGAGGGAGAGAGAAAGGGAACGAGAGGGGCGTGCAGGCAAGGAAACAGAGGAAGCGGGAGGCGGAGAGCGGAGGGGAGAAGTAAACGGAGAGGAAGAGGAAGAGGGAAGCAAGGCGGAAGGTGCGGCAGTTGTAGCGGAGGCGGAGAGGCAGTTGGAGCAGGAGGAGCAGGCACGTGCACTGCAGCACGAGGCAATGCGGTTACAGGCACAGGAGAGGATGCAGGAGAGGCAAGGGGCGAGTGAGGAGCAGGCGGAGGTGGCGGCGTGGATGGCAGCAGCACGGGACGAGCAGCTCATGGGGGACCACACAGGGGCTGTCCTGGGGCCGTACCCCCCCTGGGTGAGTGCTGTGGCACGTGCCATGTGTAGGTGAGGTTTTTGTGTAGCTGATATTGGTGAATAGAATCCTCAAGCACCAGCTACAGCAAAGTCGACTCAGAGTGCAGCACAGGCTTGGAAGAGTGAATGGTTCCTGCAAGGCAAGGTCGCCCTGCCATTCCAAGAGAATGCTAGCTGCACCTGCACAGCAACCCAAGGACAGCAGATCTAGCCCTCATCCTCTTCCATGCTCGCCCCCTCCCTCCCTCCCTCCACCCCCCAGGTATCAGGTGGGGGCGAGTACAATCTGCCCATGTAACGAGGCGAGTGCAGAGAGACATGTGGTTGCGCCAGCACCCCAAGAAACGCCTCGATTCCTCTCCCTCTGCTATGCATGGCACGCCCCTCCACAACCCAGGTATCAGGAGCAGACGAGGACAACCTGCCCATGACGAGGCGCGCTCAGAGGGACGTGTGGGTGCACCAGCACCCTCGCAACTGCTCGCACCCCTCTGTCAAGTTCCTCGTCGTGGACGTGCTCAGGAAGGTCCGCGGAAGCTTCCTGGGCGTGGGGGCGCAGGTGAACTGGCTGGCGGGCGTGCTGGGCACGGCTGTGATGGAGGGGCGTGTGCTGGTGGTGCGGCACTACCATAGGGCGGCGCACGATGGGTGCCATGGTGGGTGACTGACAGAGTTGAAAGGGCGGGTAGGAGTGTAGTGAAGGAAGGGATGGGTGGTGGAGGGGCGCGTGCTGGTGATCCGACACCACCATAGGGCGGCGCACGATGGGTGCCATGGTGGGTGGGTGGCGCACAGTGGTAGAAGGGAGGGTGAGAGTGGTGGGAGGGAGTGATGAATGGTGGAGGGGCGCGTGCTGGTGGTCAGACACGACCACCGGGCGGCGCACGATGGGTGCCATGGTGGGTTGGTGACAGGGTTGAAAGGGCAGGTAGGAGTGTAGTGAAGGAAGGGATGGGTGGTGGAGGGGCGCGTGCTGGTGATCCGACACCACCATAGGGCGGCGCACGATGGGTGCCATGGTGGGTTGCAGTAACCAAGGGAGGGAGGAGACTGTAAGGGCCAGTGGGTGGTGGAGGGGCGCGTGCTCGTGGTGCGCCACTACCATAGGGCGGCGCACAACGGGTGCCATGGTTGCAGTGGTGGAAGGGAGGGTGAGAGTGGTGACGTGAGAGGTGAGAGAGGTGGGGGTGAGGGTTGTGTGGTAGAGGTCAGGGTGCTGGTGGTGTGGCATTGTTACACAGGGGAGGCAGAGATGTGTAAAGGTGGGTGCAGATAGGGAATGGAGCTTTGTGAATGAGGTTCACTAGCCCATACTAGGGTGAAACGCGTGTAGAGGGGATGAAAGTAGGGAAGGGAGGATGACACTATCAAGAGATGCCATGGAGATACACGCTCTCATGTGACAATATCAGAGGGAGGGTTTCTGTTTGTTACCATACTCTCTCTTCAACTCCTCATGTGGCTCCCTCCCTCACATTCTCACTGTGCTTCGTCCCCCATCCGTGCGCCCCGCTTTCTCCCCCATCCCCATCGCTCAATAGCGTGTCGACAGGTGTGCATCGAGGCCGGTGGTCATGCTACTTCGTGCCCGAGACCTCCCCTGAGTGCCGCCAGCAGGCCCTGCACCTGCTGCACTTCTCCCGCCAGCAGGCCCTGCACCTGCTGCACTCCTCCCGCCCTACCCACGCAACCCCCAGCAATCGTAGTGACGGTGGTACTGCTGGGGATGCTGGGGGTGACAACAATGGGAGCGAGAGTAGGGGGGATGAGAGCAGCAGCGGGGAGGAGTGGAGCAGGAGGAGGGTGACGGTATGGGAGGAGTATCTGGATCGCAACGTCACCAATTTCTTCACCATTCACTATCCCACGTGAGTGCCCTCTTGCTGCTGTGCTTCTTGAGACGTCTGGAAATCGGTAGCTGGGCCGCAATGTCACGTGAGCGCAACTTCTTCACCATCGATTATCCCACGTGAGCACCCTCTTGCTGCTCATGTGGTGACTCGTGTGCCACTCACCATGCACACCACTATCCTGCTTCTGACTCACCGTGCACGCAACTTCCGTTGTGCACTTTTCATCCACGTTTCGTCCACGAAAACTGCACTTTTCCGGCACTGTTTCATTCACGACGTTTTGCGGTCACGATGCGGTTCATCCACACGACAGCTGAGCAGGAGTGTGTTGCATGCACTGGCACTAGGTAGGAATAGGAATTCCATTGCCATGTGTGTTGGCAGCCAATATTCTCAAACACCAAGTTGATCTTTCTGCTTGGCTTTGCAGCATCTGGGGCCGGCCTTGGAAGCACATGCATCCGACGGTAGACGTGCATGGAAGGCTCATTCGATGGACAGCATTCAATCGCCACCGCTGGTGGTTCGCTCAGGTGCACTTTCTGTTTCTGTTCGGCTTTTTGTGTGTGCGAAACTGATTCCTCTTGGGCTCATTATCACATGCTGTAAAGCTGTCCAAAAGTTCTTTTGGTGTGTGCATGTGCTGTTTTCTGTACTTGCCATCTCTGTCCTTCCACTTCGCTTTTCTTGCTGAAGCTTTGTGCGTTTCGGCTACACTTCCCCCACTTGCACAAAGTGCCACTTCTCTGTTCCCCCCTTCTCCTGATATCCTCCTCTCCTCCTCTCCTCATCTCCTCGCCTCTGCCTGTCCTCTCATCCATCTCGGAGTCTCCTCTCCTCTCCTCGTTTCTCCTCCCCTCACCCCACCAGGCCGCCTCCTACCTCATGCGCTACCCCTCCCCTCGTCTCTGCATGCTCCTCAATCGCGCCCGCCACCGCGCCTTCGGCCCAGCCCTCGCCGCCCGGGCAGCCCGCTTCCTGCCCTCCAATTGGCCAAAAACCCTCGAGCAGCTGCCCGATCTTACCTCTCGAAACGCCCTGGGCAGCGAGGGAAAAATCGAGGAGATATGGCAGGCAGCAAGTGGAGGTGCTATAGGCGGCACAGGGGCACTGTCAGGAAACGGAGCGTACCGAGCAGCAGGGGGGTATTTGCCAGAGGGGCTGGTGGCGGTGCATGTGCGGCAGGGCGACAAGGCGGGCGAGATGGCGATGGCAGGGCTGGAGGTGTATGTGGCATTGCTGGGCCGCGTGAGACGCCGGTTTCCCTACGCGGACGCGGTGTGGCTCAGCACTGAGATGCAGGTGATTGAATGAGTGGGTGATTGAATGAGTGGGTGATTGAATGAGTGGGTGATTGAATGAGTGGGTGATTGAATGAGTGGGTGATTGAATGAGTGGGTGATTGAATGAGTGGGTGATTGAATTAGTGACTGAGTGTGAGAGTGGGTGAGGCAGGGCGACAAGACAGGCGAGATGGCGATGGCGGGGGTGGACGTGTATCTGGCGCTGCTGGGCCGCGTGAGACGCCAGTTCCCCCATGCCGACTTTGTGTGGCTCAGCACTGAGATGCAGGTGCGTGTGTGAGAGGGAGAGGAACGTGTGAGTGGGTGATTGTGAGTGGGTGAGTGCGAGGGTAGAGTGGATGCGTGGGTGAATGTGTGTGTGATTGGGCGAGTGGGTGTGTGTGTGCAAGCATATGAGCACGGGTGAGCACAGTGATGCACATAATCGAAGAATCGCCACCCCCCAACCCGACCCCCCCTCACCCCACCCTAATGCACCTCTCTCCCTCCCCTGTGCACTTCATGCTCTCATGCCGGCGCACAAATCACTCCCCCAATCACTCCACTACACATTCGTCCTGCTGCTGGCTTACCAGTCAGCACCCTATCCCACAAACTCACTCTCCACTATAAGAATCCCTTCCCCGCTCCCGTCGGCAATGCCGATCAAAAAGTCGACCAAAAACCCTTCGCCTGCTCCATCTCCATGAACCCCTCTTCCTTCCTCCTTCCCGGCCTCTTTCTCCGCCCTTCAGAGGCACTGGTGGATGCCGCCAAGCACTACACGCAGTGGCGCTTCCACACCACTGACTTCCCCTGGCAGGCTCTACCTCCCCCTCCTCCTCCCCTCCCCCGTGCCTTCCTCCGCCCCACACAGGCAGTGGTGGACGCCGCCAGGCACTACACGCGCTGGCGCTTCCACGCCACCGACTTCCCCCGCCAGGCGGCAGGCGAGAGCATGGATGCGTACGACGCGCGCGTGGGGGAGCAGCGCGCCACCGACAACATCTTCGTGAACCTCCTCGTCTCCGCGGATGCGCCTTTCTTCGTGGGCACCATGGGGTCCACGTGGTCCGTGCTCATTGATAACTCTCAACAGCCAACTCGTCTCAACCCCTGCCTCTACCTCCCCTTCCGCCTCCCCTGCCTCCTCCGCCCCACACAGGCTGTAGTCGACGCCGCCAAGCACTACACGCGTTGGCGCTTCCATGTCACCGACTTCCCCCGGCAAGCAGTGGGCGAGAGCATGGACGCGTACGACGCGCGCGTGGGGGAGCAGCGCGCCACCGACAACGCGTTTGTAAACCTCCTCGTCTCCGCCGACGCGCCCTTCTTCGTGGGCACCATGGGGTCCACGTGGTCCGTGCTCATCGATAACCTCCGGGTGGCGGGGCGGGGCAAGGCGCGGGTGGGCATGCTGAGTGTGAACCGGGACCGGTACTGGTTCGGGGAGACGTGGGAGGTGTGGAGGGACCTGTACAGGAATATCACCATGTAGGACGAAGGTTTGCATGCACGGTTTTGCTTTGCAAGTGATGAGACGCTTTCAGTTTTTTTTTTAGTGAGCCGCACTTCCAGAATGGTGTGCTGGGATGGGAACGCGAAGACTGTAACAGAATTTTGGGCATTCAAATTTTTTTATGATCGCCTTCATAACGAGAAAATAACATGTATTTTAAAGAGTGAAACGAATCTCCCTTCCAAGTAAACAGAGACAAGCGGCAAGGAGAGTGCGGTAAAATTGGGGCAGTTCGTCCACCATTCTGCAGCCAGCCGTCCGCCTGCATCATATTTCACTCGTGTGGTTCTGATAGGGCGCCCCCCCCTCCTCCCTCTTCCCCCCTCGCCCCTTATTCGATCCCTCGACTGCCCTAAAAAAACACTCGCAAGGTTATCCAGAAGGAGTCGTAGTACTACGCACCCATGTCGCGCGTCCGCCTACTCAGCTATTTCACCCAACCCACCCCGCCCAACCGCACTCCACCTACCCCCCCACACGCCATGTAACACCTCGCTACCCACTGGGTCAAAACGAGGGTGTTAGTTGGCGCAGCGGAGTGCCCTTAACACAGCCCACAGGCGTTACACTCGTCCCCCCCTGGTGCCAACGTCCCCGTTGGCCTGAAGTTCAGGGAGTCGGCCCCCTGCTGCTGGGACCTAGATTTCAGGATCGTTCACTGGGTTCGAGCTGGTAACCACACTTCAATTCTCGCCATAGGCGGAAAGTGTGAACCAGCCGGGACTCGAACCCTAGGCTCTGAAACCAAATGTAACACCTCGCTACCCACTGGGTCAAAACGAGGGTGTTAGTTGGCGCAGCGGAGTGCCCTTAACACAGCCCACAGGCGTTACACGCCAGGCCGCCTCCGTTTCCATGGCCGCAGCCGGCCAAGCTCTGAGAGCGCACGAACCGGCGCGGCGCGTCACGCTCATCGTCATGCGCCTCCACGTCACGTTCCTCCTCGTCGCCGCGATACTCGCTGGCAGCGCCGCCGGCGTTCAGTCAACACCGTTCGCCCGGAGATCCCACACGTTCAGTCCACCCGTGGCGCGTGAAGACCTTGGGCAATATTCTTCCAGCTGGCGCTGCTGGGGCCGCAAGCGGGGCCGCCATTACTTCAGCCAGCGGAAAAGCACCCGTAGCGGCGAAACCACTGGCGACACCCGGCGCGACGCCAGCCGCGACGTGTGAGGCATCGAGTCTCACGGGGTTCACGAGCTCCGTGGACCTTTCAGGCAGCGGGTGAGTACGAACTTCACAAGTAACGACCTTCTTAGCCAGGATTCTTACACGCAATACCCTTTGACCGCTTTCTAGGCTCATCCTCCACCCTAAAACGTGAAACGCCGGGTGATTCCCTCATCGAGTCAAGGGACAAGATCCCAGATATGATATACTGTATCAATCATAGAAACGCTGCGAGCGTGTCTCTGAGAGCTTCGTCATGCCCTGCATTTCACGTCAGGTGACGTTTATAAATATGGCTTATTTAGCCCAATCTTCGGAAGCGTTTCCCTTCCCCAGGCTCATCCTGCACTGGAAGACGTCAACGGGGTCAACGATCGACCTGGCGCTGGAGGCCACGTCAGCGAGCGGCGCGGCGGATGGCTGGTTCGCAGTGGCGTGGACCAATGGCGGCATGGTCAACTCCGACGCCGTCATCGGGAACCTCGCCACGCCCGCCAGCGGCGTGGACACGTACGCGATCTCGAGCTACTCGGGCCCGGTTGCCACCACGCGCTTTGCCGTCAGCGGCGCGAGCGTGGCTTCGGAAGGCGAAAGCACGATCGTGAGGTTCACGCGGGAGACGGGAGACGGGTTTGTGGCGATGAACGTGGCGGGGAGCAACAAGCTCGCGTGGGCTCACTCGTCCAGCGCCTCGCAGACAGTTGCCAACCATGGCGGCTCGAACAGGTGCCGCTGCATGCTTTCTCAAGGGTACCCCTCCCTTCCCTTCTCCTCCCCTCCCCCTTCCGGCTCGTTAAATTCCACCTGAGAGTGGTTTGATTGCATGGTGAGCTCTTCTTTCTACTGCCAACTGTTATAGCTTCTCTCCCCTTTCTCTCCTCCTCATGTGGTAAAGGACTTCTTTTCCTTCCCCTTCTCCCTGCCTATTTCCTCACCACCAGAGGAACCACTACTGTTGATTTCTCTTGCGACGACACAGCCGGCTCTGGATCAGGCTCCGGGTCAGGCTCGGGATCAGGCTCGAGATCAGGCTCGGGCAGTGGTGTTGGCACGTGCACGGACAACACGGGCGTGAGCGGCACGGCATGCCCTGCGTCCACCCTGTGCGGCTACTCCTACCAGGCGCAGATTAAATCGGGGTATGCGCGCATTCGGAGGCGATCAAATCCGGCTGTTAACCATTTGTTGCCACAACAGCTGCTGCTGCTGCTGCTGTTGCTGCTGCTGCATGCGTTACTTCTTCCGCAGCTTGTTTTCATCCCCTTCCCGTTCCTCCCTCCCTCTCCTCTGTTCCATCCCAGCGTGCACTGGAAGCGCGCCTACGCTTCCAGGACGGGGTTCCTCTGTTCCGCTAAGCTTTCTTCTTCTGCATTGGAAGCGTGCCGCCGCCTTGCAGCTGGGCATGGCCGTGCAGCTCAAGCCACATCTCTCGTTCTCCATTTCCCCCCTACCATTGCCACCCGAACCGCGTACCGCTGCCGTGTCCGCCCCTCTTCCCAGCGTGCTGCTGCACTGAAAGCGGGCCTGCGCCATGGAGCTGGACATGGCTGTGGAGCTCAAGACAAACGATTCATTCCTTCTTTTCCTCCCAATTTCTTCCCTTCTTCTCTCCTTGTCCCCAGCGTGCTGCCGCATTGGAAGCGTGCCTCCACCACACAGCTGGACATGGCCGTGGAGCTCAAGAGCAGCAGCGGCGTCAGCAACAGCTGGTTCGCCCTCGGCTGGTCCAGCGCGGGACGCATGGCTCCCTCCGACGCAGTCATTGGCAACATGGACGGGGGGGTCGTCACCCCTTACCACATCACTGGCCACACCATATCCTCCTTACAAGATGCCTCGTTCAGCATTGGTAGCAGTGCTGGGACCGTGACATCGGCTTCAGGGTCCACAGTGATCCAGTGAGTGAGGGGCGATTGGCTCGTGGCATCAGCTGCCTTCTCTTTCCACCCACAGTGATCCAGTGAGTAGCAAGCTTGTGTGGTGTGCACTTGTGCCTTTCTATTCTGCCACCCCTCTCACCCGCTCTCTCACCCTCTCTCTCTCTCACGCGATCTCTCCCGCTCTCTCACCCGCTCTCTCCTGCTCTCTCACCTGCTCTCTGTTTCCCTAATGCGTCACACTTTAAACTTAATCAGCCAACTGTGTGTCTTATCCTTGGCCGTGCACCAATCAGGTTCTCCCGCACGGCCAGCACGGGGTTTATTCCCGTGAAGATGACCGGAGTCAGCCGCCTCATATGGGCGCACTCCGACTCAAACTCCAAGACCCTTGCCTTCCACGGCGGCACCAAGTGAGTGCCCCTGTCTCAACCTCTACCTCTTTGTTTCCTATCCAATGTTCACATCCCTGTTGTCTCCTCTGTTGGCCTCTCTTCTTGTGGACTTGCAACTGAGCCACTGCTTCCCAATCTGCACATAGCTGCTACGGGGAGACAAGCCCCCTTCCATTCTTGTTTCAACGTCCTCCCCTTCATCCACCACCCTCTCTCTGTTTCTCTCTAATGGTCCGTGCATTGATATAGCAAAACGGTACAAACATGCAAAGCATAGATACTAGGGTTGTAATACCAAACAAACAACTAACTAACTAAAAACATCTGCCTCTCTACAGCTCCATAAGGGGCTCAATCATAGCACAACAGTCCCCAAGGTGGAGCTCGGACTGTACCCCCCCCACGGGGGGATTTTCAGCTACTGCCGCCTGACTGGACTTAATCAAATAACCCACTGACTGTGCTCTCTGGAGAGCCACTGACCACCGCTGCCTGAAGAGATGGAGGAATCTGGCTGCATGAAATGAGTGAGGTTGGGCGTTGAAGTGACGCCTAGCAGCTGTGTCCGCCAATAGCTTCAGAAACTGTGGGACCTCGGCACAGGGGCACCCGTATGTCTCAACTGCCAAGGGGAAGAAGCCTACAGTGTCAGGGCGGCTAGCATAGCGGCTGATCTTCTTGTCAGCCTGCTCTCTCGCCGCCCACCCCCTCCCCTTGGTAGCAGTTGGATCCCGGGTGCTGATTGGGTGTGTGATGGTGACATCACAGATATAAACGGCGCCCGAAATCCTGTCCCGCATGGTCAGATCTTCCGTTTGTTCCTCAACTGGGGTGTAGGCCGCAGATTCTCCATGAACGATAAAACTGGCGTCCTCTGCCATCGTGATGCACGCGTCACGGAGCTCGTTGTGGGTATTGATCCTGTGCTTGCCTGTTCCGCAGCGGAAGAGATGGTTCGGCAGGCGTGGGTCCGGTATTGCTACGTGCCTGGAGCAGTCACACTTAGCGGGCGTAGAGAAGGGGAGCCCAAGCCTGAAGCGAACGGCGTTGGCAAAGTGCTCAGGGCCCATACGGCGGGTTGACTCTATTGGGATAGCAGTTAACCAGTCCCCAGCCCCGTAGCCAGTCAGTGAGAATAGCCGTTGCGTGTGTCCTGACAGCGGGTTCAGACTCATGTGCCGCGTTGTTTGCACTTGCGTGGCATATCTGCGTCCCTGCACTCTCACCCCGAGCTCGTGCTGCAGCTTCACTCCTTTTGGTTCTAGTTTCTCCTTGTCCAGTATCTCCCTGGCCTCGAACGGTAGCGCCGTTTCGCATTCGGTCAGCCATTGGTGCAGAGCAGTGCCGGTGTCTCGCGGCAGTAGCATGTGGTTTCTCGCCGCCGTCAAGGCTTCTTCTGTCTCCAGCGGTAGGGAACTAATGAGGAGTGCCGCCTGTGTGAAACTAGCCAGGAAGTCAAACATTCCTTCCACCGTGGGGTCTGTGAGTCCAATACCGCCCAGCGACGGCGGAAGTGATGACTGCTCCCAGACCCGGGTCTGTTCTATGCTATCCGTCGGAAAGCGAATGCCGCACGTTGTTAGAAGAGTGGCCAGTAGGTCCCTGCCCCATTGTGACCAGGTGTCGCGGTCTAGGAGATTCAGTGGGGTTGTTCGTGTGAGATACGCCACTCGGCGTGAGATGCAACGCGTGAGCAGGAGAGATGCTACCTGTGGGTCCGTTCGTTCTATCAGGGGCAGCCGCTTGGACATAGCCTGTAGCTGGGCGGTTAAGAAGGCGGCGGCGCCATCTGGTGTTCCTAGAAAACTGCCGAGGAGTCTGACGCCTCTGTCACTTGTCGGCACCCCTGGTGGCACCTGCACCGTACTTTCTATCGGTTCCCTGCTCCATGCGACGCATTTCCCTGGATTGTGAGATAGGCCTACTTGGGCTAACAGGCTTGTGAAGAGGGCAAAGGCAGCGGCGGTCTCACGTGGGTCACCTAAAAAACTGACGTCGTCGGCGTATGCAAGGCATAGCACGCCAGGGTGTGCCGTTGATGTTGCTCGTAAGGCAGGGTGAATCCCTGCCGCAAAGAGGAGCGGGCCCAAGGGATCTCCTTGCCGGACCCCTCGTTCACTTGTTAGTGGTGGGCTATCGAAACTAGCGTCTAGGAACAGTAGTGACGGCTGGCCGTAGGTCAGTTTCACTAGGGGTAGCAGTGGTGAAAGAGCCGGTTCCTGTAACGATGTCGCTATGGCTTGTCTCGATATGCTGTTGAAGGCGTTGGAAATATCGGTTTGCAAAATGAGGCAGTTGGGATGTGCGTCAGTGTATGCTCGCGCACTGTGAATGATGGCCTCTGCTCCGCCAGGCACAGCCACGCCGAACTGCAGCGGAAGGAAATGACCCCGCGCCGCTTCTCCCAGGGTAGTTAGAGCCGCCTTTGCTGCTAGGCGGGTCAGACATTCACCAATCGCAATCGGGCGGGCCCCCCCTTCAGGTTTGGTCAACGCTATCAGGCGCGATGATGTGAGCAGTTGCGCCACGGGCGGTGGCAGATTTCCTCTCAGAATTGTGTTCACTAAGGCGTGTAGATGGGTGGTGACGGATGCGTTTGTTACTGCTGCGTCGCGTAGGTGTTCGAAAGTCGTTCCGCTCGGGCCGGCCCCCACGCCATTCTCGCATCGGCTGAGCAGATTCGTAAAACCCGCGTACGGAATTTCCAGGTTTGTTGGTTCGGTAATGGGTGGCCAGGTCAGAGGGTCTGGGTCGGCTGGTGGGTGTTTGCGGCGAAGTTCGTCCAGGATCTGCGGGCTAGGTGTGCAGACTGGCGTTGACTCCAGCGCCAGCACAGCCCGGCGCAGACTCCCTTTTTTTGCCAACCCTTCTGCCATGCTGATGATGCCTGTGTCGTCAGGCTGATGACGTGGCGGGGGTGGTGTTCTGACTGCTTCCACCGCGTCCAGGTATAGCTGTTGCCACTCGCCTCGTTGGAATGCGCGGAGCCGGCTTTTGATTTTGGGCCAATCGGGGCGTTTCGGCGATCCCTGGCGAAGTGTGAGGCGGGGGAGGAAGAGTAGTAACCGCCAACCTGCGACGGACTCTGGGCTTCGTGAGAGGTGTAAAAGTGGTGTCAGCAGTGCCAGCGAAAAAAGCTGGCACAAATTTGGCGGTAGTCTTTGTAGCAGGGGGGGTTGGCGACTGTCGCAGAGTGCCCCAACATCCCACATCGCCACTTCCGCGAATTTATCTGCCTGCCTCGCCAGCTCTTCTGGCGAGAAGTAGCACGCATTTTCTATCTGCTGGGCAGCAATCTGCTGCCCTCTTGCGGCTCGATTTGCACGACCGCGGCTCGGGAGTTGGATGGGTGGTAGGGTTGGAAATGTGGCCGTACGATCCTCATCCTGCGGCTCCTGTCTGTTCCTCGTCTCCACCGCCGGGTTCCTCCGATTTTCACCGCTTCGTCTCCCAGTTTGATCTCTCTCCCCTTCCTCGTTTTCCTCTTCACTACTGCTGCTCGGCGCTTGTGCTTCCTCCCTATAAGAAGGGTCTGCTCGTTCTTCCGGATCAGTATCGAGAGTGGTTAAAGCCCTTCGCCTCGCTGCTTGGAACGCGTTTTCCGGTCCTCCGCCTACGCCGCTTACAGCCCGTCTCCCGCGGCCTCGTCCTCTTCCGCTGCGCGATGGTGATTGCCGGATGTCATGAGCTGTCGCCAGTGCGCGCTGCCGTTGCGTCAGTGGTGATCGAAAAATCACAGCCGGTATCTGCCTCGGCGACGGCTGCGATGAAACCGCCATTGCCGCCTGCCCCGAAGCCCGCGTCGTCAACACCTGCGGTCCCTGTTCTCCCGAACCCGGCTCCCCCTGCTGCTGATTCGCCCCCAGCTGCCGCTGCGACTCTGTCTGGTCCCGCTGCCCCTGTGGTTGCCCCTCACGCTCTCCCGCGTCAAGAGCCTGAGCACGTGGCCTCTGCTGCTGTCGTTGCGCCACCAGCTGCCGCCGTCCCTGCTGCCCTTGCTGCTCTGGGCACCGACCTGGCGCTGACGGCGGTGTCCGCCACCACTGGCGGCCTTGCCCCGGCGGTGAGTCTGTTGGGGCTGTTCAGTCGGCGCCTGCTGCGCCGCTGGGGGTTCAGTCCGGGCAGCCGTCACGCCCACAATCTCCCGATCGCCGCCCGTCACGTCCCCACTCGCCCTCCCCGCGAGACGAGCGTGAGACCTCAAGGCGTCGTCAGGAGTCTCCTCGTCGCCGCCAATCCGGCGGGAACTGGCATTCGTACCGGGGTGGGCGGGGGGGGGGCTGGCGAGGAGGTCACGGTCGTGGACGTGGCGGGGCGTTTGACGCGCCGGTGACGATGGCGGACTTGCAACGGGTCGTAAGTGCTGCGATGCGCGAGGAGAGGGCATCGCAGGCGAGCCAGCAGGTCCCGCGTGCAGCTGCCGCTCCTCCTCCTCTTGCACCTCTTGTGGCTGCACCGCCGGCAGTTGCCCCTCGTCCTCCTGCTCTCCCCGCTCCTTATCCATCCCTTCTGCCCGTTGATCCCGCTCCCCATGCTGCTTGTGCTGCGCAGCCGTTCCATCCTCGGACGGCGCAGGTTCCGGAGGCGACCCTGGGGCAGCTGTGGTGCCTATCTGAGGGCTTGCGGGTTGTCCATCTGATCCAATTTTATGGACACGCGGCTCTTTCCCGCGGTGTTGCTCTGGAAGGCGGCCCTCGGGACGAGTGCCTAGATGCCGCTGATCGGCTTGCCGAGCTCCTGACGCCCGTGTTGGCTGCGCTCGCGAGGGGTGGAGTTGCGGGCGTTGGACAGATTGGGTCGGCTGTCCGTGGTCTGCGGCGGTTTCTGCGCGCAGGGACTGCAGTCGACTTGATCGGCGCAACCACAGTGGTGGTGCGCGAGCTTCATCGCTCGTTGACGGGCTTGCTTGCCGTCCTTGATGCGGAATTGTGTGGTCGCATCCGACACAATGCAATAGATGGTTGTGATGGCTTGCCCTGCTTTTTATAGTGCTTTGCCGAGTGTATGACTGCTGCTGGCCATGATGCCCCATTCATTTAAATGCAAGCTTTTGTCTAATTTATCCTTACGGCATGGGACACGAAACCAGGAAGTGAAACTACCAGTACCAAGGGACATTTTGCAAGTTTCACATTAGGAACACCAACTCTTGAATCACTCATGGTGAAATCACGTCAACCACAAAATAGCTACCCAGCGTTCGAACATTCTAATTGTAAACCTCAGTGTGTTCCAGGTGTACCAATTCCTATCCTAGAGTTATAAAGAGTTCGTGCTATCGGGTTCGAGCGTGGGACCTCGAGTCTGGACCGCACGGAGGGTGCACATCCCCAGCAAGCTGGCTCTGAGCGGCTCCATGAGTGGTGTGAGGCTGCAAGCCATTCCAAAACCAGCCATAAATCTGGACTGAGCCCATCAGAACCCTCTCATGCTCGCGTGGAGACTCAGCCTCAGTTTCAGCCTCAGCCGAGTTCTCTCAAGAGGCTCTCCTCGCCTCCCTTCCTCTTCCAGCTACCGTCCGCGCAGGAGAGTCGCCATGGCGGAAGCCACGGTGAGTGGCGATCCGATGTCTGCTGAACGAACGGCATAGGATGGCTGCATTGCTTCATGTAGTTGCGGAGCCTCGGCATCCTGTCTTCCCGTGTAGCCAGTTTCGTCATGATTATGTTCTCCGACCTCACGTTCTTAACGCCCTTACCTTTCCGTGTACTGGCGTGGCAGGGCGGCAAGTACGTGGGGGAGGCGCAGGGCACGGCGCGCGCCAACATGGACACGGTCATGAAGGGATGGTTCTCGGAAGTCAGCCCCATGTGGCCAGGTGCGCGCCGCTCACGTCATTCCGTCGCAATGAGGACGCCAATCACGCGGGCTCTCGCACCAATGTGGGCGATGCGTTATCGCCAACCCGGAAACGCGTTGATTTGAGCGACGCGCGGCTGAGATCCTCCTCTGGCCACTTCACGTCCGTCCATCCTACCGCGTGCTCTCCGCGTCATTAGTCGTCACACTATCACACCTTCTTACCAGGGTTTTAGTCTCCGCGATGAACCTTCACTTCTGGCTGCAGTAGCGGCATCGTTCGTTCGTAGCGGTCCCAGCGTCCATTCGACATGCACTAGCTCATTCGTTAAACCCGAAGCACTTTCCGTGTGTCTCGGTGTGTCTCGGTGCGTGTCGGTGCGCGCAGGAGAGGCGCATTCGTTAAAGATCGAGAAGGTGGTGTTCGAGGGCAAATCCGACTTCCAAGACGTCGCCATCTTCCAGGTCCGCGCTTCCTCAAGTCCATTGCCCGTCGTGCTCGCACCGTGTCATTCTCCCTCCTAGCTATCCTTCATCCGTTACGGTGTAACCATTTTGATGTAGCCGTTACGCTCCAAGTTGTAACCAGTTATTCCGAGCGGGGTTTCTGCGATTGCGCGCGAAAGGATGGAGATCGAGAGCGAGGATGCCCCTGTGGGGACATTTAATTGTTAATCGCGGGCTTGGTGGTTCAAACCCGCTATAAAATATCGCGGGTTTAGTATTGGATCGGAGCGTGTTACCAGTATTGGTGGTGTTTGGTCTTTATTTTTACGACGCCGTTGGACAAGGCAACCGGCTTCATATCCGCTTGTTTTTCTCCCTCATCTCGTCCTCCTTTTCCTCTCCGCAACTCCCACCTCCCCCGAATGGCACCTCCCCCAGTCGGAGACGTACGGCAAGGTGTTGGTGCTGGACGGCGTGATCCAGCTGACGGAGCGCGACGAGTGCGCGTATCAGGAGATGATCACGCACGTGCCGCTCTGCTCCATCCCCAACCCTAAGAAGGTGCCTTCCCCGTGCCTTCCATGCCTGCGATGCGATCAATGCCGTTTGTGCAATTCCACTCCTGCTTATAGCCTTACACCAATCGATGCGTGATGTGTAGGTCATTAATGATAGAATTTAGAACTAATCCAATTTCCTGATTCATTTCTGCTTGATTTTCTTCCGCGGTTTGCGCGCGGAGCAGGTGCTGGTGGTGGGCGGCGGCGACGGCGGCGTGTTGAGGGAGGTGTCGCGGCACGTGGGGGTGGAGCAGATCGACATCGTCGAGATCGACGGCATGGTCATCGATGTGAGTTGAGATCGACGGTTGAGATCGACGGCATGGTCATCGACCCCCGTTTCTTGAGAGCCGGAGGGAGGGACTGTCCTCGGCTCCACACATGGGCAGCTGATGATTTGACGAATATAACTATGCATGCAGGATCAACCGCCTGATTCCAGCTGATGATCACACCCAATCTGATGCCCATGCTCCCCGTTTCCTGTGCTCACATTCTTTACTCTCAACGCCCATGCCCTGCCCGTGCTTCATGGGCAAATCCCTGTGCACCTGCTCTCTGCACCTCTTTGCTGTGTGATTCTGTCAAACCGAGAAATAGTTTCTTTTCATGGGCAGCTGATGATCTTAATAATTAACTATGCATGCAGGATCAACCGCCTGATTCCAGCTGATGATCACACCCGATCTGATGCCCATGCTCCATTCCATATGGCCCATCTGTATTCTTCTTCATGCGTGGTTCTCTCTAATCTCTTCTTTGCTGCGTGATCCTACGAGTTGACATGAGCATATTTTAATTCGTCCCGGGCAGCTGACGAATTCAATACAGTAATGCATGCAGGATCAACCGCCTGACTCCAGCTGATGACCAAACCTTCACTGATGCCCAGTGACCCAGTCTCCCAAGGCTTTCCCTCCTGTGTTTCCTTTCCTAACTTCCACTCCCCATGCTCTACATGTCACCCATACGATCACAGTCAACACCCTTTGCGTCAGTCCTTTCTCTCGTGCTTTCTGCGTGTCTTGGGAGGCAGACGAGTTCCCCGTTCCTTTCCACACACGCACATGGGCAGCTGATGATCTTACGAATATAACTATGCATGCAGGATCAACCGCCTGACTCCAGCTGATGATCACACCCGATCTGATGCCCTTTCTCTCTTTCCTAAGATCCATACCCCCCCATGTTCATTCCCTAGGCTCCCCTTCACATGATCCGTCCGTCCTTGTTTGCACCGCTTTGCCTTGTAAGGCTATCAAGCAGAGGGCTTGCTTCTTGCCATGGGCAGCTGATGACCTTACGAATATAACTATGCATGCAGGATCAACCGCCTGATTCCAGCTGATGATAATACCTTCTCTGATGCCCGTGAAAACATTCCCTATGCCTACATGCTCTTTGCCCCTTTCCCCATGTTCCATGCGCATGCTCCGTGCACAATGCTCTGAGCTGCGTCGTTTTCCTTTGCACCTCATTGCTTCGTAATCTTGTTGAATGTAGTGATTATTCTCTTGGCATGGGCAGCTGATGATCTTACGAATAACTATGCATGCAGGATCAACCACCTGATTCCAGCTGATGATCTCACTCGACCTGATGCCCATGCTCGTGCTCGATGCCTCATGCCATGTGCCATCAGACCTGCAATCCACAACCCATTCCCACTGCATTGTGATCCATCATCCCACTTGTACTGCACGTCACTCACATGCCCCCACGCCACACGCCGTCTCTACCCACCCCCCTCGTCTTCCCCAGCCTCCTTTCCAATTCCATTCCCATCACCCATTGCCTGACTGCCCTGCCACTCGAGCCGCTGTTGTTCCCATCACTGCCTATTGTCTCCCACAATCGCCCCTGTGCGTCCCCCAGGTGTCCAAGGAGCACTTCCCTGCGGTGGCCATTGGCTACAAGGACCCGCGCGTCAACGTCACTGTGGGCGACGGTGAGCGAGCGCTGGTGGTGACGGCAGAGTGCGTGCATGCTGCAGCAGTGTGCGCGTGCGTATGTGTGGGCATGCTGTGTAGAACCAGTGTGGCCATGGCTACAAAGACCTGGGCATGAACGTCACTGTGGGTGCTGTGAGTGAGCCTCCATCACACCTGCATGCACGCATGCTCAAGTGTGAGCATTGTGCAGAGCATTGGTGCCCACAGTGTTTGTGTGTGTGTGTGTGTGTGTGTGTGTGTCGATGCCTGTGTCAGCGCGCGCATCAAAGTGAGCATCAGTGTGTATATATCATCTCCTCTCCACACACTTCGCCTCCTCACCCACACAACGAATCGACCCAATCGCATCTGACCCTCGCTTGCTGCCACACCTCTCATCTGCAACCCCTAATGCTCCCTTTGCCTCCCTCTCCCCTTGCCACCATTTCTCCCCAACCCACGCCCACAACATCCTGTCCGTCCAGTGTCTTCCTCTTCTCCACTCTCATGTCTTTCTTTCCTCTCCCCACCCTCTCTCCCTCCGCTCGTGCAATCCAGGAGTGGCGTTCCTCAAGGCGGTGCCAAAGGGCACGTATGATGCCATCATCGTCGACTCCTCCGATCCCATCGGTACGCCGCTGCCTTCTCCTGCTCTCACTCACTCACTCCCCTGGTGTGCTTCCACTCGTTCTGGGTCGACTCAAAACACATCATCCTCGACTCCTCTGATCCACGCTCCTATCCCTCCTCCCCCAACGCCCCTCCCCTTTCCCTCTCCCCTGCCCCCTTAATCAATCCCACAGGCCCCGCGCAGCAGCTGTTTGAGCGGCCCTTCTTCGAGTCGATGGCGCGTGCTCTGCGGCCGGGCGGTGTGGTGTGCACGCAGGCGGAGTCGCTGTGGCTGCATCTGCCCATCATCAAGGACATTGCCCTCGCCTGCCACCACGCCTTCAAGGGCTCCGTCAACTACGCCTGGACCAGCGTCCCCACCTACCCCAGGTGGGACAGGGTTGTGTGTCTTGTGCTTCTCAGTTGGGTGGGCTTAGGATGGGCTTGGGGACAGAAAGGATTTGTTGTTAAATGGGGGTTCATTCGACCCGTTCTTGATTTATATTATTCGTCGAAATTCTTTTATGTTTTGTTTGTTTTGTTTGTCACTAGTTCTTCAATCTATCCTTCCGTTTTGGCTATTTGCAGTGGCACGATCGGCTTCATGGTGTGCTCGACCCCGGGGCCAGAGGTAAACTTCAAGGTCCCCTGCAACAAGATTGAGGACCAGCCTGAACGACCTGACAACCTGCCCAAGTTGCCGCCTCTAAAGTACTACAACTCTCAAGTAAGTGTTCTCGTTATGGGATACAGCCCATTGAGTTTTCTTGCTCTGTTGCTTTAGCTCCGTCAGCATGCTTGCAATCGTTTTCATGCTTGCACTCGTTTTCATGCTTGCACCCATTTGATCGCACACTTGCAGGTCCATTCTGCTGCCTTTGTTCTCCCGCAATTCGCCAAGGAAGCTCTTGAGCCCCACCTCACTAAGTAATGGTAGAAAGATGGCCAAAGAACTCATTTAGCTGTGAAATAGTTCAAAACCACTTTATTGAATAAATCCTGTTGAAGTATGTTAGGCTTAACACATTTAAGCACACAAAACATACCGTACCCGTTCCTGGCTTATGTACTGCTTACTGTACAGCTCGAGCAAGCATCAACTGTCCGTCTTCGTTTGCGTCTCGTCTTCGTCTTCATCGTGTTCTTCGACGGACGGCCTTGTTGAGCTACGGTCACAATTTGACTGACTGACGGCAAGCGTGGAAAAAAATATCCAATGATCAAGGACACACCAGCAAGGACGACAACATGCACCGCACTCCACCGTGGCATCAACACGAGCCTCGGGAACTCCGAGCGCGCAGCAAAAGCGACGGAGGGAGGGAGAGGACGCGCGCCAGCCGTGCCTGCGAAAAAGCTGACTGAAAACAGAACCCGAGAACGCGAGACCGACAGAAAGCTTCATGCACAAACGAAACCAGAAAAGCAGTTAGTTGCAGGCTAAAGCAGCACGGAGCTGCGCCAGCATGCGGCAGACAGCAGCAAGAGCATCTTACCCAGTACCCAAATCTCCGCCAGAATTCCCGCAGCCATTCTGCGCCAACCAATCTCCAACCCACTTGTAGTCTGTGAGAGGTAGATATCTCAGCACAACCTCGCCTCAACCCTTCAGATTTAACTCTCTATTCCCCTGTCCTCCGCCATGGTTATGTTTTGAGCAAGATATGGAAAATGGAGCGACAGATGGTCCCGACGACGACCCCTCAGGGCACATACATGTCTATAGTAGCGCTCAGCAGCAGCGAGGAGCGTCGTTCAACGCTGCTGCTCTCGACGGTTCCGCCACGCTTGCGTCTTTTCCCGCCGTCGTCGGCGCAACACCCGTCTCCGGTGCGTCGTCAGAGCGGCGTAACGCGCGTCACAGGCCGTCGTTTGAGTCCGCTAGAAAATAAGGCTTTAACTGGAATGGGGCTGGCAGTAATCGTGTCTGGGTAACAGAGTTGCTTGGTCTGCGCAGCACTGGCAAGTCCACTCCAGCGACGTGGCGCGGCCTCGCCGGTGCAGCGTTCTCGGCAGCACTGGACTCGTTTCCTGACGTCTTGTCGTCGTGTCCGCGTCTGAGTCGTTCCGTCGACCCTGTTAGGGCGGGACGACGTTCCCTTCTCATCGTTTCGCCGTGTTGTCGTCGCGTCGTCCGACCCTCAATACCGCCGCGCCTGGAATTGAAGAGAACTCTCTACGAAGCCTGTCGAGATTTTGAGACGCGCTGCGCGCACCTTAGCAAGCGACGTGCTCAGGAGAAATGCGAAATCGCGGCATGTCGACAGAAGGGATCTCGTTGCGCGCCAATGCGTCACATTCTCTAGAATCTGCTCCAATGCGCTCACCATCACGTAGCTCGATTGGCCATGAGCCACAATGCCGTGGTTACGTGGTAACTCTCTTTTAGCCACGTGTCAGCGAGTCCGCGAGTGAGCCAGGCGCGATTGCTGTCTCGAATCCGCGCTGTCCTTCCCTTGCTGCTGCTGCAGGATTGTTAGTTGCCGTTTGATCTGCGCTCTGCCAAAGCTAACCATCTGGATCCGCGTGTTCTGCTGTTATTCGATGCTGTTGCGCATTCATGCGATCTCTCTTCCCTCGTGTCGTCTGTCTCCTTCTTCTCTCTTCTTTCGGCGCCTGCTCTTGTCCCCTTCGTCCCTGTTCTCGTCTCCTTTCTATTGTGTGCAGTCGAAGTAAATGAGAGCACCTTCCATGCTCACACGCCAGCTCACACGCAGGACTAAGGAAACCCTCTTGTCACCTTTCTCTCTCCTCTTGTCACCTTTCTCTCTCCTCTCGTCTCGTTTCTCTCTCTTCTCGTCACCTGTCTCTTGTGTGCAGGCGCAGTAAGTGAGGGCACCTTCCACGCTCACACGCAGGAGCTGTCGTCCCTTGCTCTCCAACAGCTGCAGCAACAGCTGTACCAGCAGCAGCAGGATCAGCAGCAGCAGCAACAGCATCAGCAGCAACAACAGCAGCAAGCACCGCAACATCAGCCGCAGCTGCAGCAGCAGCAACAACTACAGCAGCAACAACTACAGCAGCAACAACTACAGCAACAGCAGCTGCAGCTGCAGCAACAACAGCATCAGCAGCAGCAACAGCATCAGCAACAGCAGCAACATTTACAGCAACAGCAGCTGCAGCTGCAGTGGCAACGACAACAACAGAAGCAACAACAGCAACAGCAACAACGAGTGCATGCACAGGATCCAGTCGCATTACAAGCAGATGACTTCAGATCGGCACGCCCACACAATGTAGGCCCTGTAGGCACCTTCTCTTCACCGCAAGCCTCGGCGGAGGGGGAGCGTCTGGGGACAGAATACCCCAATAGGGAGAGTTTGGATCCATCGCCTGCATCTGCTGCTCGCGAGGCATCGTCCCCAGCCACACCACCACCACCTGGCATCGCAGCACCAGCTCCTGCTGCTTCTCCTCTTGCCGCCTCTCCTGCCAACACGGCCCCTCCTGCAACTCCTGCTGTGGTGGCGGCCGGTGGAGCTGCAGCTGCTGCTGTTGCTGCTGGGGTTGGCAGTGGTGGGTGGGGAGTGCCACCCAGCATCGGTGCTCATCAGCACATACTGGCACAAGGAACGGTGCAGCAAGGCGCAGTGCTGCACCAAGCGGTGCAATGCGGTTCCCCTCGAAACCCTTCTTGTAGGGAACCGTCTGCAGATCCTTCCTCTGTGTCGCTTGCTGCTGCTCCGTCTGCCACCTGCGTTTCTCCTCCCCCGGATTCCTCTGCGACCCTCTCACCTCGTCCACTTGCCTCTCCTCACCAGTCCTGCTTCACACAATCTCAGATCCCAGCACCTGCTGCCACGTCAGCAGATGCGGGCGCAGCAAGTGCGCATGCTGCTGCCACGTGTGCAGTGGGCTACAGTGGCTTGTCTGGTGCTATTGCTCCAGCAGGGCCTGTCGTTGCTTCTGCTCTGTATGCCACTCAGCTGACTAGTCTGCCTGCCGCTTGCTCACCTGTCACCAGTCCTGCTGCAAAACCTGCTACTTGTCCTGTTACGAGTCCAGTTACGAGTCCAGTTACGAGTCCAGTATCAAATCCTGTTACAAGCCCCGTTTCAATTCACGTTACAAGTCCTGTTTCAAATCCTGCAACGAATCATGTCACAGGTAGGGTCCTGGCAGGCCGTGTGGGAAGTAGCACAGGCCAGCAGCAGGGTACACTGACCGGGGGTGCTGCCTCCTCCCAGCTCATGGCCTCTCTCACTGCAGCGCCAGCGGTGGGGACAGGAGCTGTGGCGAGTGCAGGAACAAAATCGTCTCCAGCAAGAGCAGCAGGCAGCAGCGCACAGCACCCTGCAGCTGCAGCAGCAGGCGCAGGAGGAGGAGGGGGGGGCGGAGGAGGTGCAGCAGAGAGTGCGTCACAGTTGTCAGAAGCGCTGGCAGCCGCGGCAGCAGGGGGTGCCGCGGGGACAGGGGGAGCAGCGGGGGCGCAGCTGTCAGCAGCGCTGGCGGCAGCGGGGGGCAGCAGTGCGCAGCTGTCGGCTGCACTGGCGGGCCTCACGGGGAGCAGCAGAGGCACCGCCTCCAATGAACCCCGCCTCAGAGACGTGCTCAGTGACCCCCTCACGTGAGTGCAGTGACCCCCTCACGTGAGTGCAGTGACCCCCTCACGTGAGTGCTCACTGCTGCTGTTGCATGTGAGCGAGTGCAGAGCAGATGTCGTAGGCATCCACCCACAGTGTGCCTCACTTACTCCTTTACGTGGCGTGACCGTTTTTGCCTTTGCCAGCAGCATGCACATCCGTGTGGCTGCTGGACGGTCCGTGCGGCTTGGGAGCACTAATTGCTGTGCTTTAGTGGCTGGAAGCTGGCTGTCTCTGTCTCATTTCTTCCAAAATGTTGCAGCGTAATCGTTGCATGCGTTGCGACCTTTATCTGACTGCAGCAATTGTTGGACATGTTGTGTGTGTGTGTGCTTTTTTTTGTGTGTATGCATTCGTGTGCATGCGTACATGCATGCATACATGCTATGCGTGTGTGTGCGTGTGTAACCATGCGTGCGTGTGCGCGCGTGGATGTCATGTGTGCACACATCCATGTGCTTGTGTATCCGTGGTTGCACACAGGGGTCGCCTGCTTGATGACGCCGTGGTGGGGTGCTGCGGCCATTCCTTCGGAGGGGCAACGCTGGCCGTTGTGCGCGAATCAGTGAGCACCCACTTCCCTTCCACCTCCCACCTCCCACCTTCTCACTCCGCTCCGCCCTGCAATCACTTTCAAACCGCACTGTACCACTCGCCATCATGTCACGCCTCAGGTGTAGCTGCACCCAATGCACCGCCTTGCTGCTGAACCCTTCACTACCTCCTCCTCCTCGCCAGCTCCTCATGTCCTACCATTCTGCATCCGCTTCCATCACCGTGTGTATCATCACCTCTCTTTTCTTTCTGCCATGCTTTCCCAACCTCTCCTGCCTTCTCTCCCTTGCTCCCCATTCTCCCACCTTGTGACTCGTTCCCCGAGAGCACATCAACCCTGCTGTGTTTCGAGTCGACTCAAAACTCACATTCTCCCCCATTCCCCCTCGTCTCTTCAGAATACCTCGAGTGCGGGGCGCACATCGACGCCGCTGTCTTCTGAAAACAATTCCTCCCCTCTCCCCCCTCGCCCCTCCAGAGCACGTGCCCCGAGTGTGGTGCGCACATTGACGCCGCCACGCTCACCCCCAACCTCACTCTGCGTGCCGCCGTCGCCGCCTTCCGCCGCGAGTCCAGCTCCCTCGCTGCCGCCGCCATGGCTGCTGCTGCTGCCGCCGCTGCCCAGGTGCGTTGTTCACTTTACTGAGGTGAATGGGTGGGTTTGATGTGAGCAAGGGCAGTAAGCTTGGGCCGACTCAACGAGTCCAGCTCCCTTGCTGCCGCCGCCATGGCTGCTGCTGCTGCCGCCGCTGCCCAGGTGCGTTGTTCACTTTACTGAGGTGAATGGGTGGGTTTGATGTGAGCAAGGGCAGTAAGCTTGGGCCGACTCAACGAGTCCAGCTCCCTTGCTGCCGCCGCCATGGCTGCTGCTGCTGCTGCCGCCGCCCAGGTAAGTTGCCTAGTGAAGCTAGATGGGTAGTTTTGTTGTGAGGTATGTCCGGGAGTGTGGGATGGCAGTGAGCTTGTTCCCTCACCGTTCCCTCTACTCTCTCTCACGCCTCCCTGCTTTCCCCCCCGTTCCTCCTCCCCTCTTCCCCCCCGCCGATTCAACCTGCCCCCCAGCTATCCGCGGACACGCCCACCCACGCGCACCACCACGCCTCCTCAGCCTCACAGCACTCCCCGTCACTCTCCTTCGCTGTCGCTGCTGCCGCCGCTGCGGCCACAGCAGCCGGGTCCCCACCAGCAGCGCCCATGGGGGGCCGAGGAGGGGCATCCCTCCTCTCCTCCTTCACCGCTTCCGCCTCTCCTTCTGCCTCGAAGCCCGCCGCCCCGCTCCAAACCCTCCCTGGTCCGGCCCGAACCAGCTACACACCTCCAGGCTCGGTCACCGCAGCCAGCCTCCGAGCCTCAACCGAGGCTCCCCAGGCGGGCACACAACAACCCGCCCATCCCGCACCAGTCCGGCCCGTTCGATCCTCCAGCACAGCCCAGTTCCCGTTCCGAGTGAACGACGTGGTGCTGATCAAGGGCAACAAGCGCACGCCGGAGCACTTCATAGGGCGCAAGGCCATCATCACCACGCAGTGCCTGAACGGGTGGTACATGGTGCGCACGCTCGATGGCGCCGCTGATGAGGTGCGCCTGCAGTACCGGTCGCTGGAGAAGATCCATGCTGCTGGTGGTGTTGGGGGAGGAGGGGCAGGGGGGAGTGGCGGGGGAGGAGGAACGGATGGGGTTGGTGCTGGCGGGGTTGGCGGGGGAAGTGTGGTGACAGGGAGTGGGGGAGGGGGGAGAGGAGGGGCGGGTGGAGGCGAGGGGGAGAGTCATCGGCTGCTGCCGCCAGCAGGGGTGCCGCGGGGGCGAGGGGCGGGGCATGGTGGAGCACGCAGAGAGACCAAAGCCAGTGAGTGCTGCTCCTTGTGTGGCTTGGAGGGTTGATGCGCGTGCTGCTGCTGGTATGGCTGAGTGCGGCCATGCTTGTGAATCTCGTGAATCCATCTGCACTCAACTCAATCCTTACTCTAGTAGCTTCGTTCCCAAAATATTGTGCCAGCACTAAATGCATTCGTTCAGCCGTCTTCGCTGCTTGCTTCATCTGCAAATACCCTCCCCCACATCCCTTCCTCCCCCCCACCTCTCCCCAATGTCATCCCCCCTTCTTCCCCCAATCCCGCCACCTGTGGTAAAGAACCTGTTATCCCAAACTCACCTTCCCCTCTCCACTATCCCCGTCCCCTTTTCAAAATATTATCTCCTTATCCCTATATCCATTTCCCTGCGTGCCCACTCTCCACCCGGTCTTCCCTTTTCCCTGCAGTGGGGCGGGGCAGGGGGGGACGGGGAGCGGGGAGGGCGGCAACGAATGCGTCGCCCATCAGCACGCCCGCCTCGCTCTGCGGCAGTCTCTCCACGCCCAACGCCTCCCTCTGGACCGGTGCGTCGCTTCCCCACCCTCCCCCCTGCCTCGTACCTCCTGTGTTGCTCATCTCTCTGCCTCTGCCTCTTGCTCGCTCCTCTCAGCCTCGCACCTGTTTTCTTCCCCTGGTGGCCTTTCCGTGAACTTTGAACAAGCACCGTTCTCCCTATCGATCGTGCAACCTATGCGTTGTGAATGAATGGATAGCTTTCCTCCTCTTCCCGGTACCTTCGCAGCCAACTCTCCTCACAAACTTTCCTAATGGGCAATTTGCTTCTGCTTTGTTGTGTTCCAAGGGCTCAAATGTCTCTTTCCCCAATCTTCCTCAACATTCCTCACACCACCCTCCTCCTGCACACCCCAACCCCTCCCGCACCGCCCCAACACACAGGTTCGGTGGCAGGTTCGGCAGCAGCGTCGGATGCAGCGGGGGGGGCATCGCGGTCAGTGTCGGTGTCTGGTGACTTTGGCATGTGCAGCGGGCCGGCAGGGGAGGTGGAGCAGGGCGCCATGTCCACCACTCCCAGAAGCGGCACCTCCCATGTCACCCGCATGTCCCATGCCGCCCCCATGCCCCACATGCCCCATGTTCCCCACATGCATGGTGGTCGTGCTATGGCTGCGACTACACCGCACACTAGCATGTCAACGCCTCATCACGCCATGCCGTCTGCCCACCACAGCTCATCAACGGCTCCACAGAGCACGGTGGTTTATCCAACGGCCAGCAGCGCGCCCACCACGCCTGCTTCCATTGGCCACGCTGCCATGCCCATGCCTGCAAGCCCAGGCTTGGCCGTGCCTGCCAGTCCAGGCCCGGCCGTAGCAGCAAGCCCAGGCTCGGTGGGGCGAGTGCAGCGAGGGCTGGGTGTGCAGGCGAGCCCAGGCTCGGCAACGTTCCGTCCCTTGTTCCAGACAGGCCGGGGGTATGCTGCGCAGAGAACCGATCCTGGAGGAGGTTCGGTAGTGGACGGGGCGGCAGGTGCATCAGGGGTGGCAGGAGGCAGAGCTGAGGGGTGTGCTGCGATGGGTGAGGGGACAGGGCTGACGGGCTCAGTGCAAGCAACCAGATTCGGTGCCCCACAAGCGGTGAGCTTCGCAGCAGCTGAGTTGTCGACAGCGGGAGCAGCAGCAGGTGGTGCTGTAGCAGCAGGGACGGATGGGACAGCAGGGCAGGGGCATTCCCTAGTAATGGGCGGTCAGAGGCCACCTGAAGGGGTGCTGAGGGGTGAAGGGTTCGGGCAGCAAGTGGGTGTGCAGACTACAGGGCAGTGTATGGTGCAGCAGCCCCTAGGTCAGCAGGGTCAGATGGGGCAGCAGGGTCAAATGGGGCAGCAGGGTCAGATGGGGCAGCAGGGTCAAATGGGGCAGCAGGGTCAAATGGGGCAGCAGGGTCAAATGGGGCAGCAGGGTCAAATGGGGCAGCAGGGTCAAATGGGGCAGCAGGGTCAAATGGGGCAGCAGGGTCAAATGGGGCAGCAGGGTCAAATGGGGCAGCAGGGTCAAATGGGGCAGCAGGGTCAAATGGGTCAGATGGGTCAAATGAGTCAGCTTGTCCTTCAGGAGCAGAGCCAACCATTCAATCAGCCCGGTCAACCAAGTCAGCAAGGCCAAGCGAGTCAAGGCTATGCACCGCCAGGTCAGCAGCAGTGGAGCACATCACAGGGGCCAGGGCCGCGGCCAGGAGGTGCAGAGACAGCGCAGGGGTGGCAAGCAGCAGTGCAGGGGCAGGGGGCTACTGCCGTGCAAGGGGCAGGGGGCGTGATTCTGAGTCCGATGAGCGTGGGTGGAGGGCAAGGCGGTGCAGTGGTTGGTCAGGCAGGGATGATGCCCAGCCAGGGCGGCATGGCAGAGAGTGAGGGGCGTGGGATGGCAGGGCAGGGGGGAGCAGTGCAGCAGGCGATGGGGAGGCAGCAGCAGCACAGCTGCGCACCAGGAGGCTTCCTCCCTGGCGCTGTTGACATGCTGCCTGCAGCCTCCAGCTATGTAAGCTGCCATGCTGTGAGCTGCCATGCTGTGAGCTGCCATGCTGTGAGCTGCCATGCTGTGAGCTGCCATGCTGTGAGCTGCCATGCTGTGAGCTGCCATGCTGTGAGCTGCCATGCTGTGAGCTGCCATGCTGTAAGCTGCCATGCTGTGAGCTGCCATGCTGTGAGCTGCCATGCTGTGAGCTGCCATGCTGTGAGCTGCCATGCTGTGAGCTGCCATGCTGTGAGCTGCCATGCTGTGAGCTGCCATGCTGTAAGCTGCCATGTTGTGAACCCAGCTCAGCTGCTCCTTCTCCAGCTTCTTTGGCACCTCTCCCATGTGCTGCTCTCTCCGCTCTCTCCCTGTGTTGGAATATACGTCTGGCGTATCAGACGCGTACCGACTATACGGTGACGTACGTACGCTATTCGCTTCGATTCCAGCCTCAGAAAGCGCTCTGAATACGCACTGTCAGGCAGGGAAAAAAACCTTTCGGGCAGGGAAAAAAAAGGATTTCCCGCGCGGTTCTGGCGGCGGAATGCCAGACCTGCGCTCCTCTGGCTACTAGCGTTCAGCTGCTTGTGAGATTGTGGTTGCTAAATTTGAGTTCGAAATGGTTACATCGACATCTGAGTTCGAAATGGTTGAATTCGACATTTGCGAGATTTTTGTTTGTTTGTTTGTTTGTTTTTTTTTTCCAACGGGCTGCCCGACCCCGCGTATCTCGTATTATGGGCCGTATCACGTTTTTCCGTATATACGATCACGTACAAACGTGATACGCCTCCCCCCCCCGAGCGTTTTTTCCAATATAGCTCTCTCCCACGTGCTGCTCTCTTAAGGTGCCGCCCTCTGCCTCCTGCTACCGTTTCTCGTCCTATTCTTTCACTCCCTTGCTTCCTTCTCCCCTCATCTACCTCTTCGCTCCTCGTCCTTTACGCCTTGTCTTGCGAATCTGCCCTCTCCCCACCCCTCTCCCCCCACCGCTCTCCCCATCCCTCTCCTTGCTCTCGGATCTCCCCTGCAGGGCGGTGGGTTCACAAGCAGCAGCGGAGCACACCTCCTTCCTTTGCCCGCCACTCAGAGCCTTGCCGCCCAGCAGATCATGGCAGCCACGCAGCAGCAGCAGCAGCAGCAAAGTGTGATGTCTTCTCAGCACAATCTGTTGCAACAGCAGCATCAGCAGCAGCATCAGCAGCAGCAGCAGCAGCAGCAGCAGCAACAGCAGCAGCAGCAGCAGCTACAGCAGCAGCAGCAGCAGCAGCAGCAGCAGCAGCAGCAGCAGCAGCAGCAGCAGCAGCAGCAGCAGCAGCAGCAGCAGCAGCAGCAGCAGCAGCAGCAGCAGCAGCAGCAGCAGCAGCAGCAGCAGCAGCAGCAGCAGCAGCAGCAGCAGCAGCAGCAGCAGCAGCAGCAGCAGCAGCAGCAGCAGCAGCAGCAGCAGCAGCAGCAGCAGCAGCAGCAGCAGCAGCAGCAGCAGCAGCAGCAGCAGCAGCAGCAGCAGCAGCAGCAGCAGCAGCAACAAGGTGTGTTTGGCAGCGAGCATATGCTGGAGGCGCAGCAGCAGAGGCAGCGGGTGCAGTGGCGGGCGGCAGCAGAGGCGGAGGTGGAGAGGAGCTCTGGGGTGCGCCGTGCCCTCCACTCCTCCTGCACTCCACCAGCCCAGGACTCGCACGGGCAAGGGCAGGTTTACGGGCAGGTTCAGGGGCAGGCTGAGCGTGAAGCACAGGCGCAGGCACAGGGGCAGCAGGTGCGATCTCAGGTGGTGAGTCCCCCGCCTGGTGTAGTGAGTCCCCCAGGCAGCATGGTGATGGGGGGTGCGTTCCTGGATGCTGTGAGCCCCCCGTTTGGGTTTGTGAAGCGTGAGGAGCAGCAGCTGGAAGGATTCTCCCTGGGGCAGCAGCAACTAGCGCAGCAGCAAGCGCACCAGCAACAGCAAATAGAGCAGCAGCTGCAGCAGCAGCCACAGCAACAACTACAATTTGCAGTACAGGATTTCAAGCAGCCTTCCATGTATGCACCTAATGTTGCAACCAAGGAAGAGAGGTGCGGTATGAACAGCAACAAGGGCCCAGACACTGTGGTCTGCTTTGACTCCCAGAACGGCGCAGAGAACAACAAGAGGTCGGGAAACGGCTGTGCCCCCCCTACAGTAGCAGCACCGGTATCACCACCACAGGCACCACAGGCATCGTCGGTAGCAACAACAATCCTTCTTCCCTCCCACGCGAGCAGCTTGCAATCACAGAAGCAACTGCAGCAGGAGATGCAATCTGCATTGCAGGGGGCGGAGAGGGTGACTACAACGAGGCCTTTGCCTGTGACTATGGTGAGATCGGGCTCGAGGATTTGTCACGTGGGGGGGGCGAGCTTGACACCGGCGGACTGGACTGGTTCGACCAGTTTTGAGAAAGAAGGGAGGAGCGGTGGGCTGTCGGCTGCAGCTGTGCTGCATGCATGCCCGTTGAATGTGGTGGCAGGTGGTGCTCCAAAGGATATGCAGCTTCTTGATCATTCTCAAAGATCTTGCACAATTACTGCAGCCATGCCGTACTCATACCCATTGGATGTGGCAGGAGGTGCTGCTTTAGAAGACAAGCAGCTTGGGCTTTTGGGACTGAAGCCTGTGAATGGAAGCCAGCAGTGCAACCGGTGCAGCTTGCCACGTGGCAGCATCTCGCTGGATGAAGCATGGGAGGCTTCCTCTATTGGATCAGTTAGAGAAGGAGCAGCATCAGTAGCAGTGCCTGCAGCAGCGGCAGAAGTAGCAGCAGTAGCAGCAGCAGCACCAGCAATAGCACCAGCACCAGCAATAGCCGGAGCAGCAGCAGCAGGGTGTGTGCTGCCGCAGCAGTTCCCAGGTCGCCGTGTGCCCTCCTCCACAGCCAGAGCGCTTTTCACAGACTCGCCTTCCTCCCCGCATGCCCCCTCACCAGCCCCTGCCGCATGCCTTGCCCGTCCCAATAGGCCCACCGTTGCTGCCAGTGGTGCTGCCAGTGTTGCGTCTGCCACCGTTGCATCTGCCAACATTGCAAGCGCCGTGGAGGCTGCTTCTGCAGCTTGCTCAGGGCCTTGGGTGAAGGCCAGTGCTTGGGATGCTGCTTGGGGTGCTGTGGCTGCCAGTGGTGCTGCTGGCAAGGATGCAGTGACAGGAGCTAGTGTTGTGGAGGAGAATGGTGGTGATGCTCCTGATACGTACGCCAATGGGGTCGATGCTGATGCTCCTGATGCTGCTCCTGATGCGCATGCATCGGTGCATGCTGCGAGTTTCAACACACAGTCGCCATCTAACCCTCTGGTGAGTGTGACAGCAGATGATGCAGGGGCAGGTTCGATGGAAGAGAGGGAAGAGGAGGGAGAAAAAGAAGTGGCAAGGGCAGGTGCAATGGAAGAGAGGGAAGGAAAGGAAGTGGCAGGGACAGGTGCAATGGAAGAGAGGGAAGAAAAGGAAGTGGCAGGGACAGGTGCAATGGAAGAGAGGGAAGAAAAGGAAGTGGCAGGGACAGGTGCAATGGAAGAGAGGGAAGCGATGGGAGAAAAAGAAGTGGCAGGGTCAGGTGCAATGGGAAAGAGGAAAGATGGAGAAGAGGAAGTGGGAGGGGAAGGGGAAGAAGGGGGGAACGGAGAATTGGGAGGAGAAGGGGAAGATGGAGAAGAAGAGGATGTGGGAGGGGAAGGGGAAGAAGGGGGGGAAGGGGAGAGTAAGGAGAAACAGGGGGCGCAGGAAGGGGGATCAGATGCGGGCAAGGGGGATAGGGGAAGGGGAGAGGAGGGACGTAATGAGAATGGGGGGAGGGGCGAGGAGGGAGAGGGGGGCGGTGAGTGGGGTGGAGGAGGTGGCGCGGGGGGAGGCGAGGATGGGGAGGAAGGAGGAGATAACAGGGGAGATGGTGATAGGGGAGATGGTGATAGGGGAGATGAGGGAGAGGATGATGAGGGAGAGGATGATGAGGGAGAGGAGAAGAAAGCAGAAGGGGACGAGGAAGGGGAAGGGGAAGAGGAAGAAGCAGGAAGAGAAGAGGAGGGTGGGGCTGAAGGGGCGGCAGCGGTGGGCGCTGGGGCAGAGAGGAGCGGGACAGCCGGGGAGTGCAGTGAGGGAGGGGAGGTGAACGTGAGGCGGCTTGGAGCTGGCTCTATCAGCCATGCGGGCCGTGTGGGCTCAACCCTCTGTTCTGACACACAGGCCGTGGCGGTGTCATCACAAGGGGCGGCGCCATCACAGGGGGCGATGATGCTATTATCAGGGGCGACCCCATGGCAGGGCGGCAGGGCAGGGGAGGGCAAGGACAGCACCACCACTGCCTCCGCCTCTCCCAAAGTGAGTCATCTCACCAATGTGTGCCGCTTGCAATGCAAATTGCTGCACCCTGCCCTCGTTCCCCCACCCCCTTGGTTAGGTTCGTTGGCCATCAATCACAACCGGTTCGCCAGTCATCCCTGCTTTCGTCATGCCAACCCCACCCGTTCTCTTACTGCGCCAACCCTTGCCCTTTGAATCAACTCTGAACTGAATTCGTGTAATTCCCCAACCCAACCAACCCGTGCCTCCTCAGATGACGGCTCTGGACCTTCTGAGGAGAAAGAGCCCAGCGCCCCCATCCATCTTCCGCCCACCCATGCCAACTCCACTGCCCGCACCCCCACCACCTGCACCCCCACCACCTGCACCCCCACCACCTGCACCCGCACCGGTTGCACATTCAGCACTGGCAGCAGCAGCAGCAGCAGCAGCGGCGGCTCTTTCAGCAACTCCTCTGTCGCCAGCCACACTCGCATCGGCACCGCCAGCTGCACCCGCAGTGCGAGGTGCACCCACAGTGCCAGCTGCACCCACAGTGCGAGGTGCAGCAGGTGCAGCTGCAGTTGCAGTGCAGTCCGCACCAGCAGCAGTGTCCCCAGCAGTGCGTGGTGCAGGTGCTGCAGGAGTGGGTGGGGGACAGGATGGTGCGTTGTTGGCAGGCGAAGATGAGGAGGCGTTGGTGGGGGAGGGGCGTGAGGAGGAACGAATGGTGGTTGAAACCGAGCAGGGGAATGAAGGGAGGGAGGAGGGAAATGAGGAGGGCAATGAAGAGGGATACGATGAGGGTGTGAGACAAGGGGAAACAGGCGAGGGGGGGAGTGAGGAAGAGGAGGAAGAGGGCTTGCTAGGGATGGAGAGTGCAAATGAGTGTGTGGGTAGCACACAAGTGGTCCGGCCTGGAAGCATGGCTGCGAGTGCAGGTGGTGGGGGTGGTGGTGGGGATGGTGATGGTGATGGTGATGGTGATGGTGATGGTGATGGTGATGGTGATAGTGATGGTGATAGTGACGCTGGTGGTGATGGTGATAGTGTTAGTGATGGGGATAAAGGAAAGGAGATGGACGTGAGTGTGCTGGCACCCCAGGCGGAAGGGAGTGCTGCTGGTGTGGCAGGTGGGGTCACTATGGCTGACACAGGCACTGCTGCTACTGGCGTCAATGCTGCTACTGGCGTCACTGCTGCTACTGGCGGCACTGCTGCTACTGGCGGCACTGCTGCTACTGGCGTCACTGCTGCTACTGGCGGCACTGCTGCTACTGGCGTCACTGCTGCTACTGGCGGCACTGCTGCTACTGGCGTCACTGCTGCTACTGGCGGCACTGCTGCTACTGGCGGCACTGCTGCTACTGGCGTCACTGCTGCTACTGGCGGCACTGCTGCTACTGGCGTCACTGCTGCTACTGGCGGCACTGCTGCTACTGGCGGCACTGGTTGTGACACGCATGAAGGGGACTTGGTGCTCAAAGAGAGTGATTCGGGAAGAGAGTGGTGGCGAGGCGGAGAGGGAGGGGTGGTGGGGCGGGGAGGGCCAAGCTTGTCTTTGGAGGGGCGTCCAGAGGAGACAGACGAGCAGGAGGGCGAGCAGGAGGGCGAGCAGTTGCAGCAGGAAGCAGAAGAGGACCAGATGCAGAGGCAGGAGCAGGAGCGGCAAAGGGTGAGTACGCTTGCCGTCTCCAATATGAACGCTGGTGCTGATTATGATGGTAGGGGCGCTGGCTTTGCTGCCAGGCGTGGCGGTGAGAGTGGCAGCACAGCTGCCCGTGCTGCCATGGCTGTAGGGGCTGCGCTCGCAGGGCAGTGCAAGGAGGCACGTGGGGTGTTGAGCGAGGAAGGGATGAGCAGGGAGGGTGGTGAGGGCAGTGCGGGTGGCGCGGGTGGGCAGGATGAGCAGGAGAAGGGGGGCGGGACGGGCGGGGCGTGTGAGCAGGGAAGCGCGGGTGAGAGGGAAGGGGGCGCAGAACAAGAGGTGGGAGCCAAAGCGGAGGGCAAGAGGTGTGTTGAGGAACCGGCGGTGGTGGTGGAGGGGGACGTGGAGGAGGGGTCGGACGAGGGGGTTGGAGGTGATGCGGTGGTGTTTGTAGGGGTAGGAGGGGTGGGAGGGGGAGGGGGAGGGGGTGTGGAGGCAGGGGCAGGAAAAGGGGAGGCAGTGGAGGAAGTGGGGAGGGGGAGGAGGGGGAGGAGGAGGGGAGGCGGGGTGAGGGTGGGAGGGCGAGGAGGGAGGCAGAGGGGGCTCGTTGTGCCGAGGGCAGGTGGACGCCACATGGTGCGTTGAATGTGTGGGCACTGGAGGGGCCAGTGGGTGAACGGGTAGTGTGGGGATATATGTGTTCGCTTGGGTGTGAGTGTGTGTAGAGGGGTGCGTGGGTGTGTGTGCACGTGTGCGTGTGTGTGTGCATGTGTGTTTGTGCGTGTGTGTATGTGGGTGTGTGGGGGGGACTGGTGTTAGAAATGTATGTATAGCATGCTAAGTATAAAAGGGGATGGTGCTACACCCAACTTTGGGTGTAGCTTGCTTTGTAGGTCTACACCAAACTTTGTGGTGTAGACTTGCAAGTTGGGGTGCCAATCCAACCCACAAGTGTCGGAGCCCCCAAGTGCAAGTTGGGTACCCCCTCTTTGCAACCCACAAGTTGGGTGCCCCCTCCTTGCAACCCATATGGTCCTTGTTGCAAGTTGGGTGCCCCCTCCTTGCAAGTTGCCATAGGGACTGCCCAACCACCCAACTTACTCCCTTCCCTTCCAAGCTCCTCTTGCATCCTATGTATTCTCCCTTCTTCCCTAATCAACGAATTCATTCACTTCACAATTTTCACATGGTATAGAGCTAATTTTTCCTAGGCCTTACCTCTCCCCTCCCTCCAGTTTTTTTTTTTCTTTCATGGGCCCACCCTTTCCCACTTAGACGCCGTGGCCTAGACCGCCGCCGTCGCCCCCAATCGCCCGCCATTTCTTCTCCCGCGGGCATTTCGCCCGTCAGTTCTGCTCCCGAGGGCATTTCGCCCGTCAGTTCTGCTCCCACAGGCATTTCGCCCGTCGGTTCTGCTCCCGCGGGCATTTCGCCCGTCAGTTCTGCTCCCGCGGGCATTTCGCCCGTCAGTTCTGCTCCCGCGGGCATTTCGCCCGTCAGTTCTGCTCCCGCGGGCATTTCGCCCGTCAGTTCTGCTCCCGCGGGCATTTCGCCCGTCAGTTCTGCTCCCGCGGGCATTTCGCCCGTCAGTTCTGCTCCCGCGGGCATTTCGCCCGTCACTTCTGCTCCCGCGGGCATTTCGCCCGTCACTTCTGCTCCCGCGGGCATTTCGCCCGTCACTTCTGCTCCCGCGGGCATTTCGCCCGTCAGTTCTGCTCCCGCGGGCATTTCGCTCGTCAGTTCTGCTCCCGCGGGCATTTCGCTCGTCAGTTCTGCTCCCGCGGGCATTTCGCCCGTCAGTTCTGCTCCCACGGGCATTTCGCCCGTCACTTCTGCTCCCGCGGGCATTTCGCCCGTCAGTTCTGCTCCCGCGGGCATTTCGCCCGTCCGTTCTGCACCCGCGGGAAATTCGCCCGTCCGTTCTGCTCCCACGGGCGTTTCGCATCTTCCCCACGCTTCTGCCGCCCCCCCCTCCCCCCCTTTCCTCCCCCTTCCCCCTCGCTTCCTCCTCCTACGGGCCATCCAGCCCTCCTCCCCCTTCCCCCCTCGCGTCCTCCTCCTACGGGCCATTCAGCCCTCCTCCCCCTCCCCCCCCCTTCCCCCTCTCCCTCCTCCTCTCCCTCTCCCCCCCCCCCTCAGCAGCAGCAGCAGCCGAACCAGCAGCAGCAGCGGCAGCAGCGGCAGCACCAGCCGCAGCAGCAGCAGCAGCAGCAGCTGCATCCTCCCTTCCCCCTCTCCCTCCTCCTCTCCCTCTCCCCCACCCCCCGGCAGCAGCAGCTGCACCCTCCCTTCCCCCTCCCCCTCCTCCTCTCCCTCTCCCCCCCCCCCCCCCCCAGCAGCAGCAGCGGCAGCAGCGGCAGCAGCAGCTGCACCCTCCCTTCCCCCTCTCCCTCCTCCTCTCCCTCTCCCCCCCCCCTCCTCAGCAGCAGCAGCAGCAGCGTGAGGTGCGCAGCGGCAGCAGCGGCAGCGGCAGAAGGAGTGCAGCGGCAGCAGCAGCATCAGTAGCAGCAGCAGGAGGAGGAGTGCAGCAGCAGTAGCAGCAGCAACCCCCCCCCCTCCTTTGGCCGCCGCAGGTCCACCCGCCGTCGCCCATCATGGCTGCTACCCCCTCTGCCCCTCCCCCCCTCCTCGCTGGACTGGTGTTACCCCTCGCCCCTCCCTCATGCACATTTCGACCCTCCCCTCCTTCCTCCCTGCTCACCTCCGCCTACTCACCCCTTCCCCCCCTCCCCAGCTGCAACGTTTTCGGCAGCTTCAACAGCAGCAGCCACAGTTTCTCCGGCCACAGCCGCCATTGATTCTCCAGTCGCAGCAACCACAGCGGCAGCAATGCTACCAGCAGCAGCAGCAGCCACAGCTGCAGTGGTGCTTCCAGCAGCAGCAGCAACCACAATTTCCCCAGCAGCAGCCGCAGCGGCAGCAGTGCCTCCAGCAACAGCAGCGGCCACAGTTTCTCCAACCGCAGCAGCCACAGCAGCAACAGTCCTTCCAACAGCCGCGGCAGCCACAGTTTCTCCAGCAGCAGCCGCAGCGACAGCAGTGCTTCCAGCAGCAGCATCTGCCGTTGTATCCCCCTTCTCTCCATGAGACGTATCTCCAGTACTCTGCGTCACCCCCTTCTCCTTCCTCCCGCACCCTGGACTTCGTCCTTGACAGTGGAGCCACCGAAACTGCATTGAAAGACGCTGGCACCCTCACCCCCCTTCCACTTCCCACCCAGGTTCATGGTGCCGACTCTAGTTTTTCCATCCCCTGCACTCACCTCTCCACCCTTCCTTGCACCGCTTTCCCGTCTGGTACAGTCACAGGTCTCCACATCCCCACCCTTCGCAATAACCTCCTCTCCCACCGTGAGCTCCAAGGCGTTGGTATTACCGCCATTTACCCTGGATTTGCTTCCTCCTGCGCATTCCCCTTTGCCCTCGCACTCGAATTTATACGCTCCGCACACCCCGTCCCTCGTTCTGTCACGTCACCACCCGTGCCGGTACTTCCACCGGTCCCCTTCCCCCTCTCCCTCCCCCTCCCCCTCCCCCCCCTGTATCCTCCTCCTCTACCCCATCCCCCTCCTCCTCCCCCCCCACCTCTTCCCCCACCCCTACCCCCTCCTCCTCTACTACCCTCTCCCACCCTGCAGTGCTCTTGCATCACAGACTCGGCCATCCCAACTTCGCTGCACTTCGCTCCTCCGTTACCTCTCGCCTCCTTAACAGCCTTCCTCCCACATTACCTCCCCTCCCCTCCTCCCCTGCTCCTCCATGCCCATCCTGCATTCATGGCAAGCTCAAACAGTCCCCCCATCACAATCATCCCACATTCGCTGCCGCCCCCATTGACCTTGTTCACATGGATCTCTGGGGCCCTTATCCTATCCGCTCCCGTCAGGGGCATCGGTACATGCTCGTGCTCGTCGACGACCACAGTCGTTACTCCACCGTCTTCTTTCTTCACACGAAAGACCAGGTGCCGGCTGTGGTCATCATCTGGGCTGAGCAGTGTCGCACTCACTTCAAACGCCCCATCGGCCGCCTTCACTCTGACGGTGGGGGTGAGTTCATCAATCATAACCTTTCCACTTACTGCAACACATACGGCATTCAGCAGACCTCCACCCTCCCCCACTCCCCTCAGCAAAACGGCATCGCTGAGAGTCGCATCCGTGAGATCACCAAGATTGCTCGCTGCCTTCTTGCTCACGCCTCCACCCCTCCCTCCCTCTGGAGCTATGCCCTCCTGCATGCCGCCCTCCTCCTCAATCTCCGCTCCCACCCTCAGCATCCCTCCTCCTCCCCCACAGAACTCTGGTCCCAGGCCAAGCCCGACGCTGCCGGCCTTCGTGTTTGGGGGTGCAAGGCGTTCTTCCTCATTCCACCGGCCGATTGCTCCCGCGCGGCTGGAAAGCTCGCCCCTCGTGCCCTGGAGTGCGTCTACCTCGGGCACAATCGCGATTCCCCAGGCTACCTGTTCCTCCACCCTCCCACTAATCGCCTCATCCGCAGCATTGACGTCGTCTTCGACGAGTCCATTCCCTACTACTCCTCTCCTCCTCCTGTCCCTCTCCCTCCTCCCACTCGCCCCCTCGCTTGGACCGACACCGTCCTCCCGCCTCTTCTCCCTCCAGCGCCTCTCCTCCCGCCTGTCGCCGCTCCGCTCCCGCCTTCCTCCTCTGCCGACGTCTATGACCCTGCCGCACCGGCCTCCCCGGCCCACTCAGCTGCACCCGCTCCCTCCTCTCCCTCCTCCTCTCATTCTCCCCCTTTTCCGCAGCAGTTGCAACAGCAGCCGGATCAGCAGCACCAGCAGCAGCAGGGGCAGCAGCATCCGCAGCGGCCGGGGCAGCAGCAGCAGCAACGGCCGGGTCAGAACCAGCAGCAGCAGCAGCCGGGTCAGCACCAGCAGCAGCAGCAGCAGCAGCAGCAGCAGCAGCAGCAGCAGCAGCAGCAGGGGCAGCAGCAGGGGCAGCAGCAGCAGGGGCAGCAGCATCAGCAGCAGCCGGGTCAGCAGCAGCAGGTGCAGCAGCCGCAGCAGCAGCCGGGGCAGCAGCATCAGCATCGGCCGGGGCAGCAGCAACAGCAGCAGCCGCAGCAGGGACTGCAGCAGCAGCAAGGGCAGCAATTACAGCAGCACCAGCAGCAGCAGCAGCGACGTGCAACTTCTCGCTCCTCCCCTTTCCTCCTCCCTCGCATGCATACGCGCTCCGTGGACAAAATCCTTGGTGCCCCTCCCCTCGCCTCCATTCAACTCCTCGAGGACTCCCATGAGGAGTTCCTCAACATTCGGCAACACACATCTTTCCTTGCCTCCCTCTACCTTGACTTCCTCGGCTTTCCCGTCCTTGGCGCCACCTCCACCCCCACCATCTTCACTCCCACCACCTTCCAAGAGGCCATCACCTGCCCTGGCGCGGACAAATGGATCGCGGCGATATTTCTGGAGTGCGAGGCATTCATTCGCAACGACTCCTTCATCGATGTCCCCCTCCCAGCCGACGCCAACCTCGTTGAGGGCAAGTGGATCTTTCGGGTGAAGCAGCTTCCGGGTGAGGAGCCGGTCTACAAGGCACGCTACTGCGCCAAGGGTTTCACGCAGACTTGGGCTGAGGATTACTGGTTTACCTTCGCCCCCACCGCCAAGCCGCCCACCCTTCGCACCGTCCTCGACATTGGTGCGCGCGACAACATGGAGATCTGCTCCATGGACGTCTCCAACGCGTTCCTGCAGGGTGACCTGCACGAGCGCATTTTTCTCCGGCGGCCCCCTGGGTTCCACGCAGCCTTTCCTGAAAACACAGTGTGGCAGCTGCGTCGCCCTGTCTATGGTTTGAAGCAGGCGCCAAGGGAGTGGCATGCGAAGCTGTCTGCCACCTTGGGGTCCCTCGGCTTCTCTGCTTCGCACTCTGACGCCAGCCTCTTCATTCGCTCCTCCCCTCGCCGCTTTTTCATTTTGGTGTACGTGGACGACATGATCTGCTTTCTGACTCCAAGGCTGACATGGAGCAGATGAAGCTGTCCCTGCAGCAGCGTCTCAAATGCAAGGACCTCGGCGACCTTACGCACTACCTGGGCATGACCATCACGCGCAACCGCCTTGCTCGCACCATCACCCTCTCCTAGTCCCATTACATCGGCCAGGTCTTGGAGAAGTTCGAGATGGCACAGGCCAGTCCCACGGCCACCCCCCTCCCTTTTGGCCACCAACTTGCCCCACCCACCTCTCCCTCCTCCTCCTCTCGCCCTTATGCTGAGCTCGTTGGGTCGCTGATGTACGCAATGATGTGCACCCGCCCCGACCTCGCCTACCCCATCAGCGTGCTCGCTCGCTTTGTTGGCACTGGTCGCCACACGGAGGTGCACTGGAAAGCTGCCAAGAGGGTCCTCCGCTACCTTCGCGGCACCAAGGACCACGCCCTCACTCTTGGTGGCCCCTCCCCTCCCCTGCTTTCGGGCTTCAGCGACTCCTCCTGGGCTGACTCGCAGCCGGACCGCCGCTCCTCTCAGGGCTACGGCTTCACCCTCGGCAGCGGCCTTGTCAGCTGGCGCTCCACGCGCTCCTCCTCCGTCTCTCTCTCCACCTGCGAGGCCGAGCTCTACGCTGGCACCATGGCCGCTCAGGAATCCCGCTGGCTCTGCTTTCTTCTTGCTGAGCTTGGCGCCCCTCAGCCCTGCCCCACCCTCTGGTGTGACAACGCCAGCACCATCCATCTCACTCAGGACCCCGTCTACCACGCCCGCTCCAAGCACATCGAGCTGCGCTATTTCTTCATCCGCGAGCTCGTCAAGCGCGGCCTTCTTGCAGTACGCAAGATTGCTGCCGAGGCCAACTTGGCCGACCTCTTCACCAAGGCCCTCCTTCGCCCTGCGCACTCTGCTCTCCTCCGCCTCATCGGCCTTGCTCCACCGGGCGCCCCTTGATTCAGGGGTTGTCCCTTTCTTGTCTTAGCATGCTAAGGGGTTGTGTTAGAAATGTATGTATAGCATGCTAAGTATAAAAGGGGATGGTGCTACACCCAACTTTGGGTGTAGCTTGCTTTGTAGGTCTACACCAAACTTTGTGGTGTAGACTTGCAAGTTGGGGTGCCAATCCAACCCACAAGTGTTGGAGCCCCCAAGTGCAAGTTGGGTACCCCCTCTTTGCAACCCACAAGTTGGGTGCCCCCTCCTTGCAACCCATATGGTCCTTGTTGCAAGTTGGGTGCCCCCTCCTTGCAAGTTGCCATAGGGACTGCCCAACCACCCAACTTACTCCCTTCCCTTCCAAGCTCCTCTTGCATCCTATGTATTCTCCCTTCTTCCCTAATCAACGAATTCATTCACTTCACAATTTTCACAACTGGGTGTGTGTGGGTCGTAAGGTGAATGTGTGTTTGTGTGTGTGTGCTTGAGGGGAGGGGGGTAGGTGGGTGTGTGGGTGGGTGTGTGTGTGTGTGTGTGTGTGTGGGTGTGTGGGTGTGTGTGTGTGTGTGGGTGTGTGTGTGTGTGTGTGGGTGTGTGGGTGTGTGGGTGTGTGTGTGTGTGTGGGTGTGTGTGTGTGTGTGGGTGTGTGTGTGGGTGTGTGTGTGTGTGTGGGTGTGTGTGTGGGTGTGTGTGTGTGTGCGCGCGCCCGTGCTTCACTCATGCACTTGATCACCATCTTGCCTACACCCACCCCTTGCTGCTGCTTCCACCTCTGTCACCTCTGCAGGGGCAGCAGCAGGAGGAGCAGGAAGTGGGCCAGGGAATGCACGGCTCAGCACCTGCCGGTGCCGCCCCAGAAGCAGCAGCACACAGCAGCCTGCGAGGTGAAGCCATGGAGGTGGATGGGCTGGTGCTAGCCGGTAGCAGCGCAGGGAGGGGGCGGGGTCGCAGGGCGTGGGGCGAGGGGGTGGAGGAGGTGGGGGCAGATGAGGACTGCGTGGGTAGAGCAGGGCTGCTGGGAGGGGAGGGAGGTGCTGTGGGGAGCGAGGAGAGGGGTGTGGGAAGGAGGAGGGGGAGACGGAGGAAGAGCGAGAGGGTGGAGGATGAAGAATATATGTGGGGCACAGATCATGCTTCAGAGGGGGGTGAGCTAGTGGGGGACGATGAGGAGGAGGAGGCGGAGGCGGAGGAAGAGGAAGAGGAGTATGAAGAGGAGGAGGAAGAGGAGGAGGAAGAGGAGGAGGAGGAAGAGGAGGAGTATGTGGAAAAGGAGGAAATAGATGACGAGGAAGAGTTGCTAGCTTCGAAAGACGCTGAGGATAATGGCACGTATGAGCGGCACGGGCAGTACGGAGAAGAAAGGGAGATGGCACGTGCTGAGAAGGGTGCGAACGAGGTGGACGAGGGGAGAGAGGGGGGCGTGCAGCACAACCCCAGGCACAGTGAACCGGGGCAGCGGAGGAGAGGGTATGGCGGTCAGGAGCTGGGGCATGAGGGTGGAGTGAGAGGCGGCCTTGGTGCTGCAGGTGTGGCTGTAGAGAGTGGTAGAGGGCAAGAGGGGGGAGGAGGTGGAGAGAGGGAACGAGAGAGGGATGTGGTTCGGCAGGTTCGGCGTGACATGGCTCGGTTGGAGGCTCGGATTCCGTGGCTCGGGGTCCGGTCCGGATGGAGGAACCGAAGGTCGGCGTGGCGGAGGGCGGTTAGAGACAGCTGTAGCGCTCTGGTTGGTTCCTCCTCCTCTCCCTCTGTTGTTCCTATGTTCAATTTTCCCTTGTTCCGTGTTTTCCTCGTCTGTTGCTCGTTTGCATGGGATTTAGGGTTTCACCTCACTGCACCTCACCTCACGTTATTTCACCTCATTTCACCTCACCTCACCGCACTCCTCCATGTGCCCCCAACCGCATGGAGCAGGAGTTGGTGCATCGGCTGGACGAATTTCGCTCGCACCTGCTGCTGCACCATGCTGCTCTCCTCTCCGACCACCACTGGGCCCTCCGCGTTGCTGCCGCCTCTGCTGCCGCTGTCTCTGCCTCTGCTGCACCTGCTGCTGCCGCTCTTGCCCCTGCTGCCCCTACTGCTTCCCCTACCTCTGCCACTGCTGCTGCTGCTGCTGCCTCTGCTGCGCCTGCTACAGCTGCCGCTGCCGCTGCCGCTGCCACTTCTGCTGCCGCTGCTCCTGCGTCTGCTCCTGGTGAAAATGACATTCGTGATGCCAGCTTTGGTGCCACCTCTGCTGCTGCCGAGGACACCAAATGTGCTGGTGCTGACGTGGCAGGGTGGCGTGCTGCCACCTGTCATGGCATGCTGTTGGAGCTCTGGACACGTCTGCATGATGATGTCAGCAAGTGGCTTGAGGCTCGGCCCAAAGAGGCTGTTGGGAATGTGTGAGTTGCTGACATGGTGGAATGGCATGGTGGCATGGTGTGAACACAAATGTCGGCAATTTTTTCTGCACGCTTCTGAACGTTTTTTCCTACTTCTTTGCCCTGTTGCCATTCCCCAAAGTCACACCTTCCCCTTCTCCCTTCGTCCACCTCTCTCCTCACCCCTTCTCATCCACCTCAGTGTGTCAGCAGTGGCAGCACTGGCACGCCACACATCAGCCTCCCCAGCACACGCCACCCTACCATCACCACCACCCTCCTCCTCTCACATCCTGCCTCCCACCGCGCCACCTGTGGAGGCACTCTTCCCCTGGGCGGCGCACTTGAAGCCGCTGCTGCCTGCGCCCGCCCTCACTGCTGCGGTGGCCGTGGCGGCATCAGAGGCAGCAGCTGCTGTGAAGGGCGATGTGAGGAAACTAGAGGTCTGTGCTTCTTCCCCTACCCTTGCCCTCTCAAGCATCCCACTCTCTCCCCGCCCTCGGCTGGTCAGCATTCGCCGTGTCTTGTCGATACATCTGCTCATCTTCCCAGTTTCAAGGCACCTCATAACTCCCTGTGTCGTGTCATGTCATCTCCACATCCCCCCCTTCCTGCCCTGTTTTTCCTGTTCCTTTTCTCTCGTTCTCTTTCTCCTGCGTCTGCACCTGCAGGTCTTGCAGGGTGTTACGCTGCGACTCGTTCTCTCTCACAGCCCTGCTGAGCTGGCAACAATTCGTGCAGCACTGGAGAGGGAACGGCGCCACATCAGCGCTCTGCTTGCTGACATGGACCAACCAGCCAATCCGACTTCTGCTGCTAGCAATGCAGCTGCCAGTGCTGCTGCCGGTGCTGCTGCTGGTGCTGCCACTGCTTCAACTGTTGCTGCTGCTGCCAGTACTGCCGCTCCCCCTGCCTCTACTCCTCCTGCTGATTCAGCTCCTCCTGCTGCCGCCGTCACCCCTCACCCTGCATTGACCACACACCTCCCAGTTCGCCCCCCAGCCCCTCCCACCCCTCCCCACCCGAGACAGCCAGGTATGATCAGGGGAGGCAGGCGGACAGTGGTCAGGGCTGTTGCTGCTGCTGCTGCTGCTGCTGCTGGTGATGGTGCTGCTGCTATTGGCACCGCTGCTACTGCTGGTGCCGCTGCTGGTGGTACTGGTGGAGTTGATGGAGGTGATGGTGTAACAGGTGTCGTTTCAGAGACAGGAGGTGACGAGACACGGATTGCAGCAGCAATGCCTCCAGCAGCAGCAATGGTAGCAGCCACACCGACACCAGCAGCACCACCAGCAGCACGAGCAGCAACAGCAGCAGTAGCAGCAGCAGGTGGAAATGGTGAGCGAGTGAGAAAGAGGTCACACGCATCTCGGACTGCAGAGGAGCTCGTGGATGTACCGGTGCAGCAGCAGCAGCAGGTGGGGGGCGAGGGGCACAGCGCGCGTGCAAAACGGCGAAGGGGAGCGTCCATGCACTCTCGCGGAGAGGAGCTGGGTGGGGGGCATGCAGATGGCGCTTTGGAAGCGGCAGGTGAGGCGGGTGGGACAGGTGGGACAGGTGGTGTAGATGAGGCAGAGGGTCGCAGGCAGGCAGAGGTGGAGGAGGAAGCACGTGGAGCAGTCACAGAGCGTGGTGCCCGCGTGGGGACTGCTGCTGCTGCTGCTGCTGCTGCTGCTGGTGCAGAGACAGGGAGGGCAGCTGTGGGAAGGAGGTCGGTTGCAAGAGCAGGGAGTGGAGGAGTAGGAAAGGGTGAAGCGGCAGGGAGGGCATCAGCAGAGACAGCAGGAGTGCCGACAACAGGTTCGGCAGGAGTTGTAGCAGCATCGGGGGCATCTGGTTTGGGCAGACGGGTGCGGTACAGCACAGGTGCAGCGAGAGCGCCTGCATCAGCAGCAGCAGCAGTGATTGCCCGGAGGCGAGGGCTAAGAGGGATGGGGGGGATGGGGCAGAGGCAGGGAGGTGCCGTTTGGGGCAGCAGGGGAAGGAGGTTGGTGAGTGGTGTGGCTGTGGGAGTGGGCCGAGGTGGGAGGGGTGGGAGGGGAAGAGGTAGAGCAGGGCACGGTGGTGCTTTGGGTGAGAGAGGAGAGGCAGAGGGAATAGGTGGCAGGGGAGCAGGAAAAGCAGGGCTGGTAGGAAGTGAAGGGGGTGATGGGGAGAGAGAGGGGCAGTGGGGAGTGAGTGCGGGAGGAGAGGGTGAGGCGGGCAGAGCGAGGGTGGGACGGAAGAGGAGGCGAGGGGTGCTGATCGGCGCTAAGGGAAGGACAGCAACAGCGGCAGCAGCGGGAGCAGCAGGAGCAGCAACAGGAGCAGGTGCAGTTGGGGGGAAAAGCCTACCACGGCAATTACAAGCAACTTCAGCAGATTCTCTCACTGACCCTTCCACAGCTCCCTACAGTCACCAAGGCAGCACCTCCTTACAAGCACAGCCTCGCCCCCTCTCCACACGCACGCTCCGCTGTCCCTATCCTGCGCCAACTGAGCCAGGTTCGGATGACGAGTCTAGAGGCTCGGAAGACCTTGGGGATCCGAGCCTGGGCTCTCCAGGCGGCTCGGGGGAACTGCCTCGGGTGCTGTCTCTGGGGGGACTGGGGGGACTAGAGGGGATGGAGGGGATGGGGTTTGAGGGGTTTGATGGGGCCATTGATCTGGAGGACATGGCTGAGCTGGATGATGCTGCTGGGCTGGGGTTTGAGTGATGCTGTTGGAGTGATGATGTTGGGGTGATGATACAGCACTTGGATGTGAATGTGACGATGTGGACTCGGGGGTGAATGGTCACCTTGGGCTGTGCTTGGAGTGATCATGGGGGTTATGTTATGGGGTTCTTCACAGCAGTGTGGAGCTAAGAGTACATACATACATACATACCTAGTACCGTACTCCAGTGTAGCTGTTCTTGCCGGATAGTGATTAGCCTTTACGGTATTCGTACCGTAGTAGGTATATCAGAGAGCCATTTGAAGGTAAGAGTAAAATAATGCTCAGTCCATTCATTTTGTTCATTTTGCTTGCTTTCTGTGTTTCTCATTGCACGGCTTCATTTAGATATCCATTGGCTGCCCAAATCTACAGTGTATCTGCTCTTTTATTATTGCGTGTCGTAGAAAGAAAGCTCTCTAAAATGTGATATTTTATATGCAATGCAATGGCATGCTAGTACGTAAGGAACACCCCATCATTGTGGCAAACCATTGTTATACCTTAAACGATAAGCAACTCCTACATAAACAATATAGCCGATGATACAACAATTAGTGTGGACCATAATATGGCCGGTTGTATGTGCAGGCTCGAAGAATCATCTGCAAGAATACACGAGAGAAAATGCACAAGAAAATATTGAGAGCCAAGCGTCCTGGAATTAAAACAAGGGACAACGAAGGTTACGCGTGTTAACACATGCAAGACGGTGGGAGGAGGAAGCAAGCAACGAGCTGGACAAGTTCTACAAGTGCCACAAGTGCCACAAGTGCCACAAGCCCGATAGGTGCCACAGGTGCCACTAGCATCACCAGTGCTAATACCTAACGTCACACCTTTGCATAGCGATCGTACGTACCATAGCTGTAGTCGGGCGGGTTTTCAAAGATAGCGGGAGACGAGCGGATGATGGCACTCGTTGTGGTGTTGATGAGCTTGCCTGTGGTGCCTGTGATGATTGAGAGGGAGGGGAGAAGGGGGAATATGTGCACTGTATGTATGTGTGTGATAAGAAGAGCAAGGCAAAACGCGAGATTGACATTGGCGAGCTTGCCCGTGATGCCTGTGATGAGTGAGAGGGAGGGGATATGAGGGGTTGATGTGAGTGCGTGCGAGGAAAAGAAGGGCAGGGAGAGGGCTTGACCTTGGTGAGCTAGCTGGGGTGCTTTCGAGAGTGTGTGTTGGTTGGGTGAACGACGTGAAGACAGTATGAAGAGAAAAGACAATGGCGGCAGTGGAATATGAAATGGGCCGCACATCTCATAAAGGGACAGCAGCGACAGGCACAAGAGAAGCATTAACCAGACAAAGTGGCATTTAAATCCAATTGAAAACGAGTACGGTGTTATGAAAGCAGTGCATGTCAGTGGCGAGGGATGGTGAGGGATGGTGAGGGATGGTGAGCACGTACAATTCATCGGCACAAATCCGATTGTGTTGGTTTCATGATTGAAAAGAACGTCGTTGTTGCGAAGCCACGACCCTGCCAGCAGATTACCCGTTCAGTTCAAGGAAGTTGTTGCGACACAGTATTTCAAGCAGAGAAGTGAACGCATGCACGCACCAAGGAACACACCACGCTGTGGAAATGCACTGAGCACACACACACAAACGGAGAGCCACGTATGGTGCAGTGTACAATCCAGCCAGCATGCGCCACGCATCCACGCATCCGTCACCTCTACCTAAGTGGTGCTGCACTCCCCGTGCCCACCTACCTCCCATGTAGGATGAGATACACTGGGAAGCCAATGCACACAAGCACAGACGAAACTGGCCCACCTGGTGTTGGACTGCCCATCCCTCACCTCCTATGTATGTGGTGTTGGACTGCCCATCCCTCACCTCCTATGTATGTGGTGTTGGACTGCCCATCCCTCACCTCCTATGTATGTGGTGTTGGACTGCCCATCCCTCACCTCCTATGTATGTGGTGTTGGACTGCCCATCCATCACCTCCTATGTATGTGGTGTTGGACTGCCCATCCCTCACCTCCTATGTATGTGGTGTTGGACTGCCCATCCCTCACCTCCTATGTATGTGGTGTTGGACTGCCCATCCCTCACCTCCTATGTATGTGGTGTTGGACTGCCCATCCCTCACCTCCTATGTATGTGGTGTTGGACTGCCCATCCCTCACCTCCTATGTATGTGGTGTTGGACTGCCCATCCCTCACCTCCTATGTATGTGGTGTTGGACTGCCCATCCCTCACCTCCTATGTATGTGGTGTTGGACTGCCCATCCCTCACCTCCTATGTATGTGGTGTTGGACTGCCCATCCCTCACCTCCTATGTATGTGGTGTTGGACTGCCCATCCCTCACCTCCTATGTATGTGGTGTTGGACTGCCCATCCCTCACCTCCTATGTATGTGGTGTTGGACTGCCCATCCCTCACCTCCTATGTATGTGGTGTTGGACTGCCGGTATCCAATGGCTGCAATGCACAGCAGAGTGTCGCTCTGCAGCAGGCAACAGGAGGAACAGATGGCATGATCATGGGCACGTGCTGAGGCACACACGTGCATGTGTAAAAGACACACATGGTCTAAGGCACACACCATGGTAAGGCACACACACATGCACACATCACAAAAAAAAAAAAAAAAAAAAAAAAAAAAAAAAAAAAAACAAACAAACAAACAAACAAACAAACAAACAAACAACAACAACAACAACATTTGTAAGGCAATGAAGAAGGGCACTCCCCCTTGTGTAAGGTGCAGCTGTAGAAAGCGCACCTTGTGAAAGAGGTAGTTGTAGGCACACCTTGTGAAAGAGGTAGTTGTAGGCACACCTTGTGAAAGAGGTAGTTGTAGGCAGGGACGGTCCAGAGCAGGTTGGCAGAGAAGTCTAGGAGGAGAGGCGGATAGGTGGAGGCGAGCTCCGCACTGGACCTGGTGGGGGCAGGGCAGGGTCGGGGAACCGATCAAGGGGAAGAGCACAAGGGGACGACGCAAGTGATGGTGGGTAGGCAAGCATTTGTCTCATTGTGCTCCACTGGAGGATGCCTGCAGGGCAGCATGGTTTGTGAGCATGCCATGCCATGCCAGTGACTGACATAATAGTAAAATTGTTCTGAGACGTCTCAAAGCATTGAGCTCATGGTGCTCCACTGGAGGATGCGTGCAGGCAGCATGGGTTGTCTTGTGAGCACGACATGCCAGTGACCTTGACTGCATACCACACCCTTACAGTTGAAGGGAAATTGCAATAGCAGCACAAATACATGCAAGCACACATGGACTCCCATGCTCGAATAGGTGAAGGGAAGTTGTGGTACTGGGCAAGCTCACATGCGTTTCTTGGTGCGCAGACAGTGGAAGTACCCCGACCAGATCATGGTCTGGTTCACTGCTTGCTCCAACTGCAGGGAGTGGCGTGGATCGGCGTGGATGGGCGTGGATGGGTGTGGATGGGCGCGGATGGGCGTGTATGGGCGTGGATGGGCGTGAATGGGCGCATGGATGGGCGTGGGTGGTGAGGGATACGAGCAGGTTGTGGGAGGGAAGGGAAAGGAGAGGATAAAGGCCCGCGGAAGAAGCGGATAAAGGCCCGGGGAAGAAGCGCACATAGGTCAACGAAAAGATGAAAGAAACAGAGGACTGATGCTGACCAAGGTTTGCCTCACGTTGACTTATAATAACTCATGCTAAACAATGTTGACTCATCACATATGGAAAAACTGACGGCAATGCGGGCCAGGCCGCGATTCGCCAACAATGGGAAAGCAGAAGAAGAAAGAACCACACATACACACACACAAGGAAACTAAACGAACACGAACGAGCGGAAGCATAACTACTCAGCGCTTCACAGCACAAGCGAACGAGCGGCAGCGGGAGACTGACAGCAGAGGAGAGCGCGGTGAAGATGGGCGCAGGCAGGGCCGTGAAAGTAGACCCACTGTCAATCACCGCTCCCCCCGACACCGCCCCCGTGGGCAGCGACCCCCCCGCCGTCCCCCCGCTGCCATCACCATTACCACCCCCCTGGTTGCTGTCACCCCCGCCCCCACCATCCCCCCCCGTGTCTGTGACCCCATCGCCCCCTATTAAGGTGGTGTCTGAGGCAGGCGCGGACACGCCATGCGGGGGAGGGGCGACGGTGATGGTGGTGGTGCCGTTGGGAATGGGGATGGGCGACCGGTTGAGGTAGAGAGCGAGCAGGGGCAGGCGGTACACGGTGCTGGGGGGGGGGGGGGGGGGGGGGGGGGGTTTGGGGGCGCGGCAGAGATGGAAAGGAGCAGGAGGGAGAGTTGAGCAGGGAGTGAGAAGTGGCGGTGGCAATGGCTTTGGTGGTGGCAATGGCAATGGTGCCCCTGGGGTTAAGAACGAGAGGACCCCATCCAGGTCTAGGGCGAGCAGGCGCAGACAGACAGTAGGTGCTTGAGGAGGAAGGGGGAGAGGGCAGAACGAACTTGGGTTGGGGGTGTGGGACATATGCGATAGCATACCAGTACGTGATGTACTGGCAGGTTACATCATGCATCTCCACGACTAGATGGGGAGCGATATCCAGTCCAGAGTAGCAACCATCTCGCTCGCTCGCAGCGGGGGCAAGGGGTGCGTTGACATTTGGGCTGATCAAGCCATTTTCGATATGCTTGTACCCCGTGCAATGCAACAGTCATCAAAAGCCTCACAGGTCATCAGAGGGCGCGAGGGGCGCGGTGACGGTAGAATTGGTGTCGGGCAGGCGCCGCCTCCCCAGCACGAGGTGGCCGCCGCGCTGGCGGCCCTCGAGGCAGAGCGAGAAGGACTCGTGCAGCACTCCCTGCGCCGCCAGCTGCGTGACCACCGAGAGCGGCCCGCGGCCCAGCCCCATTACCCCGCTGAGGGACGCCGTGGAGGAGGGCGAGGCGAGACGGCCCGACTGGTGCACCCCGCAGCTGGGAGGGGGGAGGGAAGAGAGGGGAGGGAAGGGGAGGGCGTGGATTGGGAAAAGCGCATTGACTCGCACGGCACTTTCCATGAGAGCGGGCTGCGCCCAGCCCCATGACCCCGGTGAGGGATGCCGCGGAGGAGGCAGTGGCGAGACGAGACGGCCTCACAGGTGCACTCCACAGGTGGAGAGGGGCGGGGGGACGGAGGAGAGAGGCGCGGGAGGGGCGGGAGGGGGGGAGGGGGCTATGGGAGAGAAGGGAAGGGGGAGCGGGGAGGGAGGGACAAGAGATGGGGGGACAAGGGATGGGGAGGGGCGGAGAAGGGAGGGGGGGGAGTAGGAAAGGGCGGAGGGGGGAGGGGAGGATAGGGGAGGGGTAGAGGGGGGAGCGCGGAAGCGGGGAGGGGTGAGGCAAGAATGTAAATGTACACGCAATATGCAACTAGCAAAGAAGTGGAGCACAGGCTGGGCATGAAACGAGAGCATGCCAGCCAGACACACACACAGCAACAAGGGGCGTTCAGCAGTTCCTGATTGCATGTGTTACCCAAAGGCGATGGTGGCGTTGGCGGATTTCTTGGAGGTGGAGAGCAGCGCGAGCGAGTCAAAGAGGAGATCCCCTGCTGTGGTGCTGCCGTCACCGTACTCCAACATGTACTGGCAGCGCCGACTCGTGCGCACCCCGCCCACCTGATGAGAGGGGCAGGACAGGGTGGAGGGGGACTTCTGAGACCTCTGAGACATCTGAAATGCTGTTGCCGTTCTCCAGCATGTACTGGCACGGGCACCGCCGACTCGTGCGCACCCCGCCCACCTGATGAGAGGGGCAAGACGGAGAGCGGGTGAGAGGAGGGGAGGAGGAAAGGAACGAGGGACAAAGAGGCGGGAATGACAAGGACGAAGCCGGAACCCACCTGGGGGGAGGGAGCGAGGATGGAGGGGGAGAAAGGGGAAGGATGGATGGCACTTCCTCTCACAAGCATCTCCAGGGCGTGTTGCTGGGTAGGCGCACACACAGGCTCTCCCTCGTCCCCTCGACCTCTCCCCGTTCCCCCTTTTCTCCCATTCTCCCTCCCTCTCCCCGTCCCGCCCCTCCCCTTTCTCCTCACCCCCTCCCCCTACCGTTAACCCCCCCCTCTCCGCCTCGCCTTCCCCTTCTCCCACGCACCTGGCAGCCAACGGGCATCTCCAGCGCGTACTTCTGGGTGAGGGCAGTGCAGGGGGCGTCGGTGCACCCGCCACTGCCCAGGCTGCTCGAGTTGCTCGCCCAGTACACAAGCTGCTCGCCCGCCAGCTCCTGCACCTTGCTCCACACCCCTCCTGCCGCTCCTGCCGCTGCTGCTGCCTCTGATGCCGCTGGTGGTGACGGCGGTTGTGATGGTTGTGATGGTGCAGGTTCCGGTGTTGTTGTTGCTGCTTGTGCTTCGAATGGCGATGATGGCAATGATCCTGATGGTGATGATAACGATGATTCCAATGCGGCTGACCGCATCGCTTCCACCGCACCTACATCTCCCACAGCAGCAAGGCTGTGCCGCTGCCGCTGCCGCTGCTGCCCTGTCTGTGACTCAGAGGGCACGGGCCAGTCACCACCACCACTTTCTGCTGCGCCCCGCATGAGCGACCCTCGAGGCACTGCCAGCTGCCCAGCTTCTTCGTCCCACCGCTCCTCCTCTCTGCCTTCCCCAACTGCTGCAGTAACCACCGGCCTTGCTTCTCCCTCTCCTTTTGCTTGTGCCTGTGCCTGTGCACGTGACGCCTCACCACGCGCATGTGACTGTAACGAGGGCGCCCGTTGTGAGCCATCCACCTCCAGTGCCATCCCTGCTCCAGCAACCAACCCTTGCCCCGGACCTCCCTCTGAACCCCGACCTGCACTTGCACCTGCATCTGAGGCCGCTACTGCATGTGCATGTGCATGTGCAGCAGCAGGAGGTGTGTCTGTTGCCATGTTCCTGGCGTGGTTGAGAGATGCGGATGAGGGAGGGTCCACCGAGGGGGGCGAGGCGGGCGAGGAGGACGCGGAGGGGGAGGGGTCTGATGGTGGCGCTGGGGAAGGGGCGCTGGGAGATTGCTGTCCGCCTGCAGGCTGCTGCTGGGGGGGTTGTGTGAGATGGAGAAGGAAAAAATCAAAAAGGAAGGGTGCAAGGGTTTCTGTGCCACATGTATTCTAGTCAATACAGGGACTGGAAACGAGATGAAAAGAAAGAAAGAAAGAAAAAAAAGGTTTTGACGACAGTAGAGGACTTTTAAGAGCATGAAACACAAGTCATGCCACATCCTTGCTGTCATCAACACAGCAACGCAACACAGAAAGGCTACCACACTTATCCAGCATCTATCCACTACCATGCCCCGACGCAAAGGCCCACCTGCGTGTGGTTGGTTTTGGAGTGAGGTGGAGGGCAGGAGGGGCAGATGCAGCGCGTCCAGAGCAGGTCGCTGCCCGTGTCCACCTGCAGGTTCACCGGCTGCCTCTGCCACCCCAGCTGCACCTGCACGTAGTATAGGCTGCTCGCACAGGTGGGGAAGGAGAGGAGGGGAGAACGAGTTCACAAGTACCTCAAAGGTAAAAAGAGTGGTTGCGGCCGCATGCAGGTTCACTCACCCACAGCTCTATCACCCCACACTCCTCTCTCACGTCCCCTATAAGCCTCTCTCGCACCCCTCTCTCAACCCTCCATCACTCTTCCCTCACCCCCACTATCTCCCCCTCCCTCTTCCTCGCTCTCACCCCTCGCTCACCCTCTCTTACCACCCTTCGCTCACCCGAATCTGCTGAGGAAGTATCCATCCAGGGGGTACTGCACGTCGCCCAGACCCAGCAGCCTGCCAAGTGCCTTTGATTCCACTCAAAACTCACCGCGCCCCCCCGTCACCCTCTTTCACCATCCTCTCTCTCACCCTCTTTCACCACCCTCTCTCTCACCCTCTTTCACCACCCTCTCTCTCACCCACTTTCACGACCCTCGCGCACCCCGATTTGGTGAGGAAGTAGCCATCCAAAGGGTACTGCACGTCGCCCAGACCCAGCAGCCTGCGCCGCCCACCGGCTGGTGGGGCCCACGGCAGGCCGTGCAACAGCCGTGATTGGCCGTCCTCGTCAGCGCTGCGTCGGAGCAAGCTGGCGTGCCCCTCCTCGTTCTGGCGCGTGATCCCATCGCCCTGGTCGTGCATGCAGCATGGCACGAAGAAAACGTGTGAATGTGTGCTGTATGCAACTGTAACGAGGTGAATTCCGAGTCGACTCAAACGTCACCTCGTGGGCTCCTCGCCCTGGTCGCGCATGCAGCATGGCAGCGACGAGATCCGGTGAGTGTGTGGCTTGCGAGCGTGACACAGCTTCAGAGCGTGGAGCTGACAAATGAAACTGGCTTGAGAACCCAAAAGTGCAGCAACGTGGTAGGACATGTGAGAACATGGAACGCGGAACAGCAGACTTAGAGACAAAATGGAATGGCGAACGACGCCTGAGCATCGGACAGGCGAGGCGGTATACCACCCTGTGCAAGAAAGAAAGGTGGCGACCTGTTGCCTTGATGCCCCGACTTCGTTCCCCAATCCCTTCAAATGGGCCTCATCCTCATGACTCCACCCCACTTACATCTTCCTTATCAACACCCCTGCCTTGGAGATGCCTTGAATCATCTCTCTTATTAGCGTCCTCGTTTTCTTCTGGAATGGCCTGCTTGACGGGCAGGTACACGCCCTCAGGCGAGTGGCCCTGCGCCATCAGCTGGCGGAAGAACCGAGGCTGCGGCGAATCACACGACGCTGAAGGCAACGGTTGGGATCGCAACGAAGGCGTTCCTCTTGCTGCTGCTGCTGCTGTTGCGGTTGCTACTGCTGATGTTGGTGTGTCCGCTGCTGCTGCTGCTGCTAGTGCTACTCCCTTTGCTGCTGTTTCCGTTGTTGTCGGCTGTGCTGCAGCGAAAGTGAGTCGCACATGGCCCCATGCGCTCATCTGCTCCAACAGCCGCCGCTCATGCACCTGGAGGTGGGTGGAGACGCGCTGGGCTTAAGGAAAATGCGTCTACCTCGTCAGCATGTGACTGAATCCAACTAAATCACGACGGCACTTGACTGGAGCAAGTACAGCGAGTCAGCAGCACAGCACTTCTGCATGCATTGAAAACGGGTCTCAGAGAAGGGAACAGCAAGAAATACTGGCACGCAGAACAGCACAAAGCTTGAAATACGAGTTACAAACTCGAATGCGGGAACCAACCACAGCGAGTGTGTGTGTGTGTTAAAAGTAGCAGTGACCTTCCAGCAAAAGCTCCATAGGCATAGAATAACCGGCGTAATGGCCGCCTGCTATCTCGTCTCAATTAAGCAATCCTCTGGCCTGCTTCCTTTGTACTGTCAACGAATCAAATCATATTAAAACAGCCCCTAATGTGATTTCCTGCTTGATTGGGCCACAAGTACCGGTCTACCGCCGGCTGTATCATGCTCCTCCGCGAACCCACAGCTACCACCAATGTCACACTGCGAGACGCAGCGGCGCAGGCGAATCGTCATTTGATTGTGCGAAGGAGTGTGTGAGAGAGTGGTGTGTGTGAACGAGATGTGTGTGAGACAGAGGTGCTTGTGTGTGAGAGAGTGGTGTGTGTGAAAGAGATGTGTGTGAGACAAAGGTGTTTGTGTGGGAGATGCTACCTGCTGCGGATGCTTCCGCGATGCTGCTGAGCTATCGCTGTCGCACCGCGAGAGGGGAACGGGCCACGCGGAGAGCAGCAGCAGCGGCAGCACGAGCGGAAGAAGAGCTTGTTGGGACGCTGTGCGACGACGCGACTCCGACACCTTCGCCGACGAGGCAGCATTCGTCGTCGTGCGATAGGACGACGCCCCGTGCGACGTCCCTGTACGACGATTCGTCGCACTACTATTGGTGAGCATGGTGGCCCCTGGACTCAAGACCGAACATCGTAGGTGAATACGAAGAATGCCTACTCTAGGAAGGACGTTCGGAGCGATGATAAGACTAAGCAGGTTCGATATGTACCGAGACTAGACATGTTGTGCGCAGACCTAGGAGCGGAAACGCTGGTAACGGAATCCGTCAGCGAATAAAACCAAATATCTGGCTTATCACAGCCGCGACATCCGTAGGAACTCGAGAACAGGGGTTGGCGTTGGACTTGCACATTCCTGCGCTGAAACCCTAATTTACCGATATAGCTGCTCTCACTGTCGAGCTGTCGTGTGCAACCGTAAGAGCCTACTTTAGTGGTTTAACGAAGGCGATGTTTGACCTGTCGCTTGCAAGAAACCTAAATTCGGTTTCCGACGGAACAGTCTAGCCGAAATAGCCATTGAGCTCATCGTCACCATGTCATCAAGACTCGAACTACGGGCAAGGCCGACGCTGCACGGTGGCGAAGGGGAGTGGCGTGGATCGCACACCTCTCAGGCAAGTCAAGCATCATCACGGCGACATCGCAACTAATCTCTAACGACCCGTGGCGACCATTCTCAATCGTGTGTGGCTTCGCTCCACATATCTAGTACTAGGACAGGAATGGCTCCTCCCGTCAGGACTGGAATCTGGATCCAGCTCATCTTGCAAGTCATCCCCGTCTGCGTCAGGCAGTGACCCTTTCGCGCGACACACCCGATTTGGAGCGATGGTCGGGGGTCCCTCCCAGGGATGCAATGCGAACCCCAGAGACGGAAACGTTGACGGATTTCGGTCACCGTAACTGAGTCTGGCTTTGTTTGATAGTTCATGGCAAGATACGACATCACTGTACTGTACTGTACACTCCTTGATTGCTGGTGCAGATCGAATCGACGAGCTCGCGGCCCGAAACATCAAGGATTTCTGGGCAACTATTTGCACCAATCGTACCCGTCGCTCCGTCAACCTTTTCCCGTCAACTCCAGCAGCCTGGCGACGTCGCATAACGGGGAGGAGGCAAGATTCCCCCAAACTCGAGATTCCGTTTGCTCTCGCAAGTGTCCGTTGGCTTTGTGTCGTGCAGACCAGCCAAACTGCTTGACTTGGGCAGACCAGCCATTTCAAATCTGCAAACCACAGGGTCGCATAGTAGGCCTGGGCGGATCACGGTTTTACGTACCTGGTTCGTTTAAAGCGGTCCAATACGTTAGAAACGGGTTGAGGACGACTCTGAGTTTCCACCTACGCGAATCGTTTGTTTATAGCGGTTTAACGTTCTTGACCTCATTAAACGAACCAGGTACTTTGTAACGTGACCCGCCCTCCAGAACTTGTCAAACTTATATGTTGCATGTTGTGCAGGCTATAGTGGGGTAGCCCATATGGGGTACAACCCAATTAGGGTTTGCTACTTGTACTCCTGCATGCTGCTAGTTCATCGATTCTCGTTCATTATTCTGACATGGTTTCAGAGCAGGTACTGAGCTAGGACCGTTTTTTTAGGGCCCACCGAATAGTTCCCTGCGCGTAGCGCGTTACCCTGCCCGTAGCGCCCTACCGTGTCCGTCGCGTTGCCCCACCAGTCGCGTTACCCTGCCCACGCGCAGCCCTGCTGGCTGCCGCGCTGCCTTACCCTGCCCTGCGTTGCGCTGCCTAGCGCGCGCTCTGCCCTGCCTTGCATTGCGCCGCCCCGTGCACGCCCTGCCCTGCGTTGCGCTGCCCGCGCACGCCCTGCCCTGCCCCGCGTCGCGCCGCCCTGCGCACGCCCTGCCCTGCGTCGCGCTGCCCGCGCACGCCCTGCCATGCCCCGCGTCGCGCCGCCCTGCGCACGCCCTGCCCGTCGCGTCGCGCGCCCCTGCTGCCCGTCGCGCCGTGCGCCCCTGCTGCCAGTCGCGTCGCGCCGCCCGTGCGCCCTTGCTGCCCGTTGCGTCGCTCGTGCGGGCTGCCCCAGCCCGTCGCGTCGCCCGTCTGCCCTGCCTCTGCCCGTCGCGTCGCCCGTGCGAGCTGCCCCAGTCCGCCGCGTCGCCCGTCTGCCCTGCCTCTGCCCGTCGCGTCGCCCGTGCGGGCTGCCCCAGTCCGCCGCGTCGCCCGTCGCGTCGCCCGTCTGCCCCGCCCCTGCCTGTCCGCGCGCCGCCCCTGCCTGCCCGCGCGCCGCCCTCTGCAGCCCGCGCGCCGCCCTGCTGCCCGCGCTCCGCCCTGCCCCTGCCCGTCGCGTTCGCCTTGGCAGCCCGCGCGCCGCCCTCTGCAGCCCGCGCGCTGCCCTTGCCTGCCCGCGCGCCCTCCCCTGCCCGAGCGCCGCCCTACTTGCAGCGCGCCGCCCTGCTCTGGCCGCGTGCTGCCCTTCTCTGACCGTGCGCCGCCCCGACCTACCCTAGTGCCCGCTATGACGTCTCTTCGAGGTAGCGGTGGGAGCGGTGGCGGCGGTGGTGGCAGCAGTGGGAGTGGTGGCGGCGGCCGTAGTGGCAGTCTCGGTGGAGCTGTTCGGTGGGGAGTTTCTGGCGGTGGCCAGATGCAGCTCCAGCGGCGTCCGCGCGAGACCCTCACGCCCTAGCAGCTTCGTGAGTGGTATGCTAGTTGGAGTGGTGGCGGCGGCCGTAGTGGCAGTCACCGTGGAGCTGTTCAGTGGGGAGTTTCTGGCGGTGGCCAGACGCAGCTGCAGCGGCGTCCGCGCGAGACCCTTACGCCCCAGCAGCTTCGTGAGTGGTTCGCTCAGCGTGGGGCGTCTCGGAGTACTGCTCGCTGCCCGTACGTCATTCGCTCAGGTGATTAGGCTGGTCAGACTTGCGGGACAGCTGGTCACACACAGTCCCGCTGCTTCTCCTGTCTGAGCGACGCCTGGCGTGCAGAGTTTGGCGACGCGGCTGAGCTCCCCCGCTGGCTGGAGCTGCTTAGGCAGAGGGTGGATATCTTTGCTCTTGACTATGATGCTATCCTTACTGCCATGTATGCATTGACTGTTAGTGCTGAGGGTGACTGTTACCTGTGTGTGCCGCCAGACCCAGGTATAGAGGCTGCGCTCTAGGTGCTAATGAGTCTGCTCTCTCTGGTACTGCGCCTGCTGAGGCCTTGCACACCTTCACGATTGACTCAGGTGCTTCCCGCTGTTTCTTTCGTGACAATACCACAGTCACACCACTCCCTGCACCTGTTGCTGTCAGACTGACTGACCCCTCAGGGGGCCCAGTTCTTGCCCGTTCCTCCACTGTTCTCCCGTGTCTGGCGGTTCCGTCTGCCTCACTCTCAGGTCTACACCCCCCTCGTTCTCTACGAACTT